ACGATGAGCAGCAGTCCGACATGCCGTTGGGAATGACATCAGCGACGTTCAAAAAACAAAACAAATCTGTATCCTCCGAGAGTCCAGTCAGTGTCCCTGTGGCCCGTCAGGTAGGCACAACGTCGAATGTAACCATGGCGATAAAGGCACTGTCAGCTCCGAAGCTTTGCACATGAAGGATTTGGTCGTGTTCATCATATCAAAACGATCTGCGAGATAAGGCAACGCGCGTGGCTTCTTGACGGTTCCATCTTCAAACACACCGTCGACCACGCCGTCATGGGCCCAGTCTACCCCAGGATCCTGCAGTAGTCGGTCTTGTCCCGATCTACCTCGAAAAGCTAGCGCGATCGATATACTATGAAAAGGCACAAACACGTGCCTTATGAGCTACCGTTCTAGACAAGCTATCCGCGTTTGGACTCTTGTAAGCTGTCTTCGAGACCACGACTGCTAGCATCGATCGACGTCATGTTCTGGGGTGTATGTTATCGGCGGTTCATGCTAGGGGATCCCGAGCCGTACATGAGGCGTATGAATCATCAAGAGCTCATTCGCTGGATAGCAACTCTTAGCTTCGAACAGCGAGGTCTAAAGCAGGTTGGTGTTCATCCGTTACCCTCTCATGTCATCGTTACAGATTTCAGGGTCCAAGCTGCACGTTTGGAATGCGGGGGATTCTCAGCGCCCTTGTGATTGGCACGATCACATATCGTCTGCGTAATGGTCAGGCCACGAGCGATCGTACCTTCGAAGACACTCAGCTGGAGAACGGTTATATGAAGCTGTGATTTCCTCTGGTGTCTAATCTTCATCATCACATCAGTCCATCCTCCAACAACAAGTAACCAAGTTCCATCCATACACAACTTTACACTTCAATCAATTGCCCTCATACCACAATGCCTTCTCCATTCCAGCAAAAGTACTCCACCCAGAGCCACAAGGTCTTTGGAGACAACACCACTCCAGCCATGCCAGAGGCACCTAAGCAGGAGGCCGACCGTCGCTCCTCAGAGTCGTCAGTCGGCTCCTCATCTTACGATGGACGCCGCAGGGTATGCATAGCAACTTCGTAGCCCATGGCTACAAATCTTACCGGAAACGTTCTAACACCTCTCAGTCTTCTGCCGCCCAGCGATTTGGAAATCTAGAAGCCCTTAAGCGTCGTCAGGACGAGGAGAGCATGGCCCGAAGGCAATCTTTCCACGACGCATATGGAAAGCCTGGCTTCCTTGGAACCCTGTGGAACAAGTACGTATTATCCAACCCGCTTGCTTCGATACTTGGCTAATGTTGCATAGCTTCACTCGTGGTCCCGTTAGCCCCCCTGGCCAGAAGTAGATTGTTCAGCGATTTTGGTATTTGTTTGGGTCCTCAAAGCCACTTTAACACACCATGGTGGTTAGGAATATTTAGCATGTTTATGCCTGGAGTTCAAGCTTGCAGCTACTGCATTCGCGCAAAAACAGCATAGCGATGATTTTGGTCAGTTTTCAAACGATCATAGGATATGTACCATAGTAAGAAGATGTATTGTACTGCCAACAATTGTCTCGTTCACCATTCTGAAGACATCGTGATGTATGCGGGTTCTTTTCTTAGCAAAAGCTTAGGCTATGCGGGGATGATCCACCAAACACCGATTGGTGTTCGCCAAAGTGACGTCGTGGCCAGAACACGTTAATTCACATGACGGTATCTTGCACCAACACAGGCACGGCACCAAGTACCACTATAGCGACTTCACGAAGACCTTAATAAAACTCGACTTGACAGCCGACACGTCAAGGGAGCGAGTGCCAACACGATACCCCACCAACACGCACATCTTCATCACTCCTGCCGCCTTTTTGCACCAACGTCCCAATATAGCACGCCCAGTCAAACAATGGCTGCCAGATCTCGCTCACCAGGCTTTGGCGATACAACGAGCATCAATCTCAACCGCTTGTTGTCCAGATTAGACCGCCTAGTACTGGTCGACCCATCACCACAATTGCGAAAGTCAAACTATGAGCGCGCACGCGTGAGTGCGGTAAGCTTCACGCGCCTTTCTCTATCTCCGTCCGTATGTACTAATATCACTGCAGAACATCGAACATGCACGCACCTTACTCCTCAGTCTCGAACACTCAGCCTCCACGATACCCTCCAAGTCGAAGAAAGCCGAATTACAAAACGATCTACAACAGAAGCGCGAACTCATCAAACAGCTTAATCAGCGGATATACGAGCTTAACCAGCTGGACGACACGGATTCGGAGGGGTCTGCAGATTCCGACGATGAAGACGCAGACCAGTTCCCGTCGTACGCACCAAGAGTAAAGACGGAAGCCGGACGGGATGTGTCGACAGCGACAGAAGGCAACGAAGCATTCCAAAATGCAGCACAAGGCATCGCATCAGAACTCCGCCGAAGGGGAAAGGCGGACGCGAATACAGCGGGGGCGCAATCAGCATCCGGCAACTCGTTGTTTCCTTCCAAGCCCACGACAGGCGACCCATCGCTCGCAAAAACCGAGTCGCTCCTCTCTCACGAACGCAACGAACAAGAGGAGCTCACGACAGACTTGCTCGATATGGCGCGGCAGTTGAAGGAACAGTCGATACATTTTGGCAACACGCTCGAGGGTGACAAAAGCGTAGTGGATCGAGCGCTTGCTGGGCTGGACAAGAACACATTGAACATGGATGCTGCCAGCAGAAGAATGGGGGCACTGCGGAGGATGACTGAGGGCAAGGGTTGGTGGGACAGGATCAAGCTCTATTGCATGATCGCTGGGTTATGGCTAATCGCCTTCCTGATTGTCTTCGTTGGGCCGAAGATTCGGTTCTAGGGCATCACTGGATGTCGCAAACCTGTCAAACCATGTTTTACGTGGCACGCATCGTGAAGTCACACGCAAAGCTTTGCGGGTACCTTACACCAGCGTCAGGAACAGCATCACACGCTTAGCTAAGACACAACCAATCCACGCAATATTCATACTGCTTCACATGCAGTACAGCTCACTGTTCTCCACTTCGATCGCTCAATCTTGGACGCTCCAGCCATGATCGGGCCGCCCGATCCTCACCGCTGAGCCACGACGAATCTGGACCCTGCGCCATCTCGCAAGCTGCATGCAGCCGCTTAGCGGCTCCGAGCTCCATCTTAATATGTGCCTTGCCTCGACAACAACAACACACTGTATCATTGACGCTTTACACACACACATTGGGTTGACATATTTAGTGTCGCGACAATATGGCAACCATGGAAATGCATTCATTGGGCTCGCGCTGTACGTATTCGATGCCGGACATGACTTTACGAACCAACGCTTTGTCGCTCGCAACCTACAATGCGCATTGGCTGACGTACTATTACAGCCCTGAACCACGCGTCCGCCGATACAGAAGCCGAGTACGACCGTCTCCGAGACCTTGCGCGCCAGGAGGCTGCGAAGCGATCCTCATGTTTCGACCGCGCGCATCAAGCATACGAATCCGGCGATGGAGCGCGTGCTCACGAGCTCTCTGAAGAGGGCAAAGCCCATGCAGCGAAAATGAACCAGTACAACAACCAGGCGCGCGACTACATCTTCAGGGAAAACAACGCCGAGGGCCGCGTGGCTGGCGATACCATTGACCTCCACGGCTTGTTCGTAGAAGAGGCCGAGGATGTTCTGGAAGAGAGGATCAGGGTTGCCAGGCAGAGGGGAGAAAGCCATCTGCATGTCATTGTGGGCAAAGGCAACCATAGCAGGAACCATGTCCAGAAGATCAAGCCAAGAGTTGAACAAGTGTGCCGTGAATTGGGATTGCAGTACCGCACCGAGGAGAACGAGGGTAGGATCTTCGTAAACCTCCAAGGTGGAGATGTCCACGAGATGCCACCGCCTCCCCAGGCACCGAGCTATGGTGGTTACCCAGGGCAGCACGGTGGTCAACATGGCGGTCAGCACCATGGAGGTCAGCCGCAGCATGGTGGTCAACAGCATGGTGGCCAGCAACACCATGGTCAACAGCAGGATAACAACGATGAGATTGAGCAGATGGTCAAGAAGGGCTTGCCTAAGTTGCTTAAGATGCTCAAGTGCTGCACAGTCATGTAAGGGCTCAGTCGGTCCATTCTTGTGCAGAGTGAGAGAGGATGGCTTGGAGGGTCGGAAAGATCTCCAAGGCACATGTCACGTTGGGAAGATGTTGATACCCCTGGGTCGGATGAATGGAATGTGTTGGATAAGGAGCGCTGTTACATTGTATGTAGGATCTGCTGTGTATTTGGATATTCTTTATATGACTGAGAATGAAGCTGTCTTTGCTTCACAGCTGTCGCAGTAGAGTGCTTATTACCTGAAGAGCTACGCGTGTTGGGCCTCTTTCGTCCTGGAAAGAGATCCGCCACGCAAACTCAAAATCCATGCAAAAGTTCCGAAAGGATACAGATTTGATAGCATCATCAGGAACGGATGATGCTGTAAGACGGTGACGTGAAGTGGATGACCCACTTGGAGAAGAGAGATGAGTAGCGCAATTTTACGCACTGAAGAATACCTGAGTGGAATACAAGCTCGTTTATACACGCTGGTACCCAAGTCCCGCATGGGATAGTTATTTCCGTAGAATCCTTGGAAGTGCTCACAAGAGTGACGAAATTGTGCATGCTGCAACCTGGGTAACACTCATCAAGCCGAGACATGCATGACATACTTCTAGGACGTAGTAAGTTGCAACGCGCTGACATCACAGTTGTACTCTGCCTGGAATGTTGGTACGACGGAGGCGTTCCCTCGCACCCGACGATGCATCTATCAATCAATGTTTGCCGAAGATGAGTGACACAAAGATTGCCATAGTATTCGCAATAAATTAGTTGGGTGTACCGAATGTCTTGAGTGAAGTCGTGAATGACGTTCGGAGCTGCGGCCCGCTCCTCCTCCACTTTCCATGCATCTCGACCCTGAGCACCTTAGCTTCCTACACCTAAACGACCACGACATAAAGTGCACAGCATGATGACACAAACACAATCGCCGCCCATTCCGTCGCCTCCGCCAGACCTCAGCGCCAGACTCCCCAAGCTCATCCCCCGCAAACGCGCCCCCACATCGCGAGAACCGCCTTCTGCCCCTCCCCCACCGACGCCTTCGTTACCTGAGCCACCGAGCCTAGAGAGACATGCTTATACACGACCTTCGAGGCGTATATTGAGCCCAGAAGATCACCAACTCTTCCTCAAGAGTAAAACATGCACATTAGTCGAAGCTTTTGTCTTCGGCATCGCAGATTCGGTGCGCGACCGCAGCATTTCGAGCGTCAGGGATGAGGAGGTGACAGACACAGTCAAGACAGTCATCCAGATACTAGCAGAAGCGGACAAGGTCTTGGAAAGATGTCCGCGGGAAGACACAGGGTCACGGTTCGGCAACCCAGTCTTCCGCACATTTCTCGACGAAGTTGAGATGTCATTGCCACTCTGGCACGAGAAACTAGGGTTGAAAGACAAGGCGCAGGTCGATGAGATGGCAACGTACCTCCATAACTCCTTCGGAAACAAGCGACGCATAGATTACGGATCTGGCCACGAGCTGAACTTCTTCCTCTGGCTTCTCTGTTTGAATCGCATCGGCATACTCTCTGACACAACTTTCCCCGCGCTCGCCCTCGTCGTCCTGCCTGCATATCTGCGCCTCATGCGTCGCGTGCAAGAAGAATACTACCTCGAGCCTGCGGGCTCTCATGGCGTTTGGGGATTAGATGACTACCAGTTCCTCCCCTTCTTATTCGGCGCAGCCCAACTCCTTCATCATCCCTACATCACACCGAAAAGCATACACAACGCTTTGGTACTAGAAGAAGAGAGCAAGAACTATCTCTACCTAGACCAAATCTCCTTTGTCAACTCGGTCAAGAATGTTGAAGGTCTGCGCTGGCATTCACCTATGCTTGACGACATATCCTCGGCGAAGAACTGGTCAAAGATTGAATCCGGAATGCGCAAAATGTTCCGCAAGGAAATCTTGGAGAAGTTGCCTGTCATGCAGCACTTCCTGTTTGGCAGCCTGGTGCCGCCTGTTGATGGAATGAGTACCGAGGAGGAAGCGGGTGTGGAGAAGGAGGAAGAGGAGGAAGAGGGTGGAGAGGTCAAAGTGTTTGATGATGAGATGGGAAAGAGACATGTACACGCAAGTGTCGGCTGGGGAGATTGCTGCGGCATTCCCGTGCCGTCTGCTGTTGGTGCCGAGAGTGAAGCGCGGAAAGGTGGTGCTAGGGGGTTGCGGAGAGTGCCTTTTGACTAGAGGAAAAAAACGGGACAGAGGGTGCAATGGCGTTCAGAAAAGATGACACTGGGTATACATGGCATTGAGTATATCTAGGTAGATGATCATCACGGATTGGTATATGTAATTATGACTAACAACTGGCTTCCTGTAGGTAGCCTTGAACCCATTAATAAAGACTACGGCGTCCTGTGAAGCCGCCCACGCGACCTGATGTGTTCCAGCGTCAACCCTCTGATTTCAACTATCTGTTGAACAGTAGTGTCTCTCACTTGCACCGGCTCGCTCTCCCCAGTTCTTCTATCAGTATACCTGTGGACTTCCAACGCACCATTCAACGCTTCCTTCCTGGTCCCTTGAGATACGCCAAAATCACTTCTAGTCGGCACGAAAGTAGCATAGTTTCTCCACTCCTCCCCTGACTTGGTCACCGCCTGTGCAGTTATTTCGAGCTTCTCGTTTATTACGTCGAGATCCTTGTGCAATCTTGCATCGAGATTCCGGGCAAGTAAAGAGGAAATGGCTTTCCGCGTTACTGTCAATCTCCTCTTGACTTCTGTGCGTCGTTTTGTGGGTGATGGGAATATGGACTGAGGGATTTGAAGAATTTCCTTGTTTTTGGCGAGGGTTTGCGTTAGCGGTGCTGGAAGGATGGCGTCGACGCCGGTGTTGAAATTGCTTCGAAGAGGTGGGTCCTCTTGGTCTCGGAAGGGAGAGATTGGGACGGAGAGGGAGCTAGATGATTTTGACGTTGAGGGAGTTGTGTTTCTTGTCGTTATCAAAACATGGGTTCCTGGAGGGAGGGCGGCTGTTGCTGGCTCGTTGGTTATGTGATACGTTCTTTTCCGTCTGATGAGTAAGTTTGGGATGCTAGCAGACTCAAGTTAGATATAGATTATAGCAAGTTAAGCGCTTCGAGGAAGGAAGTATAAAGAGGAGAACTTACCAAGGAGTCTTCGCGTCCAACTTTCGATGAACAGGGTCGACTGGCGTCTCTTTTGATGGTGGAGTGAGACGAGGTCGTAGTGGTAAGGGGGAAATCTCTAGACGGCGATGTTGATATGGAGCTGATTCCGGCGGTAGCGGAGTAGAAATTGATGGCTCATTCGTAGCTAGCGGCCGAATGAACTTTTTAGTACGAGGACGTGGTGATGGTGAAGACACGGGAGCGGTAGTGCTTGTTGACCTTTTGATACGAAACGGCTCAGGATACTCGAGATTCTGTAGGTCTGGTTCTGGTTTCAATACCGGTCGAGGCTGCTGTGGCGATAGCGAAGAGGAAGAAGAGGAAACAGAGGTTGATGGCTTGTTGACACGCAACGGCTTGGATACCTCGACTTCGTGACGAGATGATGAAGGCTGTAGAAGGGGCATGGCTAAGATGAGGTATTGACAACAGTCGCTGAACAACAGGGTATATAGATGCTGGGAACACAAGTAATAATAATGGCAGGCTGTATGTGTCTGGAAACGAGAAGTCTTTTGGAATCCCCAGGTACCAAGCCCACACGTCTTCTTGTAGGCAAGTGGCGCCTGTATTTTAGGGTACTATTGGATGTTCATTCTTGCTCGTTGTAATACGCAGGTGTGTCCTGCCATCATATATTACACTTTGACATTCGCCAATTGACCGTCTCTGGTGAAGACACATTTGGTACTGTTGAGAGCCAGGGTCGACTTCCCTGTTAAAGTAACTTCCGTGGCTTTCAACAGAAGCCGTTCTTGATCAAGTCCGCCGATGTGGGTTGGAGACAATGACCTCCTGCCCACACAATACGCCTCAACTGAGGCTACAAAGAACACCACAAAGGAACACATTGTTAAATAGAGAGATTTCTGCGAAAGCAAAGCATGAGCGGCAGACTACTCAGTGATATACATCCTCCCAACTCACAGACCCTCTTCGAAGGGTCCATTTCTCCTCAATCTGTCTCCACCACCTACATAGGGTAGGCCAATGCCAAAGAGTAACCCGTGACCCTATTACAGCATCATTCAAGTTTTCGCGTCATCTTTACTGCACCATCTTCTACTTGTGGTATTATCCGAATAGTTCTCGTCTGCCGGCAGTGCGTCCGGTATGGCGTTTACGCTTTGAGTACAAGAAGCTTACTGCAGTGAACACGTTGAACGCAAAGAAGAATCAAGTTTCAAAAGTAGTAAAACGACAAGGATTCATTCTAGCATCAAGGTGACCATTTGGTCTACCCTGTAACAACTCCAGTGACGCCATATATGCAAACCATGCTAATGCGAGTCAAAGCACGCAATGCCAAAGCACACAAACTAACGCGGCCTGCCCGCGTAGATAAACCCAAGAAGAAAAAAGGGTCTGCATGAGAGCCTGCCCCAGCAAACCACTCCTAAATGTGTAGTATGCGAAACAGTTCCCAAAAGAATGGAGAATTCTATGTAGCGAAAGAAAGTTGTCCATACCCCTCGATAACACCTAATCATCCAATTCGCTAGGTGCCTCCTCGAGCTTGTGTCTCCTTTCCTCGTCCATCTCCTTGTATGATGCATATGATAACAAAGTGAACGCCCCAATAATAAGAAGACCGCCAACGATAGCAGCAGGTGTAAGAGGCGAGTTGAGCGGCGGAGGGAGAAGCTGATCGACGAGCGCGACAATGAAGATGGTGAGGAGAGCTGCGACAGAGGAGAGGACGGGAGAGGTGAGGGAGATGAGCGCGAGGAAGGCTCCGGAGAAGGCTGGGATGGGGTCAGTACGCTGCTTTGTTCACGAGGTTGCAGGGAGGAGGGAAACATACTAGCATTAGCCAACACACTGATAGCCATCATCCACGCCTGCTCTCCATGCGGCAACTCAAACAGCTCCCAGCCCATGTAATGCAAGAAGGGCAACGGAATCCACAGGACTCCCAGAGTGAAAGCACCAATTAAGCTTCCAAACAAGTTTGCGAAAATAACGCCCTTGTTGGGTGCAGCGCCTTCGGGTGGACACGCAAGTCTCTTGTACAGCACTTCGTAGAGACCATACAAGACACTTCCGATGCCAATGACGAGGTTACCAAAAGCGCGATTCTCGGCTTCATGCGACGGGGGTGCTTTATCACCGCCGGCCCCACCCCCAGACTTGGAACCATGTTTTGCGGGGGAGGTATCGCCGTATGCGACGACGAAGACGCCCACAATAGCGATGGCTACGGCGATGATCTTGCTGGCGCGGACCTTCTCGTGGAGAATGGGGATACTGAAGGCGTAGGCGAAGAAGGCAGAGCAGTTGTAGATGGCTGTAAGGTCACTGGCTGTGGTCTGGTTCACAGCCACGTACCAACTTCCTCCGGCAAGTGTAAGGGCGCATGTGATGAAGGCCGTCATCTTGAGCATGTATCGTACAGGCGAGACCTGGGATTGGCGGGGTGTTGGGTGGAGGTTCTGGTGCTGGACCATGAGAGCGGTCTGGCGGAGGAGCTGGACGTGTCGTCGCCAGAACGTCGGCCATGGCTCGCTCCAGTGCTGGAGACGTAGCAAGAAGAGAGTTGCTGGCCAGAGCACAACCCAGGAGCCGTGGGTCATGTAGAGCATACAGTATGGCTTCTCCCACTTCAATTGATGTTGGATGTATACGGCCGTCTCTGTCTGTACGGTGAAGCTGACCAGGCTCAGCGCAAGCAGGAAAGCGGCATAGGTGTACTTCTTGCGCGTCTCGTGTTTTGCTTGCAGCTCTGGATCCCGCTCGTGGAAGTGATGTGTGCTCCTCCCCAATAAGCCTTCATCCATGCTGTCGTCCTCGGTCTTGCGCCCTAACAGGGGCGCATTCGCGCGTCCATCTCTGACGTCGATGGAGGGTCTGAGATCTGAGGGCATGGCGGCGTCGTGTTCATCCCAGTCGTCAAACTCGAGTTCTGAATTGGCTGGGCTATCCGGTTCCTTGAGCGCAGAAACGGCCTTGCCGTTCGCTTTTCGATGTTGTCGCGACGAAGAGCGTGTTCGTGGAAGCTGTCGGGAATTGGACCCGGACGCAACGACGGGCGAGGTGCTTCTATTTGGGGGCTCGAGGCTGAAGTCTTCCGAGAGGGTGTGGACGAGGGTACGAGGATGCGGCGGAGGCTTCTTCCTCAGCGGAATGGACTCAGGCATAAGGCGACGAATGCAAGCGAGTGACAGTACCGAATGGCAGGTGGGTGGGACCGCTGCAAGCGTGTGATGGTATTGGGATTAGGCGGCGGCGGGCTATGCTGTCTTAGTCAGTTGGACAGTTGCGAACTGCTGATATCTGTCTTCAGGTGTTGGTGCAATGCCCTACAGCCAAGCCCCTGCATTGCCGTACACTCCGCCTCATGGTCCAATCGCGGCCAAGCTCACCTCCGAGCTACGCGTCCCAGCATACGCAGCCTGGCGACTACCAAATTTCCCCCTTTGATCCACGCCATTTCCTCGACAAATGCTCTCCGGCTCCATCAAGTCCGCCGTCTTGAGGTGCGGAAAGTTGGGTGTCGACCAGCCCGTCTGAATCACGTCATAGCTTAGCCCCATGCGTGATCCAGTCACATCCAGCCGCCTTGCATACCAAGGTCATCTGAAAGTCGTTAACCCCACGCATGCACAAGCAACTGACACGCATTAGCCGTGTGGAGACCACCATCACGAATCCCATGAGCGCGGCCGGATGTTTTCGAGATACACGCCGCAGCCTTGAACAATTCGCGTCATCGTTGGAACGGCCAGCCAGAAACATGTATACATTAAGAGGTAAATGCTCGCTATCTTGGTCGTAAATACTCGTTATCACTGTCCTGCCATCACGGGTTTACTACTAGGTAACAAAACCTATAGCGGACTTCCATCCAGTCCCTCAGCCCTTTCCTGCGTTTCCGCCTCTTCCAGCTCTTGCAGGATCTCAGGCAGCATGGACTCGACATCTTCCTCGCGCTCACCCAGTGCTTTCGCAATGAGCTTCTTGTATGTGCCTTGCTTCTCGCTCATACCTGCCACGCTCAAATTACCCACAACTTCTCTGACCAGCTCTCTCCGCTCGAGTTGCGCGCGATGTAGCAACAATGCTAGTCGCATCTTTTCCGTGACATCCACAGGCGAGTTGTCGGCATTCTGTTGCGGCATGCTACTGCACAGTCGACGGAGCTCGGCCTTTTGTTCAATCTCTAAGAGCGACTCGGCTTCTTCCACCAGTAACCGCAGTTCCTCTTCTTGCAGCCGGTCTGCTTCGTCGTCGTTGAGGTCAATATGTAGGCCATTTGATGTGCCCTGTAACTCAGCTACTTGTTTTCGTACGGCTTCAAGCTCAGCTTGGCGTCGCTTCACCACACGTTCTGCGTCGAAGGATTCAGCCTCCTTCTCCTGAAGTTCCGTCTCATATGCTGCAGCCAGCTCTTCGCATTTCTCAAGTAGTGTTGGCGCGACTTTGGTCATGAGATGTGAGGCCGTCTGTGAGCGATACTGAACAGGTTCTCGAACAGCCATGCTGGGGAATGGTACTGGAATCAGTGGTCCTCCATCTAGATGCGGTACATGTCCGTTGAGTCGGTGTTCTGGTGGTGGCGCGAAAGGTGACGATGAAGCTTGCCTTGTGCGTCCATGCATTCGTCGTCGTTGATTGAGCTCTCGAATAAGATCGTCTGCCGTCTCACCCTTTTTGTTAGGAATGTCGACTGTGACGTTGCGTCCCAACAGACTTCGCACGCATTTCCTCGCGCCGTTTCGCGCAGCAATCATGATGGCTGTGTCTCCGTTCTGGTCTGCTGCATTAAGTAACCTAGTAACCTCTTCTGGTATCCAGGTTTCTGAGAGTTTGTTGATGATGCAGTCAAGATACCATCTTGCGCAAACGTACTTGTTCGAGCTGCTGGTGGTCGCCGCGATGTGATGGAAGACGGTACTGCCGAACCAGTCTGTCCTATGAACCGTCTGCTGGAAGATCTTGACCATGCTGGGCATGGTCTCCTTGTCGAAGTTGTTCGTGAACATGACGGCGCGCATTAGGGGTGTCTCCAGGTTGTTCGACAGGCAATCGATGCGTGCTCCTCGGTGTATCAGCTCCTTTACTACCCCAACATCACCCATCGCCGCTGCCCAGTGCATAGCTGCGTGTCCCTTCTCATCGATCGGCCGGTCGAGGTTTATGCTCTGCGGTGGTTCGGGCCAGGAGACGGCGGATTCGTGGTCTAGCAACATGAAGTAGTCCAGTAGCTGATCGGCCCATATTTGATGTTGTTGATCCAGAAGAGACATCTGGTCAATCCCCCGCTTGCGCTTTCTGCCTCCGCCCGTTGAGTAAGAATCCAGCATATCGGCGTCACCCAACATGGATTCCGAAATGACAGTCTCGTTGTCCGGCGTCTCCTCGCGGAAGATCTGCGATCTGATCTGAGAGGCCTCGTAGGGCTCTTCGCTAACTTGAGACTGCGCGGATGTAGTTACAAAGGCTGCGATGCAAGTCAGCTTCATGTCTCGCGCATTAAAGCTTGAACAATGACCAATGAGAGTGACCTCCTACATTGCATAGATTCAAGCGAATAGACATTTTTACCATTCCGGGCCGCGGCAGCAGCAGCCGCAGCGGTTTGCTTTGGAGGCTTCATGCGATTTGAGGCAGCTGTCGCATGCTTGGGCGCAGGTGGAGGGCTCCGGTCACCAGGGACGTAGTCGAAGATGGCGCGCATCTTGTCCAGCACACCATTCCGCTCTGCCAGATGTCGCCCCTCCTCGAGGGGTATCCATGTGCCTTGGTATTTACCATATCCACCTTGGACCTTCTCGTGCACGCCCTTCTGGACTTCGCGCTCAAGGATACGGGTACGCGCAGGCTTGTCGTAGTCGGCTACCTTGAGGATGTGAGTGGCGTTGATCCAGTCGTCAGCGCGACGGCGCATGACATGGTTGCCGTTGACATTGCACTCGTAGACGGGAACCTGCAGTTTGTCAGTGCATTGTCGCAAAGTGGTGGCTGAGACTTGAGTCGCAAGCGGTGATTGCTACGCACATTACTGTAGGTTGCCGAATAGATTTTGCCATCGGGCGCGGGGGGCATCTTCACCATTCGATGAGCAGTAACAAGGCGTCTGGGAGGCGTGTCAAGTGATTTCGTGAGGGCGTGTCTACAGTTCGCGTCAGACCTGGGGGAAGTCGCGTTGGAAGGCCGCGTTCGCGCCTGCCCTGCCAAGCGTCGGGGTCCGGCGGTGGTCAGCTTGCCTTTGCCGACCGCAAGTGAACCTCAGCAAGCTCGCCCGCAAACGACTCTCCGCCCACCAGCCCCCCGCGCGCCATTGAAGACGAACACCATCGAGGGCCGCCACTATGACCATCACCGATACCATCAAGCATGCCGTCGGCCTTGACGGCGAGCCGAGGAGTACGTCGGGCCAATCATCTTGACGCAATTGGTCATGAGGAATAAAGACTGACGGGAATGTAGAGGCTACCCGTGAGGAAATGAGCGCCGCCAAACTACCACTGGCCTACCGAGACTCATGCGCACATCTTCTTATCCCCTTGAACCGGTGTCGGTACGAGGAGTACTACCTACCATGGAAGTGCGAGGTACGCGGAGAACCGGTCAAGGAAAAGACGACGACAGGCGGCTGACCAGAGTATTAGAACGAGAGACATTCCTACGAAAAGTGCCAATATGACGAGTTCAAGGAGCGAGTAAAGAAGATGGACGAGCTGAGGGCAGCCAAGAACGGACAGCGAAGCAACTAGGTTTCATTATGCGGAAATGGCAGATCGTCATGTCAGTCACGAGCGGAGAACGCTGCATGTGTATATCAAAGCAGCAACAACTACGAGCCATCAATTTCGAGCCATGGCAGACGAGTGACGTCCACGTGTTGTGGAGAACGACAGGCAATGAAAGCAAGAGGACCACAGCGCTGACTTGAACACAAAGCTTCAATAGTTGGACAGCCTATTTTGAATGCTCACTCGCTGCCTTGCTAGATATCTACCTCCCTCGCTGTGAACGCTAAATCTATCCGATCTACAACTTCGCCTTGGTATCTTCCAATGCAGCCTTGTCTCTCAACTGCCTTCGCATAATCTTTCCAGACGGATTCTTCGGAATCGCATCTATGAAGTTCACGCCTCCTTCCAACCGCTTGTGTCTGGAGACGCGCTCAGCCAGCCAGTTCTTGATCTTCTCCGCGGTTTCTGGAGTCGCACTTTCCTGCGACTGAGGCACAATGTACGCGCGAGGCAGTTCATCACCGTTACTGACTATGATTAGCGGTCGTGAGATTGAGAGAATCGCGTAAACTCACGCTGTAATACCGATAACGGCAGCATCTTGCACGTCCGGATGATCAAGCAGTAGCGCCTCCAACTCTGCTGGCGCGACCTGTAGACCCTTCACCTTGATCAATTCCTTCTTCCTGTCCACAATGAAGAAGTGGTTGTTCTTGTCCACGTATGCCACATCTCCTGTCTTCAGCCATCGGTCTTCTGTCATAGTCTCCTTCGTCGCATCAGGCTTGTTCCAATATCCCTTCATGATATTCGGCCCGCGAACCCAGATTTCGCCTCTCTCGCCTTGTGGCGCTTCGACCTTGCCGTCATCGTCCAATACAATCTTCGCCTCGCAGTTTGCCAGAATCTCACCGACCGAGAAGCTATCAGAGTAGATCGAAGGATGGAACGTAGTTGCTGCACATGTGACCTCCGTCATACCGTAGCCTTGCTTAACGTTGACTTGCCCATTCGGCCATATACTTTCGAATTCCCGAATGACTTCTCGACCGAGAGGAGCGGCGCCGGACGATACACCAGTCACAGAACTCAGATCAAACTTCTTCGTCGCTGGGTGTTTGGCCATGGCCACTACGACCGGCGGCACCAACACCATGTCACTAATATGGTACTTCTGCACATTCTGCAGCATCTCTAGGAAGTCGAACTTGGGCATCATGTAGACCGGTACGCGTTGCTTGACAGCGCCGAAGCAGAAGATGGCTTGTGCCATAGCGTGGTACATGGGGAGAAAGCAGAGATACCTCTTCTTCTTCAGCTTCTCCTTGTAGTCCGGTGCGGTGGCTTGAATGTGAATTTGTTGGCTGGTGTTTGCGACATAGTTCTTGTGCGTTATCATGACGCCTTTCGCAACACCAGTCGTTCCCGACGAGTAGTTGAGCGCTACTACTCGGTCGAGTTCTTCTGGTGTTTGTAGATTGGGCCAAGAGTAAGCGCTACCGCGTTCTGGGGTGTCGAGAAGTTCAGTCCAATGGCGAATATGTCCCAACTCGGTACTCTTCTCCACTTTCCGACCCTCAAACGTCGCTAGGCCATCGTCAAAGATGAAGACGCGCTCAGCGCCCATGCCCGCTTCTTTTGCAGCTGCGATTCCCGTGTCCAGACTGCCCTCTGCGCATATCATAAAGCGTGCTCCGCTGTCTTTCAATTGGTACGCTAGCTCTCGAGCAATGTAGGTCGGGTTTGCACCTGTGAAAACGCCCTCTGCCATGATGACACCTAGGACTACTATTGGGAAGAACAGCGTATTTCCTGAGTACAGCAATACGCGATCACCTGGTTGCAGACCCGCGCGTCGCAAACCTGAAGCCAGACGTTGCGCATCGTGCCGCAATCTGTCCAATGTAATGTTGTACTTGTCGGGTTCGCTTGCAGAAAGGTAGAGTGGAGTCTTCGGTAGTTCTGCAGTTGGAGAGTCGAAGATGTACGTTGGTAGGGAAACGCTAGGTATAGGGAACGACCAGCGAGACTTGATGACCATCTTTGCGGTTCGATTTGTTGAATGCTAGGGAGGAAGTAATGCTGTCGAATATTTGGTGAGGGCGCAGCACTTTGAATCACCTAAAATGTGGTCTTATTGTTCTTGGTCCTCGGCCGATTGATCCCTTGGACACCGAGCTTGTTGCTGTATCCCTTCCTGAATTCCTGCGGAGTCGGAAGGAGTAGGCGTGGGTCCCTGGTCCACATCAGCATCAATGACCACTCAAGGATACACGCGTACGCTCAGCAGTAACTTACAGTATAATACTCGCCTTGTAAACGTTATCGTGGCGTTGGATTGAGATGAGAACGTCGCAGGAGGGAAGTTACAACGCGCTGCATCATGTAGTCTATCCAATACCCACCGGTTTAAACATGCCCCGAGGCATCCATATCTGCACAGACAGCACGCTATACCATGATAGCAAGATTAATGGCTTCATCGCGTTAGCCAAGGCCTCCGATGGGCCGCGAAGTGTAGGTGATGAGGCGGGTTCTGCGGGGGAGTGCTAGCTGTGCCGAGGTAGATTTCTGGGGTAGTGTTGGGGTAAGCGAGGGAATCGTCCACGGGAGTCTGGGCAAGCCGTGGCAGCGTGCGGATGTGACCTTTATCCGTTAGATTACTGATTAGTCTACTACCACCAGGGGTTAGTAGACTTTCACAAGAATCAATGGGACTTTGAACATGATATTAGTATTCGGATTACTCTCGAACCAACTTCGAGTCCAAACAAGCTTTCCTCGACAACATCCAAGTACATGTAATAATGTCTCTGGAATGAAAAGCCAAGTATCAGCCGATATGTCAAAGGCGAACCTCAAGCCATAGCACTTCACCTCGAACACCGTGGGTGTCTCGTGAGGCCCCAAACGCCGACGCTATGCATAACAAACATTCTCCGTACGTGTACCGCTCGTGATTACCTCGCAACAATCCGTTTATGCCTTGTCCTCGGCCTCATCATCACTGCTTTCCCTCTCTTCCCACCCCACCATACGTCTTAACACCCTATTCTCCTCGCCCAACTCTTTGCATCTACCCCTTAAGCCTTGCTCGATTTCACTCTGGCATCGCAGTGCGTTCCTTGCGTTCTCTGCCACGCGACTCAACCCTGCTTGCCAGTCTGCATGTTCGAGCCGCAGCCCCATGGATGTTGAGCGTTCTTGATCAAGGAGGCTTTGATAGTATTTGTGAAGGGCGAGCATGGCTGAGGTTTGAGAATAAGCATAAGGACGTAATTTATCGAGAAGAAGAGTCAAGGCAGATTCGTAGTCGGTAAGGAGGGTTGAGAGCGATGAGTTCGTGGAGGTCAAGGATGCGATTGTGGATTGCGCGGCCGTAAGCTGTGATTGTAGATTTGCGACTGTTGCTGCTGTGAGGAGTGTCAGTGTGTGATTATCGGGTATCAGTCGGATGTGGTTGTCTGTATTGTCTCCAAGCAGACTAAACATACCATTTATCTCGCCATTAACCTCCCTCATGGCCACCCCTCCTCCACCTCTCAGATTAAGTCCACCGCCGACTTCGCCTCCCTCTTCTTGTGCAGCCCTCCCCTGTATCGCAGCGACACCCTCCACAATGCCCCTCGTTTGCGCCTTGTTCTCCTCTAGTAATTGACTCAACTGCTGCACCACCGCCCACAGATGGTTCATGTCCGTCTGCTGGCCCCCACTTGGCAAGCCATTGACCATTGGAATGCCGTTCTGGCCGCCGCCGTTGACTTGCGAACCTGCTATGCTGCCCGCTTGTGAATGTGAAGGAGAAGGTGGTGGGCGGTTTTGATTGTGCTGCTGCTGTTGTTGGGCGGCTTGTTGCTGGGAGGACTCCAGGAAAGAGTAGTTGTTCATGGCGATGTCGGTGTGTGCGGGTGGTGGAGATTAGATAGCTGCGGATATTGGTGGAGTCGGCGTGCGGCGCGGGTTAGAGGCGTCGATAGTCGTGTGTGTGATTGGATTGAGAGTCTGTTGGTGGGATGTTCGGCGCACACCAAGTTCCTCTTAGTGACGCGACACTTGATTTCAGGTTAGAATGCGTATTGTGTCGTGTGCGGGGTCACGTCGACTTAAGTTGCGGAGTCTTTGAAGCCTTCAAGTTGGCGACGTGCATCCTAGGGTCGAGACGCTGATGCTAGTGGCTTGGCAGTGCCTTCTGGCTATCCAGGTGGACAACACCGCGATTTATTTGCAAGAAAGATGTAGATTCCAGATACTAAACCGATGACGATATTCGTTCCAAAAAAAAAAGCTCAACTCCAGTATGCAAAAGTCTCAAAAGCAAAAATGCAACATGCGCGGTATCAACCAGTCCGTTCCAAACCACACCCTCCATATCACCATTATCCAAACTTCCGTATTCAGATCTCGTATATCGCCAGCCTGAACTGGGATCATCTAGCTCTTTGAAAAATGGACGATACTACCCGGTCATCTATCAGGCAGTACATACCTTCTCTCAACACTCATCTCACGGTCCGCCTCGTCTTCACCCTCAAACCTCAATCTGACGAGATTATCCACAGGCTCTCCTTCTTTACTCCCATCTTCTTTCTTGACCTTGCCGTCGATCTGTCTCCATACAGCTACTACTTCCGCCTTATAGAAGGTAGTGGTACCAGGGTACAGAGCGAGCACGTTCTTCCCTTTACTAAGGTCAGGCAGTGTGGTGTTGGAAGAGGGTGGCGGGATGGGAATTAGATGATTTACGGAAGCACGGTAGGGTACTGATGGTGTCGGGGGATCCGGATCAGCATCGATAATTTCGTACCGACGTTGCTTTCCTTCGCCGATCACCGACGTTACGCGGCAGAGAATGCCTTCACCCTCGAATGACATGGAAGAAGAAGAAGAGCGATTCTTTGCGTTGTTCCGGTAGAGAACCTCTGTTTGTGGTGATAGGCGAGGTCGGACTTCTGTAGTATGGTCGTCAGCTGTCGTGATGTTCGAAGGGAGATGGGATGATAAACGGGAACGTGAAGCGGGCGCTATGAGAGGAAGGATAATACATGTGGCATGAGCACTTGAAAAAGACGTATGAGATCAGATGAGGTGAAATTATGAGCTTGCCTATCCGACTACAAACCTCGAACAAGCCGAAAGGAAATTTGCCAGAGTGGGTATCATCTGCCGTCTAGAAGGAACGCCGATAGTGTAGTACAGCTCAACGCTTGGTCTTGTACTTGATCGTGGGCTTGGTTTTGGAAGGAGGAAGAACCATCTTACCCTTACCCGAATCGTCTTCATCGATCTTTACGCTGCCCTCTCTCGCAACAGGTACTGATCCTGCTCTGCTACTGCCCGACTTGGCTACCAGTCGATCTTTTTGGCTGCTGATAACGACCTTTGGGCTAGGACCTCCAGGACTGTCCGCAGCCATGCTGTCGCGGTCATCGATACTATCGGTCAGCTTTCGCTTGCCCTGGCGGTCGCGTCCCGACTTCCCGTGCCCAACGCTAGTGGCTCGTGATGCTGAAGGTGGAGCCTCTTCTGACATGCGGAGGGCGGCCAGTAGCGTCATCTGGGTGTGGACATCATTGCCGCCTTCGACGGGTTGCAGAAGGGTTTGCGCCTCATTGAGATTACGGATGTTGTCGCGTAGAAGGTCTTCAAGTTCGTCGTCAAGGCGGGCTGAAGTTTCCTCGCCGCGATCTAATAGTGTCAGCAACACGACGATACATGACAGTCGGTGAGATGTTGACGGACCGATACGAGCAGACTGTTCTGCGACAATAGCGGAGATCTTCTCTTGCAAGACATCGGACTCTTTCTGCGGTATGTCAGTAGAGGAGCAAATCTTTGCCTAGTCAACTAAAAGTAGAGCAGGGTCTATTTGGGCACGGCGTTCATGATCAGCTCGGCTGTGGTCGAGATGTCCTTCGGAGTCACGAAGATTCGACGGTACTCCGCTTGTAGTGAGCAAATGATGGCGGTGAAAATAGAGATGTTGATCCCAACGCCAGTGATAATCAAGAAAATGAATCTCGTACCATGAGTTGATCAACGCGTCGGCCATCGGTTTTGATCGAGTTCCAGATGACCCTCTCTTCATCGAACTCTTCCTTTAATTGACCTCGTGGCCTGCTGCGGGCTGCCATGTTGACGGAAGTTGTGGCCCGTCAACTCCCCAGCTCTTTCCGTGTTACCTGAAGCGCTGCAGGTAGCTCATGTGTTGGCGCGTGGAAGTAGCAAAGTGAGGTAGAGGAAAGAGAAACAGCTGCAGGTGATCAACGTCGGGGCATGTACTCCGCTGGATGCAGGGTGGGATACGCTAGCTACGGAAGAGGGGTTGGTTCCATGAGCTTAATCGAACAGCAAGGGTGACGTTCATGCGGGACCAAGAAGTGGACCCCGCCGAGAGCTCCTCTGCCAAATCGCGGTGTCGCTATACAACACAACATCCACAATCCACCGAAACCGGCTTCAAGATGCGGAACCCTCTTATCAGACTAGAATGCGGTAAGTAAATGCGGTAATGAAGATAGCAAGAGAACATCAATTGACCACTCGCAGGTGTTAACAGCTACGACTGGGGTACGCTGCCCCGCGTCATCACCCACATTCGCGCCAGCGGTATGCTGAACCAACCCAGGGAAAGTCGGTAAAGATTCCGCCGCCGCCAAATTCCACGCTGCGACGGCTTCTGATTTCTCGATTGAAGAAGAGAAGCCATATGCCGAGGTGCGAAACACGGAATGTTCGATTGACGCGTCGCTGACACTACCAGCTATGGATGGGCACACACCCGTCGCTTCCCTCCAAAGACCTCGAGACCCAGCGGACACTTCTAGACCTCGTTCAAGAAAATCAAGCCTTGCTGTCTACAGAGATCGCCGAGAAATATGAGAACAAGCTTCCCTTTTTGTTCAAGGTGCTGTCCATCAACAAGGCCCTGAGCATCCAGGCACACCCAAACAAGAAGCTTGCTGAGCAGCTACATGCCAGTGATCCCAAGAACTACCCAGGTCAGCATCACCCCAGAGTTCCCCTTCAGGAATACTAATGTCTCGTTAGATGACAACCACAAGCCCGAAATGACCATCGCGGTCACTCCCTTCGATGGCCTCTGCGGCTTCCGACCCCTCGCCGAAATCGCGCACTTCCTGAAGACCGTTCCCTCATTGCGTAAACTTGTTGGCGAAGAAGAAGCTAAGAAGTTCGAGGATACCATCAGCGGCAAGGAAACTTCCGATAAGGAGGAGGACATGCAGGAGAACAAGAAAGCCCTACAATCCGCTTTCACAAAGCTCATGAACGTGGAAAAGGACGCACTATCATCAGCCAGTGAAGAGCTTGTTGAGGCAGCCAAGTCCGAAGGCGACAAGTTCGCGGACGGCGGCCCACCCTCCAACGATGGCAAAGAGCTCGCAGACCTCGTCGTCCGCCTCAACACTCAATTCCCTGGTGACATCGGTCTTTTTGTTCAGTTCTTCCTCAACTACGTCAAGCTAGAGGTCGGCGAAGCCATGTTCCTGAAGGCTGACGATATCCATGCTTACCTCTCTGGCGACATCATCGAGTGCATGGCGAGCTCCGACAACGTAGTCCGCGCGGGCTTCACACCAAAGTTTAAGGACGTTGATAATTTGACAAAGATGCTGACTTACAGCTATGCGCCAATTAGTGAGCAAAAGATGGAGCCCAGGGATTATTCCCAGGTTAGGCTGAATGCGCCGGCGTATAGCTCCAACAGCAGCAACAAGCTGTACAACCCGCCGATCCCTGAGTTCGCTGTAGTACGGACGGCACTCAATCGCACTGGTGGCAAGGCGACGTTTGACCCGATTGATGGACCAAGCATCATCCTCTGCACCAAGGGCAAGGGAACAATCAGCGTGGGACCCAAGGAGGAAGAACTCAAGGAAGGCTTTGTCTATTTTGTTGGTGCCACAGCTGAAGTTGTCATCAAGAGCGAGGTTGATGCTGGAGACGAGGAGGGTGCGGAGGGCTTGGTAACATTCAAGGCATTCTGCGAGCTTGAGGACAACAAGGGCAAGCTATGAGATACGACAAAAGTTACGACAACGACGTCATGATGCATGACAAGATATGAATATATTCTTGCTAGATGAGATTTGTCTACAATGGTATCACAATGCTATGAGGTCGCTAAGTCCAAAACGTGAAGGAACAGAAGCCTAAGAATGCGTCACTTTATTCTGGCAGACTCCTCATGACTCCCTCGAACGCTACCAATGCCATGGCGTTCGCCGGGAATGCTCTCAGGAAACATGGCACGAACCCCCGCCAATATCCCTTCCAGCCTTGTTCCCTGTAGACCGCTTTCGCGGCGTCCCGCCATCTTGGGAATCTTCTCTGTGCAAGCGGGTCCGTCATGATGCGCTGCTTGATTACGTCGCTCGGATAACTGGTCAACCAAAATATCTGCGCTGATAAACCTCCTGCCCAGAAATTCACGGCTGGTGCAGAGAGCGAGGTATGTTGTTGTAGCTGCCGTGTGAAGAGGTCGTAGGTTCCCCACCAGAAGCAGAAGAATGTGCGGAACAGGAGCGTTGCACTGAGACCGTGGTATACTCCTCTTACTCCATGACCAGTGTATATCTTCTTGAGGCAGTCGATCGGTCCGGAGTACAGGCGTGCGCTCTTATCGGCTGCGTATTGCACTTGCAGGCGCGCTTTTATGTGCTCGACCGGCGCGGCAACGAAGGAGACTGTCCATCCCGCCATGGTCCCTGCTAATGCATGACCGTATACGGGCAGCTTACTCTGCTGTTCACCAAGTCGGAGATGTGAGGGGGGATTGAAGACTCGATCGTTGAGGACGCGACGGTATACGCTGAGAGATCCTAACATGCTTTGCAGTGTTAGCATAAGGACGTATGACTGCCGTCTGGAGACGAGGATTGACGTACATCGAGTCCATAAACATCCATCCCACCAGCGGCGGTGTAGCACCCTTGTACAGCCCCGCAAACCCCTCCTTCCTCAACGTCTGCATAAGACAGTCTACCGGACCCCGGAAATGCGATTTCTCGGTCGTTTGTAGGCGGACTTTTACAGTATCGAATGGGTGACCCACTACTTTTGTTAGCTATGTTTAGGATATATCTTGGGAAGGGCATTTTTACCAGATAACTTCGCAATGCCACTGAAGACACCGGCGACAAAGCCGCGATAGTGCTTGGGTGACTTGTTCGACTCATCAGACGTAGCTATCAGCGCCGTGGACGCGGGCTTCGAGTCGCCGGATTTCAGGTTCAGGGCTGAGGTAGCCATTGTCGCGTCGCTGTTCTCCAATGCAATATCGGAATCATGCCTCTAGCCCAAGAAAAAGCATTCAACACGACATGGGATGATAGCAATACAAACGATGGAGATGAGTTGGGAAATCAACCAAGCCATCAGTTTCGCAGGAATAGTCAGCAGCGGTCAGTCAAACGTGCATATCGGAAACGTGATAGCGTCCGCGATCGCATGTGGTGACGATGTTGACAGGGACGAGCGATCGGCGCACGCACATTCGGACCTCCGAAGACGTTTTAGTGGCTTTTTCCAGGGTCCAGATTGGTACGATCGTTCATTCATAGATTAGCGGCTCTTTCTCGACCCCTCTATTGACAAACGCCATAATATGCGACCGAAGATGGCGCGACTTGATCCTCCAACTAATACACTGTGGCTTTTACTGACTGCGCATCTTGCGTGATAGCCTGTTGGCGTGCGACTCGAGTGATTTACATACAAGCAACATGCAGGTAACTTCAAGCGCGACTACGGAGCCGGCGGGTGTAAAGTCGAAGAAAGGTACAGCAGAAGTTTGGCGGGGCGCGTCTGGAGAGCAGATGCTAATGTCAGTGCAGTATGGACAACTCTTATTACCAACACAGCATATCTCACCGGCCTTCTCACACTCGACTACGCGCTCAAGAAGCACGGCTCCAAGTACCCCCTCATCGCTCTCTACACGGACACCTTTCCTGAAGAAGGCCACAAGGCGCTTGATGAGCGCGGCATACCAAAGCAGCATGTCAAGTACTTGCTGCCAAAGGTGTCAAAAGACTTCAGCAACGACCCGCGATTCTACGATTGCTGGAGCAAGTTGACGCCCTTCTCGCTGGAGGAGTATGACAGGGTGGTGCAGCTAGACAGCGACATGTTGGTGCTGAAGAACATGGATGAGCTGATGGACTTGGAGTTGGATGCACCGAGTATGGGTGGCAAGGGCGACAGGGTGTTTGCCGCAAGCCATGCCTGCGTGTGCAATCCGCTCAAGAAGCCGCATTACCCCAAGGACTGGTATGTCTCTCCAACCAACACATGCACGCGACACTACTGACGCAGTTTCAGGATCCCCGAGAACTGCGCGTTTACATCCCAACACTCCAACCCCGATGCTGCCCAGAAAACTGGCGCACCCTCAACAGCCGGCCTGCGTATGCCCAACGGCGGCCTCCAAGTCGTAAATCCCTCACTCGCTACCTACAACCTGATCCTCGAGCAGCTCTCCAACGAGACATCGGGAAACTACGATTTCGCCGACCAATCGCTGCTTGGCGATCTGTTCAACGGCCGATGGGTCGCGCTACCCTATACCTACAATGCGCTGAAGACGTTGCGGTCAAAAGGTGTGCATGATGCGATCTGGAGGGACGAAGAGGTCAAGAATGTGCATTACATCTTAAGTCCGAAGCCGTGGGATGAAGAGGCAGGGAAGTGCAGTCAGGAGATACATGAGTGGTGGTGGACGGTCAACAATGAGAGGCGGCAGGCAGAGAAGAGCAAGGGTATCGATGATGGATTTTAGAGGTTTTCACAATATAGTGGGGTTGTTGCATGTATCAATTGGGCGTAGACAGCTGTAGAGTAGTAGAGGTACACGTAGAGATAGCTGAGTGGAGACTATAACCCACGAAAAAAAAAAATATTGAGTAGTCCAAGGGAAGGTGGTGTATTCCACAAATAGGACTGAACAGCTTAGGTATCATCTGAGACTTGCCATCACCTTCCTTTTCAGTAGTACCGTTCTTTCCGGCTGAGCGTAGTGCTTTTCGTATTTCCTTTGGGCTTGGCGTCAGGGTTCGTCCCCGATTCAGTAATCCCTCAGGCTCGGTTGATATGCTTCTTTGGACCCTTCTCCCGCACGGTGTAACACGTCATGATTTTTGGTATCAAATTTGCGTCGACTCTGTACATGTCTTGTAGCCGAAGATTGGTACGCGGGCCGACATCAAACGAGGTTCAGTAATGCTCGGGCCATTGTGTGGAACACGACGGAAGATGTGCATGGCAGGCCATGACGATGTGAGGGACAAGTGGTAGCAGGTAGGAAACTTGGCATATCGGGTTACTTCGCCCGACTATTCAGGCCTTGACGATATTGACTCGGTTACTGAAGAGACTAAAGGCCGGTGCAGGCAATGTGCATGGCGAACGACTGCAATGTTGGACGCAAACGGCGAGGACCCCACGGCTTCATCAGTCTCAGGAGTAGCGCCGCGTACCTGCATGGCTGCGTGTACCGGCATTTTGCGATTCGAACGGCGGCGGCAAAGTCACACCGCATGGAGCCCTGGAGGAAACTATATGTCTAGCTGCAGATTTCCTGCAGCTTGCACGCATGCCGACGCAGCGAGTAAGGCATGCGGAATCCCTTTGCTTCATCTTACCCAAGATTCGCAATCAAAGGCTGTAGACGTGCCGCCCCTTTTCCGTCTGGCAAAAGCAGGAGAGGTGGTGGTGTGGTTGGCGTGTAGGATGAACCCGTCACGATCGAGCCGTTGGGCGCGCACAGACGTCTTTGTTCTGGGATCTGCAACGCGCCTGCTGCGGTTTCACTCCTGAGCAGCTTGAAACCTCATTTCAAGAACAACGCCAGCGCCCACGCGAGACCCTGACCCGAGTCGCTACTGATATTCTCCTTGCCGTCCTTGCACATCTTGACATTCTTCTCCCACAAACCTCACCAGCCTCACCTCACCTCACCTCCATCACAACGGCCGACTCCTATCATCCGCACCTAATCGCGCACTAGCTACAGCTCGCTATCGCCGACGTACCGCCTACTCTCTCCACGACGACCCGCAAGTGTTGGAACCTTAGACGCCCATCCCAGCAAAGTATAGCGAATAGCCGACATTATGGGAGCCTCGATATCCAAGATGATGGCCAAGGTCTTCGGATCCAAGGAGATGCGCCTGTTGATGCTGGGTCTCGACGCCGCTGGAAAGACCAGTATGCTGCCACCGTTACGTGCCATCGCACCCATCATCGCTAACTCGCCCAGCTATCCTATACAAGCTCAAGCTCGACCAAGACGTAACCACCATCCCCACCGTCGGCTTCAACGTCGAGACCGTCACATACAAGAACACCAAGTTCAACGTATGGGATGTCGGTGGCCAGGACAAGATCCGTCCGCTATGGAGACACTACTTCTCTGGTATGTTGGCGCGTGGGGGCACCGTTCCGGGTAGGCGAGTTGACATGTGTGCACGCGACTGCACCGCGCATGGCCTCCCTGCCTTATCCGACCCTCTGCCGTGTCTTCAGATCGACCCGTGTGCTGACTGCGACCACAGGTACCCAGGGTCTCATCTTCGTTATCGACTCCAACGACCGCGCCCGTATCGACGAGGCCAAGACGGAACTCACAAGGATTATCCAAGATAGAGAAATGAAGGATGCGCTGCTGTTGGTATTCGCGAACAAGCAGGATCTCAGCGGAGGTGCGTACATACCACAGTCAACCAACGAGGACATTGCGCTAACTCCCCACAGCTATGCGACCAAAGGAAGTCTCAGACCGTCTGCAATTAGACAAGATCGCCAAAGACCACGTATGGAAGGTCGAGCCCAGCTGCGCGACAACAGGAGAGGGTATCTTCGAGGGACTGGTACGTTTGAATCCCCTCAAAGCCACGTGAGCTTCATCAACTAACGTTCACCAGGCCTGGCTTTCCAACAACGTCAAGCTACCACCAGGCGCCAAGTAGTACTAGACGCCTACCCCCGCTTGCGTTTCTCCTGCTCACTCCCATACCTGAACGACTTGCATGCACTCCACACACTACCTGCTCTGGCTCTTCCTGCATATACCCGGTTTTCCCATCTATACAACTTAATGTCACTTTTATCGCCTTGTAATCTTCTAATTTCTGGACTATTCCGACGAGTGGTCTCTTTGGAGACATCTTTTTGGTCTTGTACAACATGGATTGTACACATTGTAGATCTCTCTATCCGAAGCTGGGTGGGCTGGCTAGCGATCTGTTTATAGCGCAAGCGAACTGAACTGATTCCTCCATGTTCTGAGATTCTGAAATCGTGGGCCGTTCTGCGGTGCTAATTCTCTAGTGCCAACTGCTTCTCTTGCTTCCAGCCTGTCGTGGAGTCTCATTGTACTGGACTTGCAATAACTCCTTATTCATCTCACGTAGTTTCTCACACGCCATGTTGCCAAGCGATCTCTCAACGCCAAGGTGAGTTACGCTCCCAAACGGGGGGACGTCCATTGCTGGGCCATCACTAATTGTGAGATTGCGAAGTGAATTGATTTACTGGCCTCAAGCACCAGCTTGCTAGGTTTGCGTCACGATGAGACACCACAACTTAGGTAGGAGTGTTCAAAAGTTGTGACCCAAACACGATTGTGTCAGCTTGTTCTACAGTATGAGCAAGCAACGAGTCGCCAGACAATGTGTATATGAGGCTGTCGCAGGCCACTGTTGACTGAGAAACCAGCGAGCATAACTGAGACTCTACCTGACTACTCAAAGCAGGGACACAGTCTTAAGACTTCGCAACACTTCCTTCTGATACCCTTCTTCATTTACAATTCTTCATTCTACTTTGTCAACATCGCAACCATGTTTGAGATTCCGAACATGAGTCTGGACACAGCACGAGACGAACTCGGCGATGGTTTCGCACGCAGGATCGACGTCGACTTCAAGCATTCCAAATGCATCTGGTGCAAAGCAGGCGGAACCAAAACGAAGAAGAAAAACCATTCCCTAATGAACTGCCCTACCACAAAGCCTGCGGAGAACGACCAAACTTCGCTCTCAAATGAGATCTTCAATGCTGGTAAGGAAGGTGCTGCAATTGCATATATTCATCAAAAACAGCTTTCTGTGTATCCTCGGGATGACAATGCGACGACTTTCTCGACTGGACTCTCGCGGCCACATGCCTCAAACTACACTGTTTCTGTTAAAACTGCACCCGCTCCTCCTTCGGCTCCTTCTGGTCTTTCGTTCACTCCCATCATCCCTGTCCCGAGCCCTCAACCACCTGCTAGTTCCGCAACTCAGGGCGTATCATCTAGTATCCCATCTACGTCCATCGATCAAAGCTCTTCCGGCTTTGCCAGTTCGTCCGTTGTGCCTACTACTGGTTCTACACCTGCAGCGACTGCCCCGATTTCAGTCATAGAAAACCACATTCTCCCGAACATGTTGTCGGATCAACCTCATACAGAAGTTGCCACTCAGTCCTCTGCTTTTGGGTTGAATGCTGTCGCTTCTGTTGCTTCTGCTGTCCCAACTACCAACCTTCAGGACGCACCTGTGGTTAATTTCGGGGAGCTCACACGCTACAATCGAGCTCCCGGCTCATCCGCTTACGCGAATGGAAATTCAGACCTTGTGGACACTGGGGAATTGAACGGAGAATTAGAGAGACTCAAGGATACCGCATTACAATATCCCATCAGACAGTCGCTTCGCGAAAGGCCAAAGAAAGGAGAGGTACTTACCAACTACTTCAAAATTTCTATTGATCCACAGACTACTTTCTACGAATATCAAGTTCTAGGCATCCCGGACTCAGAGTCACGGGCTGGCAAGAAGCGCTACATGGACACCGCCATTCGAAATGTGCCCTTTCTTTACAGCAACAGGGATGTCTTCGCCACTGATAACGTAAACACCATCGTAGCCTGGGTCAATTTACACCAGCATATACCTGGTGTGCGGGTTCAGTCCGGCGATCTGATGACAGATGTTGGGTCAACATGGGCACTTCTCGATATTGTTGACCGCGATACGACGGTGCCTCTTGGCTTCCAGTACCTGCGACCAGTAGACATCTTTGGTCTCCAACAATACTCCAATACCACTCGTCCAGACCCATTTAATCATGACCCACACCCTGCGGAGAACGCTCTTAACATCATCATGACCAGGTGTTTTGCGAGTAGTAATACTTTGCAGCTGAACAATCACAAGTTCTACGTTCGCAATGCGTACTTTGACCTTAAGACGAACGAAGGAAATGCAGTCGCTCCACTTCGTGCCTTGCGCGGTTATTCATATAGGGTTCATTCCACTCTGGGAAATATCCTTCTGAATGTCAGCCCCGCTAATAGTGCCTTCTGGAGACCTTTGTTAGTAAGTCAAATCTACCAGAACGGTAGCGGTCCGTTCGGCAATTCGAAAGATCATGTTAAGAGAGCGCTCAGGGGCGTACGCGTGTACATCGACTACAGCCGTGAAACCAAGGACAAGAAGTGCAAGCATCCTAAATGCAACGACCCAAACTGCAGCACCACCATACCACCAGACAAATTCAGCGCGAGAACCAGTTCTAATATGGACGGACAACATGCGCGTATCAAGACCATTCGTGGTTTTGGTAAGGCATGTAGCGAGCAAACCTTCTTGTGGGAACACAAGGATGTCTATGGCAATATCATTACGGGCCAATCAGTTCAACCTACAGTCCAAGAATACCAGCAGAGACGTAACTTAGACCCTCAATCTTCCAGAACATTACTAACGTATGTCACAGAGTATGCTCGAGTGTTGCAACATCCTGGCTTGCCTGCGGTTAATGTTAGTACCGCTGGTAGACCTACATGGTTCGCCCCTGAACATCTACGTATCCTCCCAGATCAGATATATGCGAAGATCATTCCCGACTTTGTTGCAAACGATTTCCACCGAAACGCATGCCGAGAACCCCGAGAGATAAGATCTCGAATCGAACAAGAAGGACTCCGACACATCCCGATAACTGCAACTGGCCAGTTGGTATAATGATCTATTTTTACCGTGAATTGTATACACTAACAGATGTCTAGGAAAACTGCCATCCGATAAGCCTCGATCCTAGAATGCTCCAGATACCATTCGTTCATCTCAACCCTGCCACAATTATGTACTCGTCGACAACTGTTACCAAGACCGTTAACGAAAACACTGGAAGATGGGATCTCAAAGAGACCCAATTCTTCAGAGGCAATGCCAAATCCCTGAAATGGCTCTTGATCACTGGACAAGGTGTCGACCGAAATGGTAAGTCAGTGAGGGCGTTGACCCGTAACTTCGATCGAAAAGTGAAAGAGACTGGTGTTTCACGAACCTCTGAAAGGGCCGATGAGGTACTATCTTTATCAGATGACACCGAATTCACCCTAAAAATGATGCTCGAAAATTACCTGGGAAAAAATCGAGAAGATGTACCCGACATCGTGGTATTACTCCTGAAGACGAAGGATCAGCATCTTTATTCCAGCTTTAAGTTTCTTACAGATGTCGTCTTTATCTTGCAGTCGATCTGCGTCACTGAAGATAAGATGAGACCAAAGAATCTCGACTGGAGCAACGACTCTGCCCTCGGACAATACATGGCCAATGTTGCTATGAAAGAGAATCTGAAGATGGCTGGAATCAATCACTCAGCGCAAGGCGTGGAAGAGCAGCTGGAAAACACCATTGTGATTGGTGCAGACGTCACTCATCCAGGAAGCGGAGCGTTACAGGGTACACCTTCGATCGCGGCTATTGTCAGCTCTCTGGAGGCCAATGGCGGAAGGTTTCGCGGCAATATGCGGTTGCAAAGCGCGAAACAAGAGGTAAGTTCAACGAAACACAAATCTCAAGCTTCTATGCTAGCTGCTGATTAAACAGATCATCCCTTGTCTCGGGGACATGCTGATTGAAGGGTTATCAGAGTGGTGTCGACTCCACCGGCGCTTCCCCGAGAATGTCCTCTATTATAGAGACGGTGTGAGCGATACCCAGTACGACGAAGTTATCACCAAAGAGCTCTCAACTATCAAAAATGCGTTCATCGGAGTTGCCAAGCAGTTCAAGAAGCCTGTTCCCGAATTCAAGACAACTGCGGTCATCGTCACCAAGCGGCACAATACTCGTTTCTTCCCCCGTCAAAAAGACGACGAGATGCGTGGAAACGGCAACTGTAAACCTGGACTTCTTGTGGAAAGCTCCATAACGTCACCATACTACACAGACTTCTATCTTCAATCCCATAACGCCATCAAGGGGACTGCGCGATCGTCCCACTACTTCGTTTTACAGAATGAAATGGGCATCGAGATATCTGATCTGGAGGACCTTACCCACAACCTATGCCATACATACGTCCGGGCTACCACAGGCGTGTCTTACGCATCTCCTGCTTATTATGCGGATAGACTTGCGGAGCGGGGTCGCTGCTACTTGCGCGAATGGTTCAATCCCAGCAACACTAAACGCAACGCCTACGAGACCCATTGCCAGCAGGTCGAAGCTGATGTAGAAGCTGCACGCAATCGTCCTCAGCGCACTGGAAACCACAAGAAGACGCCAGCAGAGATACAAGAAGACAAGGCCGATAGGGAACAGGTTTTGCAGCAAATGAGAGACTACATCTGGCCAGTCGTTGAAACTAGATGGAACACGCCCATCCATGACCTCGCTGAGTCAGGCTTCAGACCGAACGCCAAGGCTAAGTATGACCATCTTAAGGGGACTATGTACTGGATGTAGGTCCGAAACAGCAACGGGTGAGATGCGTTTGCTGGTGGATTACGAAAATTGCTGATTCACAGCTGCCGACCATTCTTCTTCGTTATCGCTTCTTTTGTGGATTTCCCTTATCTCCTTACGATCTGTGACTGCGTCGCATCTGTCTCGTCTGCCTCTTGTTAGTCGTTGTTGCTTTCTGTTTGCTCTAGTCCTTTTGGTCTTCCTGCTGCGCACTGTATGCACCGTTCGTATCATAGACCTTGCTTTCGGCCTATAGAGTTCCTTAACTAGTAAATTCTCCAACACGCGCTTTCGTTGCAACTATGATACTTCAGTAATGACTTAACTTAGTCGTGGAAGGGGGTTTCTGTTAAAGCTTAGTGTCAAGACATGGCATCAACACTGCACCAAGATGGCTGACCATGCTATGGTGGTTAGGGATGCATTTTGTGCGCCACACCCAACTTGACTGCAAATACTGGACGCTGAAGAAGCACAACACGGAGAAACAAGAGCTGAAGAATGATATGGCTTCTATTTCAGAAGGTTGCTTGACCTTGCGGAAGCTTGACAAAAGATACTGACTTGTTGACATGCAACACTAGACAGCTTTACCCCCAAACACCTTTGCCATTATGATAGGCTCTTTCCCTAGTCTAGACCATGTCAATACAAACGCCGTGGCGCTGAAATGCAATGGAGATAAAAGAACCAGAAACCGATATTGCGCCAACCCGTCATCAACTGCGTTAGAAATGTGTGCGGCCATTCGCTACACCAAGGTACTCTGATCATCTCCATTGACCCTGGCTCAGCTTCAGCAGGCCCTCTACACATCCCGCCTCTTCTGCAGAGTTTATACTTGAACGACCACTCGCATCGTCACCGTGCATAAACTGCCGCAGTTCATCGTCTTGCTCTGGGTCGACGACACCCTTACCGCCTTTTTGCTTGTCCTTGGCTAGCATTGCACCGAGACTTGAGGTCTGTGACATCAGGTCTGTGTTCTCTCCCAGTATCCGGCGAGCTGCACGGGAAGCAGGAGGTGTAGTGGCGACCTGGCGATCGCGTCGCACAGACTTGGGCGCGTCAGGCTCCCAGTTCTCCTTGTCGCTTTCCGTTTGTGGGAACTCGTCCGACTCAGTGCTCTCACCACCCTTCTTGTAGTCGGCATAGTCGTCGTTAGAAAAGCGACCATTGATGGTCGAAGCGCGTTGCATAGCACCGCGGGACTTTTTAACGAGTGGGCTGCCCTGCACTTTGTGTGAGCTGTGACGTGCCATCAAGGGGCTACTGTTTTGGCGAGCTTGGTTCTGTGCTAATATTCTTCGATTCGCGCGTAGTATGCCAATCGCGTCAGCCGCACTGCCACTCTCTTCTTGCTCCGCACGTGTTATTAAGCTGGTTGTTGACCGACTCTCTGGGTCACACCAGAACTCCCACGCGCGCGAATCTCGACTCCTTCCTATGTTCGACGCTGTCCTAGGTACCTTTGGGCTTGGCTCTCCTCGGGCAGCAGCGGCTAGGCGATCGTTCAGTCCAGCTGCGCTGTAGCTCCGTCGCAGGCCAGCAGCAGCACGAGAGAAGGAAGAAGGCGTCTTCTTTGATTTAGGGGGTGATGGGGTTTTGTCAAGATCGGTGACGATGCGTGCTGTGCCGTCCTCATTGGTTGATATTCGTACAAAGGAATGCTTGCGCTTCAGTGGTCGGGAAGGGGTCTTTGTCGCATTGTCGGGCGACACAGAAGGCTGCGGAGGGTTCGGAAAGGTGATGACTTCGGGCGTGTAGTCTTCGAGATATCGGACGAATGACGCGCTGCGACGGTTGGATATCCATGATGTGCGTTGTTGTGCGGTGCCCTGTGAGGATGGTGCAGTCTGTTGCGAGTTGCTTACTTCAGCAGATGCATTTTCTGTACTTTGGGCTTCGGTCGATGGTTCTACGACTGCTTCATTGGAGCTTCCTGGATCGAGCGCGGAAATGGCAGTGTCGATGGTGCGCGGTTCTGGGATGGTTTCGTCTGAAGTAAGTTCTGGTGTTGCAGGCTGCTCTGGTGGGTCGGACTTGGGGCACTCGTCCGACTCTTTCGGCTCCGGCGCGTTATCGATATTGTGTGCTATGGCTACCGTCTCGTCCTCGGTGAGCGGGTCCGACATGGTGGAAGAAGAAGACATCAGCGATGCCGTGGAAGATGGTTCGAGGGGCCGTGAGCGACGGCGGTCGTTTTGGCGTTTATCTAAAGCAGAGCGTGATCAGAACGTGTTTCGAAAATCATGCGTCCATTAAGCCACACGCGACATATCGGCGCGATCCAATAGAAGGCGGATGAAAAGCAAGCAGCAGCGACGCGTAGAGCAGACGGTAATACTTACTTTGAAACCAGATCTAGGACGCGATGTTAGCAGGGGCGCGCACACTCGTGACGTGGAGCAATATTGGCGCCTTACCTGAACTTCCTTCTCGCCAAGCGCGACTTTTCGGACAATTTCGAGACGTGCCGCCTTGTCTGGCTTCGGATTCCTGAGGTATTCGGATTTTAGGACGTCCTCGTCTTCCTTGCTGCAAGATGTCGTGGTCAGCGCTGATGGGGTGTTGGAGTGTCGCTTGCCCGCGGGGTAGGCCGAAGTAGTTCCCGATGGTAGGTTGAGCACGAACCAACGCGTTGAACATGGGTCGACACGGATGCGATGGAAGGGCAGAACTTGAATGGGATAGAAGCATACCTGGTGCGTCTTCTCTTCTGGCGAGCAAGAGCCTTGTTGTCAACATCCGGCGGCATATGGTTCGCGACGGTTTCCTGCGAATGCACGAGAAAGGCCAATTGACCACTAAAACTGGCGCGTCTAGCAGTGGGAAGACGCGATGACGCAGGTGACGAGAACGATGGCAGGGGCGATGAGGCGGACATGATGGGATGATAACAACGAATGTCGGGAATTGAACTTGGTGTTATCAAAGAAGGTCTACCATGCGAATGAATATTATAGTAGGAAGCACAACGCGTTCAATATGGTGGCAGGAAAGTAGTGTGCGAGGCGCGTCTTCAGTCGCGTACGTATCAGATTGGTCCGAGCCGGGCGCTTGCCTATGTCGTGCATACCACTTGCCTGAACTCGTCGTCTGTGCACACAATCACACCAGCCTCATATCTGCCATTATCCATACTGCAGATCGTCACGTATGCACGAGCATGCTGAGGCTGAGGAAACAACACGCTCAATTATGTCCAATCCAAGCGCATCTCATCCGAACGCGTGCATCCTCTGAGCGAGTTCGTCTTTCTTATGGTTCATCGGCGAGCCTTGCGCAGAACTACGCGAGTGCGGGACGACAATTATGAAATCTTGCTTTTCCAGTCTTCTCAGCCCTATTTTAGAGCGCGCTCGAGGATCGCGTATGGGCACGATCAATTACACAGCATGGTCCTCCTGCTGTTGCATCCGTATGCTGTAGATTGTGGTCCCTCTTCGGAGGTCGTCTACTCCTACGCGAGATGCACACGTGAATGAGACGTGAGGAGATGAACTACTCTATTTGCAAGCGCGTTTGGCCGAGGCAGCTAGTGCTCAAAAAGAACGCGGTGAAACACGTCGGCACGTGACGCGCTAACACTTGTGATCGTGCCCGCGAAACACGAGTCAAACACCTCACGATTCCAGTCACATCGACGCTCCACACAAACTCTCTATCATCGGGAACCTCCGATGCCATCTACGCATCATCGCGGTTACGGTCTAGGCAGCGACACGCTATCCAACGATTATCTAGGTCCGGCCTGCAGTCTAACGACCTTGGCGACAACCCTCACCGTAAGATGCACTGTACAATACTAAACTACCGTTCTATCTCTATTCCCGCAGATGCGCGTACTCACTTGTCCTTCTTAGCATCTGACCTTCTGCATACACTTCTGTCTAATCCCACGCTCATTGTTCGATTTTCCTGTTACCCCACCTCCACCGGTGAAGATGTCCATACAAGGCAGAAGGTGTTAGTGTAAGAGTCGGCGTTATCCGTAACTTAGAGACACAATTCTCTTGCGTAAAGACCTATCGGCCCCTTTCTGCCTTGAACAATACATGCCAACGATGTCTGCACCTAGGGCGATGAGTAAACTGCTTCCCTCGGACCGAAGTCGACAGAAAGCATTCGTCAGACAGCTTACTATCATACACCCACGTGATGTGTATGGCACTTCTGGAGATCCAATGCTCGCGCCTTTAGCGATGAAGATTTAACCTGGTTCCTGTGGCGTCATGCAACCATTGAGCCTCACCGGTTTTGGCCCCATTTCCCTATCTCGGCAACTCCCCGCTGCCTCCTGGCCCTCTGCTACAATGAACGATTGGTGGAGGCTTCCCCTACCTAGATTCTAGCCACCAACGGTTTGTCGGTCTGGACGGCCCTGCAGAGCAACACTACCCGGCCGCTAGATTCTCATTCGTGTAGCCGAGCTACTATACCGAGGACCTCGCACGAGGCCTTCACAACCGAGAAACTGCAGTTTGGCTAGAGATGCGGTCGCATCGTTGTGTAGGGCTAGCCCTACGGGCCCACTTTCATAGGTAGGTTCCGCTTCCGCTGCAACAATTCCGGGACTTTGGATTCCTTCGTACGATACGATCCGTCTCTCAACTACTGGGACGTGGGCCATGACTGAACGTTAAGCTAGGACCTCAATTGGCTGGAGCTCACTTCCTAGTTGCATGATCGCAGGACATCATTACGCACGGTCTCAATGCCTGTCTGGCTTTCATTCGTCGAGGCCAGAGCTTTCTTTCATCGATTTCATCTCTAGTCCTTTGGCGAGACGCAGAGCTTAGGCCTCTATTCCTCTCTTTCCGGCATTTATCCCACGTCCGTAACAGGTGTGCCATCTCTTCCACTGTATCACATGTTCAGCCAAGAGCCATGAAACGTTCATACACACCAGACCAGCGAATCGGCCCCTTTATATCGGCTGGCGACCAGCGTTCTAGCGGAAGAGGCGTTGGAAATAGGCAACTGGTCCTAAGAGGCTAAGAATTCCGCCCTCAGCCCTTCACCATATCTCGCCACGCCTACCTCCGAACATCCTTGAACGTTACAGAAGACGGTGGCAGTCGTTCTCCCACCATGCTAGCACTAGACTGGGCTTGAGGAGATTTCTTGACACAACAGGCTTTCCGTCTGTTACTTTACGCTTCAAAACATGCTCATTGGTAACGTCACTTCCACATACGTCTACATTGTAAGCGATGTCCCAATGAACGCCGCTTTCCAGCATTATTGGAACATTTCAGGCCGGCTGCTATGATCTGTGCGTCCCATTCACCGTCTTCACTGATCCAGTGCCACCCTTGTGAGTCACGGGCCTCTATATCATAACAATGAGGGTGTTGATGGGCACAATATTGAAGCCCGACTTACGTCTGAGCTCTGTGGGACAGAAGTTACAGAGTTGAAGTCATAAGTCCACATCCCCCAGAATATTCATTCGACTGAACAAAGCTTGGTGAAGCAATGTCCAGCAATATGCGCGTCGCAATAGCAGGTAAGGCATCCGTTCGACAAGCAAGAACACCACTCGTGCAGACATCCTTCTTACGTTTGCAGGTACCTCTGGCCTAGCACTCTTGATCGCCCAGGAGATCAATAACTCGACGAGCCACCAGCTGATCATCCTATCACGGACTGTAAGTGCCTCAGGGGAATTATATACCATATTTTGACTACAAGGAGCCGCACTGATACTCATCAGCATCAAACAAGCCTCATAGCGTCCGGCTATAACTGTCAAGCTGTGGATTACAATAACCCCGCTTCGCTTCAACACGCGTTAATGGGCGTTGACACAGTCATCTCAACTGTCATGGGCAATCCACAACTCCGCCTCATAGAAGCGGCTGTACAGTGCAGGGTACGCCGCTTTGCGCCTGCAGAATTTGAAGGCCAGCCAGGTTTGCGAGGCCAGAATGCGTTGCTCGATCGGGGACGCAACTCAGCTTTGGCTTTGTTGCATCATTATCGCAGCCATATGCAGTATACGGTTTTCGTTTGTGGCATACTATACGAGCGCTTCTCTGTAAATGGGATGATATCTCATCGCCTCGGGGTCAACAGCGGCTATGGTAACGAGGGGGAGTTCATTGCCGACCCCCGGCAGATGACTTCCATGGCGCCAATTTACGACGCAGCCAACAATCTCTCATCGATATGCTTAACCTCTGCGTACGATGTGGCACAATTCGTGGTTCGTGCCCTCGACATGCCTACATGGCCTTCTGAGATGAGCATGTGTGGTGAGCGCATGACTGTTCATGCTTTGGTCGAAACCATCAGGGCGTGTAGAAGTAAATATAGTCCATCCTTGCCCGAAGAGACGGTTTGCTAAGATATTGTTAGACAGACCCTGGGCTAGCATCGATTACCAAGCCCCCGCGAGTAAGTAAACAGCCTTGTACAGACGCACACTCAGATGCTGACGGACTACATAGACCTTGAGTACCAGATGACAATGGCTCAATTGGGAGGAGACACCGCTGGACAAAGGCGGCTCGCACCGCTCCTTGCGACAGCAGAGGGGCGCTACGATTTCGTGGTGCCCGCCTATCTCAACGCTGTTTACCCAGACATTCAAGTAACTCGCTTCCAGGACTGGTTTCTGCGTAACTGGGCCTCGATCCCATGAGCAGCGACCGTTACCAGAGCCTTTCGGACGTTCGACAATACTTCCAAGCCGAAGAATACCCGCACAACCCTGAACATCCTTGAAACTCGGGCAGGCCGTTGATCCTTGGAAATTCAACAACTTGAGATGGGGCTCCAAACTTCACTCTCCTCACTTCTCTTCTACTCTACTTTCATTCTCGAGCCTGTTTGGTTTACGAATTTGAGGCTTGTCATTGGATCGAAATCTTCGTGTTACGCTTAAGCTATGGTTGTGTTGACGATGGGTTTCTGTCTGCAATTGCGATATATAATCACTTTAATCCTTCCAAGGTTGCCGATTGATGTCGTCGTCGTTCATTACAAGGGTTGTGAGGTTCTGACCAAGGTTGGTGTCGCTTAGGCCTGAGACACTACCTGGTACGCCTCCACTCGGCCAACACCACACGCGACACTTTGCGGCTCGCTCCTTCCGAAGCATAGACGGCGCTAACTAGATTTGCAGAAGCATACCCGATCTGCGATGATGTGAGAAGGGCCTGGTCAGAGTTTGACGTGAATCTTCGATGGAGAATTACATCAACTCGACGTCACCGGTGGGGCTTCAGTTCCCCGCTACCATAATAAAAGTCCAACGCGCCTGAACATTCGTTTCTTTTCAGTATCACAACCACAACTTCTATCACATTTTCAACACCAAATCTAAATTCTCTACGACTTCAACTCCCTCTCCATACCAACAACGTAAGTTTAATTCCACCGAATGGTGTGGTAGACAGTTTCGAAGTTGTCATTTTCGGCGCGAGACTCGAAACTCACCAGCATGCACGCGTCTGTTTTTCACACACTGACATACATACAGCACAAACACATTCAAAATGGTCTCTTCTCAGCAAGGCTACTCCAACACCACCACCGACATGAAGGGTAACACCCAAGCTGTCAACGAGGCTCAGTCCAACCTCCCTCTCCCCGAGCAGCCCCCCGTCGCCTCAGACTTCAACTCCGCCGATGCTAGCACCGTAAACGTTGGCTCCGGTCGCCAAGAAGCTTCTTTCTCATCAGGTGGTGGTGCCATCCGCGACCCCGCTGTCGGAGCTGGTGGTGTTGCCGGACGTGAGGCTAAGGATGGACTTGGCGGCATTCCCAACGATGCTGTCTCTCGTGAGGCGAAGGACCACTCTGGTCTTGCCGACACAACTGGCAAGGACTACGGATACCCCCAGAAGAACGACCCCAGCGGCAAGCAGTAGAGTACTGTACGAGAAGGAGTAATAAGATACCCGAAGCATAATGGGCGTTTTCACGATTACGATGGCCACTATCACTGCGTTTAGTAGCCGGACTGCAAGAGCAGTCTTACGATAATCAATGAATGAAATGAATCAACAAGTCAACATTCCGACATGTGCGTACTATGAAGTTGCGAGAATGACGAGTGTGTTGATTAATACCAGCATCCCGTGTGTTTTATGTGATGTTGACGCCAGATACACGAGATAATGACAAGTGCTCGCGTGCATCACACGTAGCAACAGCGCCTTGCCGAGTAGTACCCGTTCCTGACGCCATCTCAGCCGCAGCATGCATGCATGCCCAAGTCTAGTACACGAACGGTGGATTCTCTGCCGGTTTCCGATCTACGGCCGTTCGACCAGAGCGGGGTCGTTTTGGTAGGGCTGAAGCAAGGTGGGATGTTTCGATGTGACGAGGTCATGACGCAAGTACACTGGGGCGTGAGGGCTGGAGGTATACATACGACGGCTTGCACCGTACCAAAGTATTTCACATCACTCAAACCAATATAGTTTCTTCATTTCAATCGATTGAACGACACCCAATTTCAACGACCACCTCTCAAGAACCTATAATCGCATCAATATGTCGGCTTCGCACGGACAGAAGGTATGCTCTGCCCCTTGCGCTTTCGTGTTGTACCTTGCGGTCTTATCATGACCTCATGTGACATGTTATAACATCCGTGAAACTCTCACTAACTCTCTACTCTCAGGTCACTACCGACCCCGCATCCAAGATTCCTATCAATGAGGGTGTTGGCACCGTAACTTCAGACTCTCTAGCAGGCGAGTCTCTGAAGAACTCTGGCTCCTTTGGCGAGGGCAACCCTAAGGCTGCAGCAAGCAAGCAGCCATCCTCATCAACCACCACGAACACCACCGACACTACCAACGCCACTAAGCTCGATGCCGCTGTTAACGCCGAGGCGCGCGACGCACAAGAAGGATGGAATGAGGAGAAGATCATGAGCTCAGGCAAGGGTCTGAGCGGTGCTTCATCAGGAGGTGCGGCTGGCACAGCACCAACCGGTCTTGCTGCTGGAAAGAATGTCGACCCAAGCGTCCTTCAGCCCAAGGGCGCCAACTTGACAGAAGATCCCAACATGAGCGGCAACACCAAGTTTGGTGAGATCGGTACAAAAGACGACCCTGCTAGGCAAGCAGAGCTCGACCTCTCCAAGAGGACTGCAGCTAGTGCTGGGGTTGAAAACAAGGACCTGGCCCAGGGCGGCGACAGCAAGTTCAGCGCCTTGGGAGACACTACCGCTTGAGAGATGGATTTCCCATAGCGATGAATTTATCATAGATTAGCGAAGTATAATTAATGAACACATAATGATTTGCAAGCTTAGTTGATGGTTAGTATTGAATGCGACAAACTCGAGGGGTGAAACCAGCACGTGGCGGGGGTTTCCAAATCGGGCCTCTTCCGCGGGCACGGACGCGGGCCGTTGCAGCACCCAAAGGTGGCCTTTCGCGACGCGGCATTAGCCCCAACTGTCAATGTCATTCATTAATCCATCTACGCTTCTTTCCTCTACCTAACAGTCCACCGAACCGACATTGGGTCTGCAGTACCCCGATTGCACATTTGAGTGCCCACCATGAACGGCTACGGCGACCATGGGCACGAGGAGGACCCGTTTGGGCCAGCAAAGGGTGGAATCGTATCAAGTTTCGATGCATTCCGTAAGTGTTCTCTCGCACACTGATCGCAGGAAGAAGACCAGACCAACGAGAGTCATCATGGTCTCGATATGTAGATACATGTAGTGATGCGACCTCTCAGGCCCACGCGACAACATGCTTCGTACTAAATATCACCTCACGGCTGACGCTTATCTACAGCGAAAACCAAAAAGACATACCTCGTCCAAGGTCGCAACTCCTCCGCATGGACAGTAACGCTTATATTGACATGCATCTACCTCTCCTGGTCCGAGATATCGCGCTGGTTCGCTGGCACAACCTCGCAGTCATTCGCCGTCGAGAAGGGCGTATCCCACGACATGCAACTGAACCTCGACGTGATCGTAGCCATGCGCTGCGCTGATCTTCACGTCAACATGCAAGACGCTGCTGGTGACCGCACCCTCGCCGGCGAACTCCTGCGCAAGGACCCAACATCATGGTCGCAATGGACTGGCAAAAACATTGAGAGTGGAACGCACGAATTGGGCAAAGAAAGCGGCAAGCAGGCACCTGGATGGGAAGAGCTTTGGGATGTCCACGAGCAGTTGGGCAAGGCGCGGAAGAGGAAGTTCAGCAAGACACCCCGGGTGCGCGGTCAGACTGACAGTTGCCGTATCTACGGAAGTCTGATCGGAAACAAGGTCCAAGGTGACTTCCACATCACGGCGAGAGGCCATGGATACATGGAGTTTGGAGAACATCTGGACCATTCCTGTGAGTACAAGGAGTTACGGCTCGCGAAGACACTCCCACTAATGTTCAACAGCATTCAACTTCTCTCATATCATCCGCGAAATGTCTTTTGGCCCGTACTATCCCTCTCTCGTCAACCCCCTCGACTCCACTATCGCTGTAACACCAACACCGGATGATAAGTTCTACAAGTTTCAGTACTACATCTCTATCGTGCCCACCATCTACACCGACGACGCTTCGATGATTCCTCTCCTCCAAGCAATCACGTCCACACAGGACCACCCTGCCTCGAACATCTTCCACACCACGCACGCCATCAAGACCAACCAATACGCTGTTACTTCACAGTCTCACAAAGTACCAGAGACCTACGTACCCGGCGTGTTCGTTAAATTCGATATCGAGCCGATTATGCTGGCCGTGGTAGAAGAGTCGGGAGGCTTCTGGAGGTTGATTGTCAGGCTGGTCAACGTAGTGAGTGGCGTTATGGTAGCTGGAAGCTGGGCGTGGCAGATGTTTGATTGGGGAAGTGAAGTTCTGGGTAAGAGGAGGAGAAGAGGCGATGGCGTTGGTGTGCTGGGGACACCGTCTGTGGAAAAGAAGAGCTGGGATTAAGGAGAAGAATCGATACGAAGGAGAATGCATTCAATGGCGTTCAGGGCATGGGAACATGAGTTTCATTTTCGGGTCTTGTGAGTATGCAAATATACTAGTTATGAATATCTTAAGCTGCACCGTTCATCGACAGAACATGGTATGGGTGATGGAAGGTAGATGGTGAGATGACGATTGCACAACGGTATGTTTCGCTCACTCTTTTGACGTCTACAATAGGCAAAGACATAGCTGACATCATAGAACCAGCGAGTGCTATGGCTAGGCAACTCTTGCAAACTACGCCTTGCATCTCAGGCTTTCCCTTACTTTCCATTTTGATTTGTCGCTTGGCGCGTTTGTACCACAACGCGGTACGCGACTATTTCTCACTTGGATTTGCAGCACCATCAATTCTCCATAACTGTTGTTTTTCTCGCCAAACACTGACAATACACCACACCCCACTTTCGATTCGAATTAACTCAGCTTGATCGTAACTATGTCGTCGCCAAGCCAGCCACCAGACCGAATTGATTCGCACTCTCAAGATGGGACTCAATCGCGCGAGCCAGCCCAACCCCGGAGGACGGCTTCTGCAAACGACCTTAATCAAAGCGCCTCACTGCAAACTATCAGGCTGGCGGATGGTCCAGGAAGCGGACACGTGCTCGTTAACAGAGAATGGTTGTCGAACGATGTCCGCGGACGTGCTGACCAGGGCCCTCAAACGGAGACGTTGCCGCAATCCTCAGAGCAGCGTCCTGAAGATGCAAGAATGCGACATGGAATCATTGTACCGCATCGGCGAGTTCAACGGCACCAACGGCACATGGATCGAACCATGCGTGTGAGCGAACAACAGCAACAAGATGCACTTCGTCCAGAACGAGCTAGACTGCTGGATATAGACCTGCAGCGTCTTTGGCTACCAGCTTTTGGTCAAGACGCGCCGCTAAACTCAACTCAACAGCCAGCCCAGTCTGGTCGGCCTCGGAGCTACATGCCCTCTCTTCGATCCCAACCTGAGTTCTATATGACAGGAGTGACAGCTGTCGACACTGCAGCGGAGCCTGTTGCCAATGATGCCGAATGTACAATATGTCTGGAACCTCTCTCAGATGATGTGGTCAAGTTCCAGGCTTGTGGTCACATGTTTCATACAGTCTGTGTACAGAGTTGGTTCGATCAGAGCGCGCCGCGTACGGGTCATAAGCGAGGTACTTGCCCGAACTGTCGACACGAACTGTATGGTAAGTATGCCTGTGCGAACTGCATGGGAGACATACGCTGACTTCGTACACCTACATTCAGAGCCAGACCCACGATTTGGGCGTACGGCGCCGCCTCAGAACGTCGAACTGCCAGTGATAGGTCGTGGCCAATTGCATCCCATATCTTCTCCTAATCGCGAACCATTCGGCCACCGCGAAGAAGCAGCTGCTATTATACGACCATCTAATAGCGATCGCCGCAGGCAGGCCAATGATGGCATTCAACGACGTTTGGTGGGAGTGGAGCAACAGGAGCGTGCTGAACAAGCCCTGGCTGTCACTCCGCAGCAGTATATCACTAATCGTCGAACACTGCAGGGCGAACCCATCCGTATAGACCGGCGTCCTCGCGCTGTTGCCTTGGAGCATGTGAGAAATGATCCTCCAGCTCAAGAAGACGCGGATAGTCTTCCCCAAAGGACATCAAGTCTCCCTCACGGGGGAGCTATTCGCCGTCAGCAGGCTAGTGAAATTATGACTGATGCATTGCGGATTAATGAATCTCCCAGAAATTCGCAACTTGACAATGGACGGGCGAACTCAGACACGTCGGACCACGTTTCCAATGTTGGTGGCCCTTCTGGGACACCATCGACGCCGCTGGGAGCCTCCGGGACGCCAACACCGACAGTGAACACACAATCAGTACAACCACGTGAGTCTCGAGCCACTCTCGCAACACGTGCGATCGCACAGCGCCGCTCTCTACTACTGGAACCAGATCTGAACAACAGAGACGCAGATCCTCCACAGACCGTACGACGTTCAGCATCAAGTTCTCAACATACGACAGCTAATGGAAACCGTGACCCTATATGGCTTCCTGATTTCCATGGCCATCCGAGAGTCATCAATCCACAGCCTGAGCTTACACCGACTGAACGCGCTATTCGTGACCTTCAACAGGAACAGAGCTTGTTGTTGGATCGTCTTCGTGAGGTCCAAGACCAACTAGGTCGGCACCTGCAAGCAGCAGATGCCTCTAGAGAGCGTACGACTGTAGTGCGTCGACCCGCTCCAAATCACTTTCCACGTGAAGCACAGGATGATTTGTCAACTGGGCGGCCACCACCAATCGCAATTCCTCACCTTGCTGATCCAGCGTTTCCTGACTTGCGATCGGCTCGCGAGTTCCCTGATCGAAGGGCTATAGGCTCAGGAATTAGTATATGGTCGGCTGATTATGTTAGCACAAGGGAACGCAACAACGAGACGCAAGCACCTGGACGGTTACTTCCTTCCCTCTCGAACCACTCTGGCAACAGGCCAACCGCTGAACCGCCCGCCAGGATTTCAAGCAGCAATGAAGAAATCTCATCATCCCTGGTAAGCACATATCCTGCGACGTCATCAGATCAACAGCCTGCATCAGCAGACAACTTGGGATCGAGATCAAGATTCAGGCAGCGAGCCGAGGAGGTTCTAGAGCGTATAAGCCGTGAACAGGCAGACATGGAGAGGCTAATATCGAATAGCATGTCTTTGGATCAGTCTCTCGTACCTGCACTCACTGATGACGATACTCCAGAGGCACCGCAGTAGATTCGTCCCATTATGATTTTAATGAGGTTGGAAGGAGAGCGGTCTAGAAACAACTGATATCTCTTGGATTGTTACAGCAGACAGTATTTAGATTACTACAAGATTCATTTCGGGGGGAGGTGTGTTGAGAAGGCATTCACGGAAGATTGCGAGCTGTTGAACGGCATTCAGCTGCAGGAGCGTAATACTCTTCGAGCGTTCAAGTCAGCTTTTTGGCACGCGAGATCGAGTCACTCTAGTGAGAACGATAAAGTTAGACTGCTTTCAATCAACACTTTGCTATCATTCCGCCTACTAGCATAATTGATTTGAGACGCCATAGTCCTCTCAAACGTCTCGTCGCTATTCCAAATGTTTGTTCGATGCCTCTAATGTAGGCTGGCTTATAAAAGTGTGACAATAGTGAGCCACAAAGAAACAATCTCTTTAAACACGATGCTTCTTCGCACTAGATTCCACAGTATACGTATTATCTTCCTTCTCTAGTATAGCCTGACCTCATTGGGACTTGACAACAGAATCATCACTACAAAACACTGAAGGCAAGCGACCTATGATAAGTGGTTCCTCTGAACGTCAGTAGACTTTCAAGAGCCCAGCATGATACCAGCAGTTAGCATGCCCGCTCTTCGCAGCCAGGGCGAATTGTTCATGGTCGGTGTCGTACCCGTAAGCGCTCAACCTGAAGGCTCAGATTGTTCAATCTGTACGGAACACCTTGTTAGAGATGTGGTACAATTAGCTGGTGCATGCGGCCATACGTTCCATACAGTGTGCCTTGTCGCCTGGCTTTCTATTACTGCGCGCCAAAATCGCACTTCCCCAAACTGCCGCTGTGAGCTATACGCCGCACCGGCGAATCGATCATCAGATTCGGCCGCTCCAATCCGCACCGCAGAATCTATCATCGCCCAGAGAGTAAACGTAGAAGCTCGTAGATATTCAGGCCTGCTAGCAGCTAGCAGGCTTGTTCCAGGAGCTTTTATGAGACCTCGGGGATATGATGAAGAAATGGACCTTCGAGTAGCGCACGACACTCCTCTTGCACAAAATTTTTCGGCGTCGACCAACTTTACCACCGTGTTGTTCTCGGGTGGAATCGATCCAAACATGATAGCCCGCGCCCGTCGCGCGGCACTACGCCTTGGTAGTGAGGAGATTCTTCTCCTGACACTCACCTTGACGGTTTTCATGAGAGTATTGTCACCAGGATCATTGTAACAATTACAGTTTTTATGTTGAACATACGCCATCTGGTAGTGTGCAGGTTCTGAGATGGTGACAAATTTCACATTTTCGTGTTATTTATCGGCTACGCAGGTTATAAAGACCCTGATGGACTGCGACGTAGCTTCACATAAACGCAAGCTCGAACATCATCATCCTCCAATCAAGCAAGGGGGAATCTTGGAAGCCGTCGCAGAGCCTGGATCGAATCTGTCGTGACTTCAATGCCATCCAATCCTTTACTTCATCACCCACTCTCTTTCACCCTCTTGCGGGTCCATGACATCACGCTCACTTCCAAGCCATTTGGCATCCTCGAACGGCAGTATAACAGCCAGCACTTTCGCCTTGACCAACCCCAATGGCAATGGCCCAAACGATCTACTATCCCGGCTCCATTCCAGATTATCTCCTTGTATCCAGCAATGCCCCTCAGGTACCCTTATCAGTTCTTCTCTCACGCTCGCCCATTTGCCTTCGACATCTACTGCACTCAAATCAGAGTCACGGCGCCCAGGCGTAACTACACTGACGAAGTCGCCTGGCATTCCGATGATGCGCTTACACCCGCTCAGTTGCGGCAAGATAGGGTGGGTGTAAGTTATGACATCGCCAACGTGCAGGTTACGCATACGGCGATGGAGCGAGGAGTAAAGAATATACGGTTGAGATCGGTAATCGTAAGAAATTGTAGGAGTCATCGAGATTCCGCTAGTAGCGCCTACGCCGCCGATGTAGGAGGAGAATGCGTGTATAATGAAGAAGCCTTTCGTGACAATGAGCGCGCTACCTGCGGATATGTTAGTAAGTGACTCTGAAAGTAGTGCCCGAAAAGACTTACGGCCAAGCTCCCTAAGATAGTGGTTGAGGTAACGGTCCATGGTGGCGGCATTACAATCAAATCCTAAGCTTTGTTATCGCTCTAGCATATTTGTTCTTATGACTATGTGCCTGGAAACGCTCGCAGTGCCGATGCGGAGTCGTTATGGCTAGAGCATCATGAAAGTGAAAGAACGACCGAGTGCGGAACGCACGATAATGTGGTATCTCCGACGCTAAAATCTTAACACCGATAAGTATCCCACTTCACGAACTTTGCCTGACTAGTACCTGAACGCGCAAACATGGTTCATGTTCACGATGAAGTATTGGGACTAAAAAGCTCAGAGCAGGCTACATTGCGGTAAGCGTACAAGGTAGTCACGCTGTCCCGTGCTGATCATCTCCTTAGGCCTGCACCAACCGGACTGGAGGATAGAGGGGTCTTGCAAGATGCTGTAAGAGGTGCTTCCTTCTTTCCTACATACTTTCACTCGCATGCAAAGTTCTCTCCTCGAATACCCTCCAACTCTTTTGAGAAGCTTGCGCATAAACCATGTGGATGAACTGTTAGATTGATCCTACATTATCTTTCATCTTTCCATTCTTAAGTGTTGTAGCCTTCATACGCACTTGGAGTACTTCTTCAAGTTTGCTAGGGTCCTTGTGCATGACTAATATCGACATTTCTATACAGACTTGATAACGTCCTACCATGACCTCAATCCATCAACGATCGACACGCTCACCTCCGAACCATCACCATTACAATTCATGCGCCATGTCGCGCGTAACCGGCCATTTGTTGTCCGGAACGGAGCTAGAGACTTCAAAGCAAGAAAGATATGGAATTCAGCATACCTGAAAGATGTCATGCGTGGTCAAAATGTCAACGTAGCAATCACACCTCACGGGAACGCCGACTCAGTCGTCTCGCTACCATTAGGTGGCTCAGTGTTCGTCAAGCCATACGAGACCGAGGAACCCTTCCAAGAAGTTCTAGAGAAGATTCAACGGCAAGAGCGGGAGGAAGACTATAAAGGCCCAACACACTATGCGCAAACCCAGAACGACAATCTCCGCAATGAGTACTCCACGCTTTTCGCCGATGTGCCCAAAAGCATACCTTTCGCGCGAATAGCACTAGAGCAGGAACCCGACGCAATCAACTTCTGGCTCGGAAATTCCTACTCGACGACTGCCCTACACAAGGATAACTACGAGAATATCTACGTTCAGATCCTGGGTCAAAAGCATTTTGTTCTCTTACCACCGGTGGAAGCGGCTTGTGTCAATGAGAAGAGTGTCCTGGCTTCTACGTATACTCTGAAGCGCAACGGAGATTCACCTTCTGACACGTTCGAAAAAAAAGATATGGTGATCAAGGTAGATGAGCCGGAGGAATACGTACCTTTCGCAACATGGGATCCTGACCAGCGCACCATCAACACTACGCCCTACTCTCAATACTCGCAGCCACTCAGAGTAACACTAGAAGAAGGCGATATGCTATACTTGCCGGCACTATGGTACCACAAGGTAAGCCAGAGCTGCAACGAAGAAGGAATCTGCTGCGCGGTAAACTATTGGTATGACCTTGAATTCGGCGGCGGATTCTGGAGTACCGCAAATTTTGTTAGGAGCACCGGATTACTGAGCATGCAAGGAAATGCGGATGATGGAATTAGAGGCGGAGACGACTGATGCTTCTTGTAACAAAGGGAAACTTTACTACGATTATGGGTATCTCTAGGATCTACAGTAACAGACAAATCCAACGCCGAAGCAATGCTCCTTTGACTCCGCTCCTACTAATTCCGGATCTTGACTTTGATATTGACGCCCCTGGCGCTCTGCCACACACTATCACTGACCTTGACCGGCAACTTTCGTCCTTTGAGTCTTTGGTCAATCAACCATAGACCTACCACGAACTCGTACCTGCTTAGTCTACCAACACCTCTGCTGTCTACAAGATCCCAAACTTCTTCTAAAACATGCGTAGGCAGTCGACTCCTCGTCCAGATCTCTTTGACCAGAAGATTCAACACGTCAGCCGATGGGTCATCGTCAGGCGGCGCGTTAGCAGGCGATGGTATGTGATGACCCTTGTTCGCTGCCCACAGACCTTCGTAACGCTTCCGCTCCCGTTCGGTTATCTGATCGCGCCAACGCTTTCGCGTGCCCTCGTGATGTTTATTTGGGTGCTTCCGTCCCTTGATGCCCATAATGCGTGTCCCCTTTTTCTTGTATTTGTCGACCTTGTTGTCTTCCTCATCGGACGACGACGGTTCTTTGCGCATTGTGGTCCGCATCTTCCCGGCGCTCTTCGGAGGTGATTGTTTAGGCGGTGAGGGCGATCGATGGAACGGAGAGTGATGGTGGTGCTGTTTGCGCGGCGGGAAAAGAGGTTCGACTGACATAGGTCGAGGTGCGGGCGAAACGTTGCGAGAATGCGAGGCTAGAGCGGCGCCCATTATGGCGCTCGACAGAGATTCGCCAGTCATGTGTTGTGTAATCTGCTTGACAGACTCCCTCTGGTAGTTATTATGATATACTGAAGGTGAACCTGATCCACTGGTTGACGTTGGCCGACGAGGAGGCGAGAGTCTCTGCAGCGGAGGCATCGAAGCTGGGTTCTGACTTTGGGTCCGAGGTTTGATTTGTATTGGGGCCGAAGGCTGAAGTTTGCTGGTAGCCGGTACGGGATCTGCTTTTCGCGTAGTCGATCGCCGCGGCGGAGGCAGAGCAGGTTTGAACTTCTCATCTTCCTGCTCTTCTTTTGCTGACTTGAAGGAAGAAGGTGTTGACGGTGACTGTTGACTCTCTATAGACGCGGACACTCTGCGCCGTTGTAAGGACTTGGACTGCGTTGTGTCCTCAGACTTTGGCCGTGTTTGCCGAGAACCCCTCTGCAGGGGCTTCGAAGGCGGAGAAACCGATGTGTTGATTGTCGCCAGCTGCACCGGTTTTTGCCTGATCGGAGGAGATTTCAGGGGATCGTTCTTGGGTGTATTGAAGTATGCTTGCTCGCTACTGCCGTCGACATGTTGTGGCGGCAGCGTGATCTTGTGCTTCGGCTTTGGCTTCACAGGTGGTGGTGTCTGCGTCCTGACTCTCTGCAGGGGTGCGTCATCTTTCGGCTCGGGAGGTAACTTGAATGCACGCTGCGGCTTCGGCGACCGCACAGGGGGTGGAGAGTTCTGGGTAACACGTATCGGTGCAGAGGGTTTGGTAGGCGTCCTAGGTCGCGCTTGCTCAAACATTCTGACGAGCGAGTTCGTTGGCGGTATAGGGGTGTCGTCGGTAGGCTTGTGTGGTGACTCTGGCTGTCGGGCACTGGTGGCAGCTGAATGCGGTTCGAGGCTGCCTCTCCTCTTGCGCGGCTGCTGGCTGGGTTTCTTAGATTCGAGCCTCGCAAGCACATTCCCTACGCTGCCCGAGGGAGGCAGTACATCCCTCTCGTTTGGTTGGTGTTCGCTCATGGTGGGCGGAACAGCGGCCTGGGGTAGAGGCCGCAGAGGGCTGTGTCGAGCTGCCGCAAGCCGAGCAGCGATATTTGAAGGCGAGGAGACGCGGCCGGGGTGGTCGTCAGGCACGCTCAGCGAGTTGGAGCTGTTCGACTTGGACAGATTCGGCTTGCTGACGCCCACAGATCCGCCAGTGTGGTGGCTTCGCAAGGATGCCGGGCTGCCAGTTCCGACCTTGGTTGCAGCCAGCAAAGCCCCATTGTCTCCTCCAGTATATGTGTTTACCAAAGGCTTTGGCTTCGCGGGAGATTTGGAGAAGGCTTTCGCTGCGCCTCGCAGTGCAGCGTCTCGTACATTGTGTTGGGTGTCGCCGGCCGTCTGCGGGACCCAGCCCTGGTTGCGTGCAGAGCTCATTTAGCGGTCCATTGGATGGTGAGCAATAATGACGTATACGGAGAATTAGGGGAGAATAGTGCGCATACAGAGGGTATTTCTGCGCAACATGAAAGCAAAGTAACGAAAGACTGAATAGAAAACGAGTGGTGTGGAGTCGTAATGTCAGGTTTCCAAGATTAGTATCGTCAGCCCTGTGAATGACACGGCGTGTGTACCCACAAGGCATGGGTGATGGCTTGGGAATTACGCTAGCTTCTTGTAGTCTGATAGCCACGTGATCACGCGTGACGCGCTTCTCCAGGCAGCCACGACCTCGTTCTCATATACAACAATTGTCGCAAGAGCTACATCACTCATCCAATGCACTCAAAATGGCCGAAGATACACCAATGGCCGATGCCGAGGCGGTTAGGGAGAACACGCTCATGTACGGCCATGATGATGAGCTCGACGACAAGTACCCAACACGTCCGATAAACCTCCACAAAACACTTCCCTTCCATACCCTATTCACGGAACTATTCAATCCGCTTATGGAAACACAAAAAAGGAAGCAGCCTGTGGGAGCTCGGCGAAGAGTCGGACCACATGGACACTCTAATATGTCACCTCACGAAGCGAAACGTAACATCATCGAAAGATTCATTGCGACTTGGCGCAAGCAAGTGGGCAATGACTTCTTTCCCGCAATGCGTCTCATAATCCCGGAAAAGGACAGAGATCGAGCCATGTACGGTCTGAAAGAGAAGACAATTGCCAAGGTCTTGATCAAACTTACAAGGATCGACCCCAACTCTGACGGTGCCAAACATATGCTGAACTGGAAGCTACCTGGTCAGCTGAACAAGGCTTCGGCATCAACTGCCGGCGACTTCGCTGGACGATGCTACGAGATCCTGTCAACCCGGCAACTCAAGACCGAATACAGCGACATGAGTATCGCAGAGGTCAACAACGCTCTAGATAAGCTATCACAGATTGGCGCCGAAGAAGAGCAAGTCAAGATCTTCCAACGGTTCTATCGAAGGATGAACGCTGAGGAGATGACCTGGCTCATTCGGATGGTCCTTCGCCAGATGAAGATTGGAGCCACTGAGAAGACCATTCTAGACATCTGGCATCCAGATGCAGAGACGTTATTCAACATCTCTTCAAACCTTCGAAGAGTGTGCTGGGAACTATTTGACCCTGAGGTCCGTCTGGCAGGCGAAGACACTGGGCTGAGCTTGATGCAATGCTTCCAGCCACAACTGGCTCAGTTTCAGGATAAGGTAGGTAACTTTGAGAAGCTGGTCACAAGATTTCAAGGGAACACCGATGACGATACCTTTTGGATTGAAGAGAAGCTTGATGGAGAACGTATGCAGCTTCACATGGTTGAGGATCCTGACGCGCCAGGCGGTAGAACTTTTGGGTTCTGGTCGCGAAAGGCCAAAGACTATGCGTACCTCTACGGTAAACACTTCCAAGGCGACGAAGCTGGTGCACTCACACGGTTCATAACAGACGCCTTTGGCAAGAATGTGCGGAACATCATCCTTGATGGCGAGATGATCACCTGGGATATGGACCGCGATCACATTGTTGGGTTTGGAACTCTCAAGACCGCAGCTATATCCGAGAAAGAAAACAAAACGGACAAGAACACTGGTCAGCGACCGGTCTTCAGGGTTTTTGACTGCGTATTCCTGAACGACAAGCTACTCACACAATACACGCTACGTGATCGCCGTCGCGCTCTGGAAAGTGCCGTCAAGGGCGTACATCGTCGTCTGGAGATCCACCCGTACACCGAGGCGCGCTCGCATACAGAGATTGAACCAGCACTACGGAAGGTCGTTGCTGATTCTTCGGAAGGTCTGGTGCTGAAGAACCCACGTTCTATGTATCGGCTAAATCAACGCAACAACGATTGGATGAAAGTTAAGCCAGAATACATGTCCGAATTCGGCGAGTCGCTCGACTGCATAGTTGTCGGCGGGTACTTTGGCTCTGGACATCGTGGTGGCGCCCACTCATCCTTTCTTTGCGCACTGCTTACGAACAAAGATGCAAAGAAAGGCGACCTGAAGTACGAACATTGTTGGTCGTTCTTCAAAGTTGGAGGCGGATTTGCTCAACAAGACTATGCTGACATACGGGGCCGAACGGAAGGCAAGTGGCATAATTGGGATCCTCGACGGCCACCTCCATTTATTGAGTTAGGCGGTCATGAGCACAATCGACAACACGAGCGACCAGATCAATGGATCAGACCCAGAGATTCTGTCGTTCTGGAATGCAAGGCAGCAAGTGTGGAAGGCACCGACAAGTTTCGCTTCTCTTTAACGCTTCGCTTTCCTCGCTTCAAGGGGCTCAAAAAGGACAAACGCTGGGATCAGGCACTGTCGGTACAGGAATTTCTGGAAGTAAAGAGCAGAGCTGAAACTGAGAAGTCGGAAAAGGAGAAAGAATTCAAGATTGAGCAATCACGCAGGAAGAAGGCGAGAATATCGAAGAAGCCACTCACTGTGGTAGGTAACGATGCCGTTGCTACACCATATGCGGGTCCAGCATCGAAGGTATTTGAGGGCCTGAGCTTTTTCATAATGACTGAGCAAATCCACCCAACGAAGAAGTCGAAACCCGATCTTGAAGCACTGGTCAAAGCCAACGGTGGCAAGATTGTGCAGCGCGATTCGATGGACAAAGACCTTGTCATCGTAGCGGACAAGAGACTGATTAAAGTTGCATCACTCGAGAAACGCGCCACGAACAACATCATCAAGCCTATCTGGATCCAGGATTGCATCAAGCAGAATGAGATAGACTGTGCCCCTTTACCATACCTGCTCCCATTCGAGCCAAACCGACATATGTTCTACCTCCACGATGACGATCAGCTCGACTTCGAGAACAATGTTGATGAGTATGGAGATTCGTTTGCGCGCGACATAGCAGATGTAGATGATATGCGAAAGCTGTTGGCTGGTGTAGGAGCAGGGTCAGACAACGACTCAGCATTTGAACGACAAGGCTTCCTAGACCAACTAGAAGACCACGGAGAGTCACTTGCGCATCTCAAGACACACATGTTTGGCACAGTAAAAGCTGCGTTTGACAGCAATCCTATTGATGCTAGCGGGATGCTCAAAGCCCAACTATCGAAGAACTATATTCGATTCGGCGGTGGTTCAGTGACTGATCGGATAGTTGAGGAAGGAGTCACACATGTTGTTGTACCGAACGAACACTCTTCGGCCAAGAGTGTAAAGGCTAAGGTCACTGGACTTGCCAGGATTGTGGGTGTCGCGTGGGTAGAGAAGTGCTGGGAGGAAGGCACTATGTTGGATGAGGAGCGGTTTCAGTGGGGGTGAAACAGTTCCTCTAGTCTTTTCTACATAGAACAGTCACGATACCGAATTGATGATATCACAAGAGACAGCATGATGAATATATTGCTTAGATAGTCCTCTGACTCAAAAAGTGCTGCCTTTCGTGAGATTCCGCTTCCAACCACCTTTAGTTGTCTTCACTCCAGTGCTCATGCTCGTACGTGTCACTCTGAGCTCAGCCTTCTCCACAACCAATGCTCCGTTACTCTGCGTCAAACGTTTTCGCAGGTCATCCTCCTCCAGATATTCGGCCTCACTGCCTAGCTCTTCTCGTATCGCTGCCGAGTATTCGATAATACTGCGCAAAAGTCCAGGTCTCCTGCCACTCCTATACATTCTTGACCCTCGCCGTGTATCAAGCCACATGCCGACCATGATGCAGACCCAGATGAAATTGAAGATGGAGACCATGAATAGAAAGATGTAAGAGAACCCCCACTGATACGTCTCGCTAGGTTTGCAAGATCCATGCTCCAGCAAATAAGCCGCGTCGTAGGTGTGGTTCGAGTCTGGGCGCTTCTCAAAAGCATATTGGTATCCAGGGTGTTCATGTAGTGGAACGGAGTTCAACTTTACGTATTCGACAGGAAATCTGGTAATTTGGAGGCTTCGGAACAGGGGTAACTTGACGCCTTCCAACACAAATTCGGCTGTTATATTTGTATTGTTGGTACCGTTGAAGCCAGAACCTACCTGAGGCACGCCATTCACTTCATGTTCCCAGGTCCAGTTTCCGAACTGCATACGGTCTGTACTTGGTCAGCTGAGGCCCAGAGTATTGCAGTCAAACATACAGTTATCAATAGCATCGACGAGCGGCTTGTCATCTGTTGTAGCAACGAGCGGCGCATCGAAACCGTCCAATCGATCAGCGTCGTGGATAATGTACTCCACCTGTTTCACCTGGCTCCATCCGAGGAGGTTCCCATCAAAATCCTCTATGTATGGCTCATAAGTCGCGATGTAACCTGTCATGGCTGCCATCAAAGTCGGGAACGAGATCACATAGAGCGTGGATAGCAACATTGAAAGTATTGCCAGCCATCGGAATAAGCGCTTCCAGGTGCCCGCCCCAAAAGCTAAGAATTCTTTCCCCAGTACACCGAGCGTGCCCATTGTTGTTGTTTCGAAGGCTACGGCGGCATACAGTTTGTACGATGTGTGATGCATCTCCATGTGGTATACCAGCCACTCGTTGAAGACGCGATAGTTCGCCCATGCCAACAAAAGTTGTCCACCTCTTCCAATAATCAGATCCCAGGCAACATCAATGACTTTTACCTGTGTAAAAGTCATAGCTCCAAAACTCAAGTTTGGTGTGAAGAAGTAAGAGGAATCCATAATGCGCCATGTTGCTCCGGAGGCTTCCTTCCAAAGACCGTTTGGATAGCAGTCTCGTCCCATAATGTAACTTTGGGATACCGTTTCCGCGGCGGCTGCGAGGCTGACGATGCCGGCGAGGGCAAGAGGGAGCGCCAGCAGAACGGAAGTTACTCGCCAAGGAAATAGTGACCATTTATCTTGTAAAGCAGCCTCGCGGTCGTTCTGTGGCCATTGGCGAGGCGTACCGGACTTGGTGTCGCTGTGGTGGTCGGCCATGGCGAGCAACTCGACGCTTCTTTGTGCATCGTCATCAGAGTCCTGACGAACAGCGGAGAATTGCGCCAGAGTCTTCATGGCTGGAGCACGATGAGACACGGCGTATGTCGAGGAAACGAAGCGCGTATCTAGCAAAGCCCAGCATACTTGAGGTGATCTGAGCCGCTCTCAGGCGTCCGACAGCTCTAACGACTTTGGCCGGGGATTTTCATGAAACCAAGCGAGGCGCAGTGCCCGCATTTGGGGGCCAAATACCTGCCAACGAAAGTTGGCTTTTCATTATGCAAGCGCAGAGTGCCTGGTGATGTTTCTCAATTATTGGCAAAACCCGAAGCATGCAGGACGTCATACGAGTTCGCTGATGCATTCAGCGGCATGGGCACCCAAGCTAAGTGAAAGTGAGCGCTCCATGAGGCTGGTCTTGGGAGCATCCATTCTATACGAAACGATGTATGTATGTGTGCAATGGTGGAGTTTTGTACAATAATCAGTAATGGTTGTTCTACTTAGAGTCCAGGAGTGCGTTAACCGAATCATGGCCTCTCAATGATCCTTGGAAGTACACTTGGGCGCCAAGACACTAACAGTATGATGTACGCTGAGGTGGAGGTCATCGAGCCACAACAAACTTCATCGTTCTTAGAGTCAACTTAAAATACATTCATGCTTGTCGCAGGTTGTTCTTATCGCGAAGCTACGTCGAACTATCTATTGCGCTCCTCCCGGCACAGAGCTTGATGCAGTCTAGCGCCGCGCACCCCGCTTCCAATCAGGGCAGGTACCTAGCCAGGAAGCACAACGGCTGATAGTAATTCATATCGCCTCCAGCAGAATGATTCGTTCGCACGTTAATGACCATGCGACATAGTCCTTGAATAGTATGATGCTCCGGATGTAGACTTGCGATGATCTGTCCTCGCGACAGCGACCTGATGGCTCCAACTTCCTTAGATTTATCGCATGATCTAAGCTAGTTAGGCGGGGAGAAATGATGGCAAACATGTGGACTGCACGTACAGCCCTTCTGACGGGTCTTGTCATCTCACTTCTTGGAGCCTTCTACGTCTATCAGTCCCCCACGCCGCTCAACTTTAGCATGCCTCATTCAATGTCCAGTCGCACCAGCATGCCCGATTTAGAGTTCACAATAACCCAAACCTCACGCTCCCCACCAGCCCTGCTCATCACGCTCAAAAACACGAACCCAGAAGTCACCTACACCATCTTGAAATGGAACACACCGCTGGACTCTTCCGCACTCAACACTGGTATTTTCACCGTCATCGATGCGGAGAGTGGAGAAGAGGTCAATCAAACCGTCTTGCAAATCAATCGCAAAATGCCTCCTCCGCAAGGGTCACTCGTCACGCTTGCACCAGGCACTGAAGAAGAGGTTGAGGTAGTCTTTGATAAGCCGTGGATGCCTAAGCGCAAGCCAGCCACATACAAGGTTCAGGCCAAGGGTGTGTGGAATGGTGTTTGGGGAAAGTACGGAGATGAAGTGACCAAGGAAGATTTGTATGCTTATCTTGAGAGTCCTTTCAGTGGATGGCGGTTTGCAACAAATGAGGTTCTTATGGAATTGCATTAAAGAGGGAATCAAGAAGACGAGAGTAAGGTGTTCTAGCAGCCTGCTACTATCTAGACTGGCCAGCAGAATTTATAATCTCTCTCTTTTCTCTATTTAATTCCTCATTCCTGCTCCGAAATCGCTCACTAGCCCTGTTAAGCTCAACCGATCCATCAGAGTATCTTGCATTGCTTCAGGACCTGCCACAGATACTACCCAACATTAGCCCTTTATCACCTTCAGTTGATCCAAGTTACGTACTTTACTCGGCTTTCCGATACGCTCTCTGATGGAGATTTGTGAACCTTTCGACGATGTCGAGCCGTGAGTAGATGTGCGCTCCATATTGCGTAGCGAGTGGTTGCGTGTGTGCGTGTGTTTCTGTTTAATGTACAATTCGAAAGGAGCGACCTGGCTACAGCAAAGAAAGATAGTGATATGAGAAGGAGTGGCTTGGTGAGTACACACTCCGCAGCACCAACCCAGAATATATACGCACCAAATCGCCATCATGACTGCACCAACTTTGGTTGATCGACAGTCGCCAGGCACCCGTTGATCGTCCCCCATCCGACCCAGCATTCTACAAAAACTTTATTCCAGTATCGGTTTACCAGCCCATCCAATGCGAACCATCTTACTTCTTTCGCGCTTAACGGCATGCTCCGCTAAAACCCACTCGGGAATAGAAGAAAAAGAAAAGAGGAAGCTGAAACGCGGAGATGAACGACAAACCCCACTTATACTTCGGGTTCGGTGCGAACATAACAACACAGTCTAGCGGAGTAAGGAATTCAAGCTGAAGCATGCTCCGAAATCCAAGAATGGAAAATTGTCGGGCAAGTACTGAATATGTGACGGAGATATTTCAGGACCTTGATGATGCTATGTAACCCTTCGACGACTCATTCGGAGCCACCGGCATAATCTGTACCCTCCCATTACAGCCTCTCATCCTACCACGCTTCACGAGGACCCATTCTGCTCTTTCTCACCGAGCTCATACGCTTTCAGCACCCTTTTCGCGACGCCCTCCCCGCTCCAGTACGCCCCCGTGACGGTCCCTAACGCAACAAACGGCGCGCAATGCTCTCCAGCCAACCAAACACCTCGTTCAGGCATGCCCTTTCGTAATGTCTCCACATCCTCATCACCCTTTTCGAGCCCAATTTGGAAATTGCAGTATGAACCGTAGCCAGCGAGTTCGTCGTTTGCCCATGCTGTTGCCAGGACGGCTTGTGGTGCGCAGTCGCTGTGGTTCGGCTTGTAGTTGGGAAGTTTGGAGTAGTAGGGAAGAAAGAAAGATGTTAGAAGGCTGTCATGCTTTTCTGGTGGGTTATTTGCTAGGAGTTTGGCGATATGTAAGCTTGTTGGTCCAAAGGTGTAAAAGAGGAGGGTTGGGTGCGCCGTTCCTCTGGGAAGGGCGGCGAGGTTCACAGCTTCTTGATCCCAGGCTTTTGGGTTCGTTTCAGATGCATATGTTGGATGTGTCCAGTGTGTGAAGCCTGGATAATGTGCTGGATTGACTGGTGAGTCAGTTGCTTGATGCACGGGCGCTGTTATTGCTGTGACATTTGGTTTGCTTAGGTCGCGAGATGCAGAGGGTAGTTCTGCATCGCTGGCTGTTCCTTCGTTCCAGAAGGCGCTTGGGAAGGTGATGTATACTTTGTCAAGATGCCCGTATCCGAGACTTCCAACAGCTTCTGTCAATCGACTCGGCAATGCTGGGACGAAAGCATCGAGATTGCGCTTTAGCCAGCCTAGTGGAGCCGTCATAATCACTTCGTCGAACATCATACTTTGCCGGCCTTCAAGTTCAACGGTAACACCCGCATCTGCAGTGTCCTCTCCCGATACGATCCGCTTTACTTTATGTTCAAACAGCATCGTCGCATGTTCCAGCGCAGGCTCAGCAATCTTCTTCAGCACCTTGTCGTACGTAGATGCGACAAAGAGATTCTCGCCATCGATACACTCCTCCAGCCAGAAAAATTTCAGACTTTGCCTTTGGATGGGCGAGCCAACGAAAGCACCCCACATTTCTGCCATCTGAAGGATGATTCGCTGTTGCCTCTTCGATTCAGCATCCTGATTAGGGAACATTTCTACAACCCGCTCTTCAAAGTAGTTATACAAACTCTTGTCCGAGGATATCGTGGCCGAATTCTCATTCGAAAGCTTCATTGCTTGCTCGATGATAGTCCAAACATGCTCAGTGTTCTTCGCTGCGTCTTTGTCAGACATGTGGTTTCCCTGGCTGTCAAAAACTGATTGGCGACCATCCCAGTTCATGCTGATAGTCTTGGTCTCTTTCGCAAGGTCTAGGATAGGGTTGTCATCAGTGCCGTGTATCCAGTTCGGGCCGCTAGCGAAACCGTTAGCTTGGGTGTAGCAGACCATATTGGGGTTGCAGACTCACAGGTCAACTAAATGACCTAGCGCATCGCTTTGACATAACTGTTAATTCATTAGCACATACGAGTTTACATGGCTGGGTAGACAGACTCTTCCACCAACCCTATTTCTCCCTTCCAGGACTGTAACCTTGACCCCGTGCTTCAACAGCAGATCCGCACATCTCAGCCCAGCAACACCCGCACCGACAACACAGACATGCGGTATCTTGCCTGCCGCTCTTCGGATCATATTGGTTTCGTCCATGTAGCCTTGCTTGTGTGGCGAACCAAACAGATCCTTCGATATTCGAGTCTCTCTTTCAGACGACGTTCTGTTATTCAGACTGTTAGCTCTACGAACTGCATTCTCGTTGCCGATGTTTCCCATGTTGACGGATCGCTATTCAGCAATAGTGAGAAAGTTGAGATGAAAGAAAAAAGGCTATATCAATGTTGCGGCGCTGATGCTTAGCCATGCATGTGTTGACAAGTATGGTCGAGAGATGCGTCCCAGTAAAACGTGGTTCAGAGAAGGAGAGTGCTGGCGGCGTGGTTGCCACGCTAGTGGCAATCCGTATCTCGTGCTACTGAGTGAATCATAATGACTACTCCGAAAGATTGGGTTGAAACGAGGCTACGATGCTGACAAAGGGATTCTTGTTGGCGCGAATGCTATTATGACAAGGAATTAAAGGCGGCACAGCACCTCGAGTAGGGACAACCGCTCACATACCTTGGAATATTTGTGTGGGCTGGAAAGAGGTAACGACCTCGTTTCGATTTGGCCTTGTGATGGACACAAGAGCCAATCTAATTTGTCCAAGAAATGCCAACGCGATGTATTAGGTTGCAAGTGAGGCGTGTGATAAGGTAGATGTTGTACGCTGTCATGCGTCTGCATGTACGTCAGATAGCGAGCAGTAAGCCCGACGCTAGCTTTAGTTAGTGCCACGAGGCTGTATCACGAACATGATTGGACAAAGCGACACAGACGAACTTGAGCTCAACCCATTAGATTCCTACTTGAATAGTACATTACGAGCATTGTTCTCGTATTAAGTGGCATTTTACTGCCGTGGTATCATATCTCGCCCATCATCATTCAAGATCGTCAGTCCCTGCGTGTCACACCTATTTGTCCTTGGAACCGATGTGAAGCTTGTTTTTCATCTTCTCCTTCAAGTGCGACATCTTGCCACCCTTCTCTTCGTTGCTCGGAGACGAGGTCAAGTCGGTGGACTCAGACTTACGGCCCGATTCAGATTTGCGACCTACATGCTCTCCAGCCGAACCTGCAACACCGTCAGTACTGCCCTGACTATGTCCAGGTTGCCGTGTCCACAAACCCTTGGACTCTGATCCACCAGAGGCAGCGTTTTGCTTAGCGGTAGCTGCGTCAAAGTTGCTGCTGTCGGAAGGAACGCCTGTTGATGCCCAGCCTGGAGTGTCGCGGTTCTCAGAGAGCTTCTCGGCATCGGTCTTTGTCTCTGTACCGGCGCCAGCTGCGTACACACTTGAACCAGCTGTGACGGAGTCGGGAGCAGTGGTCTTGATGGCAGGATCAGGGCTGGTGGAAGTGGCGGTTGTAGATTCAGTGGCTGTAGGGCCGGCGCCTGGTGCACCTGAACGACTGATGTCGTCAAGTGGTGTTTCCTTCCAAATCTTGTCGGTAACTCCAGCCTTGTCTGTGATGCCAGTGCTCTGGGCCGTCGAAGAGGCGTCAGTGTTGGATGTAGCAACGTCGGGGTTGAGAGGAACGATGGGCATGCCAACATAGGATGCATCTTTGCTATCCGAGTAGATCTTGGGGTCGGTCGATGTCTCGGTCTTGGTCTCGGTCGGTCCCTGGGTGGTGGGATCTAGCTTCAGGAACTCATCTGAGGTGGAAGTCTTCTCAGCTGCCTTCTCAGTTGCCTTAGCTTTGGGGTAGTTAGCATACTGCCCTATCGATAGCCCATATGTCGAATGCGGGGTGTTGAATACTCACAATCGTTGCCCTGGTCAAAAGGCTCCGTGACGGTACCCTTGCCAAGCTCACCAGAGACGGGCTCCTTGCCGACAGTCTCGTTGTTCTGGTAGTCAAGGAAGGTTCCCTTGTCAGCTGCGGCTAGAGGGGTTGCTGTGAAGCGGGGTCAGCATAGATCGTCTAATGCGAGACTTCGTGGGGGCGCACCAAGGTTGCCTTGGTCATAGGGCTGAGTGACAGTGCCCTGACCCTGCTCGCCTGAGATAGGCTCCTTGCCTGCGGTTTCGTTGTCCTTGGTCTGTTCGACCGCCTCCTCGGTCTTGGGCTGGTCGCCGTAGATGAGCTTCGAGGCTGTAGTGGCAGCAGTGCTGGCAAGGTTGGTGATGGTCTCCATGTTGACTGTGGTTTATCAAGATCAATTGCAAAAGTAGGGATTATGAAGTGGGCGAGGGAACTAGGTATCGTGAGTATACGTCGAGTCAAAGAGCCCGTGTTGGCGCGTTATGAAGGCACGCGGGCAGTGACGTAGGTTCCTGCGTTTGTCCCTGTTCTACCCAAGATCCAGCCACAGCCCGTGTTACGGGACACCTACACCAACGGGACAACCTACAGCGAGCCCCAGAGTGGGGCCTAATCATAGCATATACCTTGATTTAACCTCAATTGAGCTCGATAACGCCATCGACATACCAATCGATCTTGGGAACATGGTGGGTGGAGCTGCGTCCAGGTACCCTCAATGGCCGGTCACGCGCGAGGACCTCAAGTCAAATCAAAGGCGCGCCACATCACATCCTGATCTTCGTGATTGCGACCGGCCTGGCGCGCGTGTTGGAATCTCGAATCTCGGCCGCGCTGTTGGAAAGGAGCGTGGCTGGGCTTGCGTCATGCTGCAAACATGTCAAACATTGGTCTTAGCGCGTTTCGTCATCGTCAACGACTCTTTCGGCATGCCTAGGGAGGTGAGGATGCTCGATTCGTTGATCCACGTACCAATCCTTTATACGAGGCCTTGTGCTCCCTCAACACAGAAGTCCGTATTGCGGTATCCAATGGTCTCTTTGACCCAATGTTGATCCTTTTTCTCTATTCCGAGTTGCCGAAGGCGTTTGCAAGTTTGAGGGTGGTACGACCTCGGATGCCCCTGCACTTATAGATTCAAATCACCGTTTAAACGGTAGATGTGGGTACAAGGGGCAGAGATTCTGTAAGGCTCTACCTAGAGTATAGTTTCACGATCTCCTTAGTCACGTGCAGAATGGCATTACCTACCTATGCAGGTAGACGTGGTCCCGGTCGACCTGTTAAAAAACTAAAGTATTTCACGCACGACGCGGACTTCTTTCTGTGTATCTACCAGTGTTAGGAGGAAGTTCTTTGGAGGCTTCGGCTCAACATAGTCATTGTTTTTCTGTCTCTCAGTTGGGCGAGACATCTGGACAAAGAAACATTGCTTTGACATCGACCACTAAAGAACCCAGAGGTTCGATGATGACTTCGTAAGGACTTCTTAAAATGTAGTAATTCCACCGCCACGTTCGGCTACTTGGTTTACAGTGGAGGGAGCGACCATATCCACTTCGCTCGAGTCATAACTGTAATTGTTTGACATGAGGCAACAAGGGATCAGACCAAATGAAATCGTTGGAACTTTCATCGCATAATTCTTCTAGTATTCTCTTGATTGAGTATTTTGACAGATTCGAACTCCCTAATCACCACCTACTGCAACCTTGCATCACACCCCCGAGCAGATTCCACCGCATATCGTAACCTGATAACCATGGAGTCGACAGCACACCAGCTCCCCATGTACCCTCATCGCGTTACCACGCCTGGCATACCAGAAACGATTTACCAAGTCCCCTCCCACTATCGCTGTCAGTCAGAAATCCGGGGGATACCTAACCATGATCTGCAACTACATCAAAGCTCAGAGAGCTTTGCTAACCTCGACTATCAGGATATCATCGCTCGTTATAATGACACTGCCGGGATGCATACCTGTGCGGTCTTCAAATCGGCCACTTCCAACGACGACATAAACGATAGAAAGGATGAACTACGATATGATGCCAGGTTCGGCGGCAACTTCGATCGTCGAAACACTAGGATTAAATCACTTCGAAGCAGACAAGATCGAGATGGCACTTTCATGGTTGCGAGTGCGCGAACGCTATGCTCCCTATCTCCCGAGTCATCTCCTCCTGCGTCCCCATCTTCACATTCTCCTTCTTTGATTTACAAAGAAACCCTGAAGATCGAGCATGGAATAGGCCCACAATCTATTCCTACACCTATGCTTGTAGAGAAACACCACAATATCTACTGCCGGATTAAGACTTTTCTTGTACAATTCCTTCGACTCTATCCTGATACCACGATGATCAGGATCTGTAGCCACAAGTTCCGGCACGGTCGGTGCAAGAAGTGTGACCTTCCCGAGGCTATATTGCCATATCTGAATGGGGGTATGCGAGCGGGCTTCTACTGCAAGCAAGATGGGTGTGAGGGATGTAGCAATCGTGCTTCGACATCGATTTGCGATGCTTGTGGTTCAGAGGAGGATCTATGCGTTCCTGTGAGTAGCGCTTCGAAGGAGGTACAACATAGCTGGTACTGACTGTGAACAGCCATTGCGTATAAGATCGAGTATGGTGGCATCTTCACTGCATACCGATAATCGAGATACAGATACTGGGAGCAGGTTGACAATCGCAGAAGAAGCGGCCCAGATCGGCTCCATAGACTCTATTCCCACCGAGCAACGCGTACACATCCTGACCAGCATCAACAGTATGTCCGAAAGCAGCATCTCATCCACCGATCTATCTTCCGACTCATTCTTTGAATCGAATCCGGTTGGGCCATTCTCCAGCCCAGTGGACTACTCGCTCGGCGTTCCCCCGTATCTACCCACCCATGATCGCAACACATTAACGGCTTGTCCAAGGCCCACTGTGGCCGTCGAAAATGAAGACTCAACACCTAGTCCTGGAAGTGTAGAGAGCAGTGAAGTATTCGAATTCGATGTCTTAGCGATTGCTGTACCGATCTTACAAGTCTCACCCACCACGATTCAAATACGACAATCCGGGACTGCCAGTCAACCTTCAGGAATAACAAGGAAAATACAAAGCCTGCAGGACATCGTACATGATGCTGTGCACGGAGATATAGAGTCTCAGGTTATGATACTGAGAATGTATCAAGACATATCGACCGCAGATGCAATGTCTGCTTTATACCATAAGAGCGAGCCAGACAGCCATCTCATCCGAAAAGCACGGTTAGTCCTCGGTCTCCAAGTTCAAGAAGCAGCTGGACATATTCCAGTTGGTTTGGTGGAAAAGGTGTCGGTGCAGTTGCTTTCGCAGCATAGAAACCACGCGATGCGTATGGAGGCTTTTGCTGCATACATTTGCCAGGCGGTCGTCGAAAAGGAATTGTCAGAGGCGCGCGGGACGCAGATTTTGGCGCTCGCTGAAGACGAAATGTAGTAATAGAGGACGTGTAAATTCTATTGGGTGAGAGTGTAGTTGTTTCCTGTTAAGTCCAAGGCACCTTGGATGTATCTGACGACCTGATCACAATCAGTTTATGTTGCTAACGTGGAACCTAGAAGTATGCAAAAAATGGGTTTCAGAGTATATGTGCATAAAGAAAGTGCGGGAAACACATCTCGGATGAACTTGTGAATATGATGATTTAAGTATCTGTGAGACTTCTGCTACGACCATTTATCGTGCACTAATCTCAGCCAGTTTCGCTTCTACAATATCTTCAGCTCTCTTCAATAACCCCAGTTCGTTATAGGATGTATCTGGAAATGCTTTCGTGAGCTCGACACCCAATCAGTGGAATGTTCAGTCGTCGCATCGTCTCATTCTCTGCTCATACATTCTGAGTGACTTTGCGTGTGGAGCTGACACGTGGTCTAGGATCGCGTCGTTCTACTCGTCCTCCATGCCTTCGAGTAGCGTATGCTCGAGAACGTCGCTCAAGGTTACCATGCCTTTAAGCTTACTGTTCTCATCTATGACGACGAATCGATGCACGCGCGACCTCCGGATCGTGTCGTATATGGTTGACATGTTGTCGTTCAGTGAACAGGTGAAGATACCAGGGAAGTCCTGCTGCTGTCAGAAATGCGCAGAAATGGAAGAAAGAAATGGATACTCACGTCTGAACGCTTCAGTAACGCATCGCCGACCGTCAGGTTCAAGTCATCGTATACGCCGCCCTTGATAAGCGTGATGACGTCTACAGCCTCAAAGACATTCAGCACGGTGCCTGCTCTGTCCAAGATGGGCACGCTTGATATGCTCTTCTTAACAAGCATATGAATGACGTCCATAACCGGTGTGTCCATGGATGCAGTCGCGAGATCCTCGTATGTGCCAACATTCAGCTCCTTCAGTGGCTTCCGTAGCTTCTGTGTCTCCTTGACGTTCACCGCGATGAACTTCAATATCCGGTATTGGGTGATGACGCTGACGACCATTGTTCTACGTGTCTCGTCATCGCTGTCGACTATAGGTATGCGGCGCGCGCGTGACTCAAGCATCTTGCGACATGCTTCGTATACGGGTCGATCGGGGTGTATGGAGATTGTTTCTATGGGTTTGACACCCAGAGCTTTCTCAATATCTGTACGTGTAAGTTGGTGGTCGGTGTGGAAGCAAAGCACCTACCTCTCAGGCTGTTTAGGCGGAACTGATCTACCCGCGCCAAAGCGTCTGGGTTCTGCCAGTAGTATTGTATGACGTTTATGTAGTCGGATGTCGTGAGGAGTCCGGCGAATGTGGAGGATTTGGAGTCCCACAGCGGCGCTGAGACGATTCCTATAGCCAGCCGTCAGCTCTTGCTTTGTACACACAAGATTCCAAGCTCACCATTCTGGTTCAATATATTCAGACTCTTCTTCACTAGCAGCGCCGTGTCGAATACGATGAGGCGATAGCTTATGGGTAGGACGTCATAGCTTGTTCTGGCCTTGAGGAAAGCTCTGATGGTTCTCTAGCTCTTGTCAGCTGGCGCTGCGACCATACGCGACACAGGATCCCGCACCAAGCCGTCCAGTTGCTCGCGGTCAACGGCTGAAAGCTGGCGCGGCTGCTCTTTTGGGGGCAAGGGCGCCCGGGACTGCTGGAGCAAGTCCCTCGGCGTCACAAAGGCGGGCCGCGCATCGTTGGAGAGGGCGTTGGTCGTAGAGTCTGCCGTGTCGACGCCCGACATGATTATCGCGTTGCTCCTCGGAGCCGCATGGAGCGTGTGACTCCAGTAATCCAAGCTTCGGGGACAGGAATAGCGGAGATCGGGGGCTAGTAGAGGCAGGATTTCTCGAATGCGGTGAAAGAGGATGCAGGTAGACGCCCGCCCCACGATCGTCATTAGCGCATCGTGAACCTGGGAAGTCAATGCGCAAACATGCGGGGCAGACAGTCATGTAGGTAAACAGGCGGCAAACGAACACGTTGGACAAGCTTTGCATACGTTTTACTTTACTTCCGCTCGAACTTGAATTGAAGCGCTCAGCTGTGAGATACGGCTAACCTTAGGGAATGCACCCGAAAGAGACCTGGTCCCGGAACCAGATCCTCAGGCACGCTAGAAATCATACACTGCCGCCATCTGCCCATAAACATTGCACACCACCCTTGTCCCTCCCAAAATGCCCTCCCAAGCTGTAGCCTCCATATACTAGACAGTCCTCGTCCAAAACTACACGTCGTTTTTCCTAGCTGCCTTCGCAGCGTCAATGTTCAGCTCAGGACCTGGCTCTGCCTCCGCCTCCTCCATAATGATTTCCTGTGCCGCAGCCTCGACCGGTACTTCTGGTTCGCCGATTGCTTTCTTCGTCTGTGCCACGATGGCGTCTGCCTCGGTAATTCCGCCCTTCATGGTAGACTGATCACCATCTACACCCATGGCGGCGTCATTCTTGCGCTGTCGGAGTGCCTTGTTGTCGAAGCGTACGACCATGCAGGAAAGATTGTCGGTAGAGAAGCGAGCGAGGGCATAGTCGACGAGCTTCTTGGATGCTTCTTGGGGATCGTGGACTTGGCGGACTAGGTCAACAGCTTCCTGGTCGGAGCAGACATCCCAGAGCTGTGTTCGTTAGTAGATGTTACGTATTCGTTGATGGGCTACTTACTCCATCGCAAGCAAGAATGAGAAATTCGTCCTGCTCTGCCTGGATAACAGTCTCGGTGGTGTACGGGTGTCCGGTGACCAGGTCCTTCATATAGGCATCCCCCAGTGCTCGTGTAACAGCAAGAACGCCATTAACGCGGTTGTTGAGAATCAAACCACCAGCGCTGGCAACCCGACGGCCTTCATTCTCGTCGCTACCCTTGTGGTCGTAAGAGAGGCGAAGTGCTCGGCCATTACGGCAGAGAACAATACGCGCATCGCCCACGTTGGCCGTATACAGCACGCGCTGTCGACTGGCCTCGTTCCGTAACCTCGCCTCCACTTGTTGTTCAGCTGCAGGCTCCACAGCGGAATCAGCACCGTCCCTGGCCTCGCCTTCGCCGGCGTGCTTGATAGCCGATACTGCCGCGGGTGCGAAGAGGACCGAGCCGGTAGACGACTGAGCGTTAGGCACTCGGTCCTCCCACCTCAAGACAGCGATGACCGCGGTACAACCACTGTTCTTCAGAGGAAGCTTTTCCAACTGCTGGTCGACTACGGTGAAGGTCTGGTCAAGTAGTTCGGGTATCGGGGTATTTGGGTTCTTTCGAATTGTCTCTTCCAGAATCAAATGGAGCTTCTTCCCACACCAATCGGCAGCGAACGTTCCGGCGTGTCCGTCGAAGATGGCGAAGTATCCGTTGTCGGTCTCGACTACGGCTTGCGACAGAGCATCCGACTGAGTCGAACTGGCATCGGATATGGCGCGTGTCTTCTCGGCGCCGTAAGAGGGAGCCGGAGTGCTCAGGAAGTTGTATAGATATGCATGGGTATCCTCCATCGTTCGTCTGCACTTCTTGTTCTTATCCTCTGTGACACCGACGCGGAAGGTGGATCGTGGGCCAGGCGCCGACTCGCCGGCAGAGTTGTTGAGTGAGCCCTGGGGGACACTGAGAGCAGCATCGGATTTGCCGAGCTTCTGCATGGGGGTTTGAGGGGAGGCCTTTTCTGACATGGTGGAGGTACTGGAGGTGGGAGAGCCTGACGAGCCGCCGAGATGCAACGACTGTTTCGCGCTCGAGAACATGTCCCGGGCACGCGACACGCCGCTACTCCGTCGTTTTCTCTCAGCAGGCGCAGAAGCATCACTGGGCTTGCGATCTATCGAAGCGGAGCCGTTGCTGGTCGTGTTTATTGCGCCTGCAGCTCCGTTGTCTGTCGCCGGGGCTGCGGTGGGCTGTGGCGCGTCATTGCTTGCAGGAGTGCCAATGGTGGAACTCTCGTCGTCCTTTGCATTCCCAAACATCTTCGAGAGCAAGCCTCCCTGGGCGCTCCGACGCCTGTTACCTGCCAGCTTGATTGATGGCGCTGGTGTTTGCTGGCTGGGTGGTGGCGACGGTGATGCAGTTGGGGGCGGCGGCGGATTCGGCGAAAGTGAATAAGCGGGGCTCGAGTGACAAGAATATGTTAGGAAGGATGTAAACAGACGCAAGGGGAAGAGTCGTGGGAGATGGAGTTCTTAGGTGTGATGACGTCGGAGGTGTATAGCGGGGCGAGCAACCGGAAATATCAATTGGCGCAAGAAGAGGGCTTGACGCTGGGAGAGGATGGCAAGGCGCGGGCACGTTCCAGGGTTGAGATTGGACGATCGCCGGTGTAGCGTGGATGGAGTAGGCAGTGAGCTGCTGGGTGCTGGGTACAAGTGCGCAGTGGGAAGTTGTCTATGCCGACTGCTCTTCTCGCGGAAGTGCGGGGGATCTCACGCAGTTAGTCAGGAAGGGCAGCACCGCCTACGTATACCACGCTGGGTACTGTGAATGGGGAGGCAAGGGAGCAGAACAGATACACGATCTTGTGACTCTGATATATCACCAACACTAAGATACCCAAAGCCAATTCCAGGGTTTTGGGCTACGATCCGCATGATCTAGGCTCAAGCGCATGCAGGCCGGCGCGTACGGTGGAGCCGGCCTGAACTGACTAAACTCTCCATGTACGGCCGCCGGCCTTGACTATCGCAATATCACGAGGATCTAGACGTCCAAAATCTTCCGGACATCTCCATGCGCAAAAGGACACATAATGTTTCTGGGACGTGGACAACGTCGCACGCTCTATTCAAGTGCCCAATCTGACGTCCACGAGTGCTGACACCTAGCCAAGAGCGCTGCACGGGCACCTCCAGCGTTGCTTCTTGTACTAGCACTTCACCCTCACCTCCTCAAGCTGTCCAAGCGTGCCTGAAGGTCGTCATCATCCGGGTCAGCTCCGCCGCCGCCGACAGCCTGCGCCACCCTAGCTTCAGGTACTGCGTTCTTCTGCAGTCCGCTGGGCGTCTCGCCAAGCTATGTAACGTTAGTGAATGCGCTTTCGGTGATGGATGAGTACTCACAGCCTGGCCAAGATCGATGCCTATTTCATCCAAGACCTGGTTGACGACGTCTTCACTCTCCTCCTCGTCTTCCATGCCGGTGGCATCATCGATGGCGTCGTCCATCATCTCCTGCCTCTGGTCCATGATATCGTTCTCCTTTTCAAACTCCATAGCAATGCGTTGAAGCGCGGGAAGGTTCATCTGCCTGTTCATGCTCCCAAGCAGTGCTGAAGTGTGTTAGAGTACGTCTGGCAAGATTTATAACATATGAACCTACTCGTTGCACCCTTCATAGACTGCATCATCTGCTCATTACTGCGTACTGTCTGCCCAATGTCAGCTGTGCCCAGATTCCAGTATGTGGTCGCCATGCCTGTATCCGCAATGAGATCGCTTGTAGTTGTGTGCGCATCTGGTAGAACTTCTGGATGTATCTTTGCGCAAACATTAGCCATGTGAAAGTAGCCATGCGACAAGCAGCGGCTCGGCATACCGTCGTGTCCGCACCAGGTCCTTTGCCTGGATGCGCAGAGGTCCCATTTGCCCATTCTTCGCGCTCTTCTTAATATCTGCCACCAGCTTCTTCTCCTGGTTCTCGAGCTTCACGCGCTCGCGGTCTAGCTCTCGCTGCGTCTTCTCGAGTGCGCGCTGGTGTTTCCGCAGTCGCTCCGCCGGCGTCATGCGCTTTCCGAAGGCCCATTCTACGATCTGGCATTGCTGTCAAACACGATGTCGCTCAAAGACTAGGTATACATACGTTCATGGTCGCGAGTAGACTGCAGGAAGGTTGGTGAGTATAGCTGGGTAGACTTGGAAGTAGGTGCAGCGGGTAGCGGCTGATACGGCCACTTCGTCTAAACTAGAGAGTAGGTGGTAGAGACCAGCTCTACGTTGGGCGGGTAGTTGTATTAAGAGACGTAAGAGAGGTCAAAGTTGCAAAAGGTGTTGCCTTGCCCGATTATGTCATTTGATGTTCCGCCGGGCTGGAGGGCAAGATACGCAGGTATGGCGATGCCGAGCCTTGGAGGAACTGACTATCAGTTACCCACCTCTAAGCAATTGCGCTATCGAAGCAATACGATCATATGGATTTCAAGTGAAACTACTGCATCGAAACAATGCCCAGACATTAGACGCACACGAGACGTAGACGTGTAGAGCCGCGGTAGTGGACTCGTAGTGGTCACTGACAGCCAATCCCTGTTTGCTTGCGTGGTGGCGTGTGCACCACCAACTCTGACGTTGTCTCAGCATTCTTTTCTCGACACCGCCTCCCGCTCTACAACACCACCACCCCCCTTCCGTATCTATCACGACATGCGCCCCTCCTTATAGCGCAAACCACGAAACTACCCCGATGAATCCCGATCGACGAAACGGCCGGCCCTCCTCGTCTGGAGAGTCCTCCAGCAGCCGTCGTGGTGGGTCAGATGACTTTGTTCCGCGACAGAATGCTCGACCTGGATACATGACGGTTGGCGGCGGAAGCACCACAAGCGACGCCGCTGCCCGTCTCGTGTCCATGTTGGACGAGGACTCCGGTTATGGCGGAAGTATGCAAGATGGCGAAAGCAGCGGGATGAACTGGCGGTCTAACGTTGGCGAAGATAGGCCATCACCTATGTCTTTTGCCGGGTCAGGAAACGCCGAAGTCGAGAAACAGCGCAGCCATGTGCTCCAATTGCGATACAACCAGAACAAAAACGCCCTCGGCCGGGCGATCGCCGGCACCATCGAGACATTGAAGAGTTTCCAAGAAATGAATCTGAAATGGCCGGCCCATTACCCCTCGGTACAGGTGGCCGAAAAACAAAAGGCGCACCTTCGCAGCGAATCTCGGCCTGGACTGCAGCACACGCAGTCTGCGATTGGCAACTTCGACCCCGATATGCGCTCTCCCGAACGACCTCGAGGACCCCGCCGGGCGGGCACAACGATTGGAGATGACCCCGCCGCCGAGTCGAGCGCTGCCGCCGAGCAAAAGCGTAGAGAAGAGCCTCGACTGGTTACGCCCCAACTTGCTCACGATTTCTCCGTTCTGAAGTTGGAACTGCGCATGGGCGGCCGAACACAGACAGACTTGGTACATTCGCTGGAGAAGAACTCTGTTGCGTCTCTCCTCGACGGCCAGATCCAACAGAGCATACGCCACCTCTTCTCTCTCAAGGAACGTATCGAAGATACGTCAAGCAAGGTCCTGGTCACGGGAGACTTGAACGCTGGAAAGTCGACCTTCTGTAATGCCCTCCTCCGACGTAAGGTCCTGCCCGAAGACCAGCAGCCCTGCACGAGCATTTTCTGCGAGGTTCTTGACTTCCGGGAGAACGGTGGTGTCGAAGAGGTTCACGCAATTCCCATCGGTTCGACGTACAACCGCAACGACGAAAGCACGTACGTTGTATTCGATATCAAGGACCTGGAGAAAATTGTCATCGACAACGATCATTTCGCACAGTGCAAGATCTACATCAAAGACATCCGAGATGTTGACGAATCACTTCTGAACAACGGAGTGGTCGACATCGCTCTCATCGACGCCCCGGGTCTGAACGCCGACTCTCTCAAGACCACCGCCGTGTTCGCTCGCCAAGAAGAGATTGATGTCGTCGTCTTTGTCGTTTCTGCTGCGAATCACTTCACCGAGTCCGCTAAGAACTTTATCTTCACCGCAGCGCGCGAGAAGGCATACATGTTCATGGTAGTCAACGGCTTCGATACCATTCGCGATCAGAACCGTTGCCAAGAGATGATCTTAAAGCAAGTTGCTAACCTCAGTCCGGCCACCTTCAAGGAGTCCAGCGAGCTGGTACATTTCGTTTCTAGTAACGCCATCCCCATGGGTGCAGGTGGGAGCCCCCCTGATGACGATGGTGACGACGATCCATCCGACAAAGGAAAGGGCAAGGAGGCAGAGAAGCAGCGCGACTTTGCCGATCTTGAGGCTTCGTTACGACGTTTCGTGCTGGAGAAGAGGGCCAGGTCTAAACTTGCACCCGCAAAGACTTATCTTCTCAACGTACTAGGAGATATGAACAACCTAGCCACAGTCAACCGAGATGTGTCTCAGAGCGAATTGGACCGCGTCAAGAAGGAGATCGAAGCGCTCGAGCCTGAGTTTGAAGAGTCCAAGAAGTCACGGACAGAAGCTGGAGAGGCAGTGGATCGCATGGTTGAAGATACGACGTCAGACGTCTATGGCTACACTCGAGACACGCTCAACAACTGCATTGCCAGAGTAGCTGAACAGGATCTTGGCATCGATTACCCTGGTCTGTTCTCAGCATACCAGTACGCTGAGGACATCAGGGACTCGATGCTCCACGAGGTCACTGAAAGCGTCCGTTTGTGTGAAGAACACGCTCGAACCCAAGCTGTGCAGGGCTACAACGGCATCAAAAACTTGGGTGTCCTACATCTTGGCAACAACTTGTATGCCGACGTCATGTTCCGTCCGGAGAGGATGTTCAGGAAGTCAGTGCACGCTCTTGCTCGACAAGTGGATATTGATATTGATCTGTGGGACTTCTTCGACATCGCCAGTCTGTGGGAACGTCAGGAGAAGGCCGCTGGTGCCGGTATGGCCATGACTGTTGCCGGCGTAGTAGGTGGCAGATTGGTCGGCGGTGTCGGCTGGGTAGACGGTGCTCTTGGTGCTGCAAAGGTCATGGGCACAAGCAACATGAGGAGACTGATAATCCCTGGTCTCATCGCTGGTGGTAAGTCAATCGTACGAGTATGAAATGTTCTATGCTAATATCAGCAGTCGCTCTCGGAGTATCATACGTACTGGCGTCCGTGCCTAAATCACTACCTCACAGACTTAGCGCGAAGCTATCTCAACAACTAGCGGCGATCGATTACACACACTCCAACGCCCTTCGCATCAGCTCCGAGGTTCGGCGCGCACTCAAAGGCCCTGCTAACGATGTACGCATCGGTCTGCAGAGGAACGTCGAAAAGCTCCAGCTCCAGAAGGAGGAGACAACCAAGCTCAAGGCGGAAACTGAAGTTGCACGCAAGTACTTTGGCAACCTTGTCCGCAGCAGCAACGACTTGCGCCAGACGGTCCAACGCGTTGACCTGGAGGCAGCGCCACCAGTGATTGGCGGACCGATGCAGTAGATGCAATTTATGTCTTTATGCTATTTGAAAGAGTCACGGCTTATGCGTATGAAGAAAAGGTTCAAGCATGGAGGCGTTTGCAGGTGTTAGGATAGGTCACGACGAAGTAATCTTGCTCGTTTTCCCGGTGTACATACAATTGACCCAATACCCCTCTTGCCCCTTTGGTCGAAATCGATAGATATATACCCTAGAACTCTGAATAAGTGACTTGAATATGGTGGTGAAAGCTGGATTTTGCCAAGCTGTCGTGTTGGACCCTGAACGTTGACGCCTGTCGACCTCGGATCTGCGCACGTCATCTCTCCAACGCTACCTAACGTTGCATACCCTACTTCCAGCATACCCGCTCCATGGCGGCTCATGCACGCCCGGAACCACCCTGATGGAAACCAGAAGAGACCCGAGATCCTTTCTCTTCTTCATAATCCTCTTGCTGCTCATCAACTCGCCCGAACCGCAACAGCCGACATTCAATGCGCGCACACGCTACCGAGAGCTCATCGAGCGCGAATACTACCAGCTAGATCTCTTGAATCGGACGCGATACGGCGACTTCAGCGAGAAAAAGGACAAGTGGCTGAATATCACTGGGCTGAGGGATGAAGATGGCTTTGCATGGGAGCTACTGGACCCTGTGAGGCAGAAAGCAAAGGCGCAGTCAGAGCGCCTTCTAGGAGATGGGTGGAAGGGTATGCTTGATGGCTCACTGCAAGAGGGAGAGGCTACTATGCCGGTATACAAGAATCTATCTGGTTACGTACAAGGAGAATGGACGCGCTCGCCGCTGAGTCGCATACGGCACCCCGGCGATATGGGCAATGCCTCGGCCATCCCCGATCCCTTTGGAAATCTGGTAGAATATGACAGAAACCTAACCGGTGCAGGCGGGCCGTTGCGAATGCACATTACAGAGCTGGAAGATAGGATGCGGAGGAATGAGAACAAGACCATATCCGAGATCAGCGCGAAAGTGATTATTGGAGACAAAGACAGCTTTGGAGGGAATTGGTGGGAATTTGTGGCACATGGTGTCCATTTCATGAAAAGCGGGACTGCGGTTCTGACTACTACGAGCGATCGGTTCGCGGGCATCTTCGCTTTGCCTCACCTGCAGGTCACGCCCTATTTCTACTCAACATCGCAAGAGTTCCTGAACTGGACCATACATGAGACTATTGAACGGCAAGAGAAGAGAGCTTTCCCGCTCTGGAATCCCTGGACATCTGCTGCAGAAGGCAACAATGAGGGCATGTTCCAGGGACACCATTGCGAATTCGTCTTGTATCTTCAAGAGTTCCCAAGTCAATCTAACGTCGACATGGACTGGCTCGAGCACGAGCTCCGGTTTCCTACTGGAGCTCCTGTCCCTCACGATGTTCCACATGCCATGTCCATGGTGGGCTTCTCGCCGGATTGCGGTTTCGTTATTGAGTCAAAGGGTCCTCCAGACTTTCCGCCATCGGAGGCTATGCATCTGGTCGGTTCTAAGACAGAAGACTTCAATGTTCGCGCTAGACACGGTATCCTGGCTTTCGCCATCAGTCTTGCGTTCCAGCTTTCCTTCACTCTCAAGCAGATGAAGGAGACAGCAACGCCATCAATGCGGAGTCGAGTCAGCTTCTACACCATTGCTATGATGGCTCTGGGCGACGGCTTCACATTTCTGATCCTCATCTTCATGTATTTCTTCCTCGGTACAGCACAGTTGGCGCTGTACAGTATCGCATTCATAGCGCTATTTTCCGTACTGACCCACCTCCGCTTCCTGATGGACATCTGGTCCGTACAAGCAGCGGAGAGGGCGCGTCAGGAGCGGCAACGAACTCCAGCGGCTACCACAACGACGCCGGCTCCAGCTCCCGAGGCTGCTACTTCAGCACCATCTGCCGATGCCGGTCTGCCCTTGCCAGCAACCGCCGCTCGACCACCACGTCCACCTACTCCCATCATCATTGCACCAGATCAAGACGATCCGGATGAAGATGTCACACCAGGTCCGAACAATGCGCCCACGCCGACCAATGCCACGACAACGAACGCAAATCCGCGAGCTGAGCTTGGTGCATTGTATAGCCGCTTCTGCCTTATGCTTATAGTCCTGTTCTTTGTGACTATCCACTTCGGTACTGCTCGCACGACATATCGTGCTGTCTATTTCGACGTCATGACGTTTCTCTACCTGTCTTTCTGGATACCGCAGATCTATCGTAATATCATGCGCAACTGTCGGCGAGCATTACGCTGGGATTATGTTGCTGGAACAAGCATAGCCCGCATCGCGCCTGTAGCATACTTTTACATGAAAGAAGACAATGTCTTGTTTTCAAGAACGGACTGGAAAGCCATGGGCTTCTTGGCAGGCTGGGTATGGATGCAAGTGGTGGTGTTGGTGAGCCAGGAGGTTCTCGGCCCACGATTCTTTGTCAGAGACGGATGGGCGCCGCCAGCATACGACTACCACCCCATTCTACGCGAAGACGAAGAAGGCGCAACCATGCCGCTCAACATCACGACTTCGTCGGAATCACCATCTACAATTGATGCTTCGGCAGCAGAGGGTGAAACCACCAAAGCATCAGGCGAGTCCAAATCCAAAGGCAAGAAGGTTTTCGACTGCAGTATCTGTGCCAACGACATTGAAGTACCAGTCATACCTGCTGGAGCTGATGAGAGCAGTGTAGCTGGCATGGGTGGGACGAGCATGATTTTGCAAAGGCGACAGTACATGGTGACGCCTTGTCGACACATCTTCCACACTGGATGTCTCGAAGGGTGGATGAGGTATCGATTGATGTGTCCAAACTGCAGAGAGAGTTTACCGCCGTTGTAGATGAAGTGATTCGAGTACAGTCAGATTTTCCCTGCATCGGGAGTATTTTCCAGGCTACCTCTGTGTCTGCCACGCATGAGTGACGCATGTCTCACTGTCCGCGTAACAAGTGGGTCATTTAGCGCGCCTTGCAGCTCCACCTTCGGAAGTGGAAGCGTAACGGCCACAAGCTCCAGGGGTAGTCCGTTCTGTACCGCGCGCAGTCAGACAAATATAATGTGAAATGCAATATAGATGCGCAAATTCAAACATTGCCACTTTCTGCGTCAACTCGACGCACATGTCGGTGATTTCAGCGAGCACGGCACTTATTAATAGTACCTCTACGCCACAGATCGACGCTTAGTCGCTAAGGGCACGCATCCCTACCGGTCCACAGCTGGGGCTGAGCTGCGCATCCATCGCTTTCTGAGCCCTGGCCTTGCATACGCAAACCACAACTCTCAGCCTCTCAGGCTACACATTCGCTTCTGTGCTGCATTTGTGTTCTGCGTTGGCATATAATAACGGTGCCTCGTTTCCAAGTAACTGCTCTTATCCTCTTCCGCATTTCCGAGACACCGAACGACCCCCTGGACTTGTACAAAGCTTGTTCGCAGCCGCCCTCGTTGCCTGCCCCAGCTTAAGCAAGGCCAAACCCTTCGTCTACCCCACAGCTCATTGTTGTACATAACCGACCTCGCCTACACCACGCCCGTTGGCACAGCGCATTACCCCTACTACAGAGCGCATCTAGTTGTGCAACCTGGCGACTTCCTAATACCACTACCAGCGCTTGCCTATCATGGCGGCCAACGACTACTACGGCAACTCCCACCCGGGGCAGTCGAACGACAGGAACGATGCGCCTCTGCCTCCAGTACCCGGCAACCACACACAACACTCCGTCTCGCCCGTCAGCTCGCCCTTTGACGACCGACCCTATCCCACACACACAGCCAGCAGCGGTGCGCTCGGCGGCTACCCCATCGATACATCGTATTCAAATACCTCATACCAACCTCCGACACAGTATAGCTCGACCGCACATATCAACGACCCGTACGCGCGGCAGCCAGACCCCTTCGCCGACCAAAACGCGATACCGCTTCAGACACAGCCGAAGATGGATGGCAGCAGTCCGACACGGTATAATGGCGACCCAGAGTACTACGGCATGGGCGTGGAACCCAAGAGGAGAAAGAGTAAAAAGAAGAAAGGCTGGTTCAGTGGCAGAGTGACGTGGGTAGTCTATCTTCTTACGGCGGTGCAAGTTGGCGTGTTTGTTGGGGAGTTGATCAAGAATGGTATGTTGTTACAGTACAAACATATCTGGAGACGTAGACATTGACTGACAGCGTATAGGCATCTTGACAGGCAGCCCCATCCAAACCAAGCCAAACTTCAACATCATGATCGGTCCTTCGCCCTACGTTTTGATCAACATGGGCGCGCGCTTCACACCCTGCATGCACAACATCAAGAAAGTTATCGAAGCCGATGGTGGGCCCGTCCTTCAATGGCCATGCCCGAATACCACCACCCTTACCGATAACAAGTGCACGCTGGCTGAACTCTGCGGCATGGGCGGTGGTGTCCCCAACCAAGAGGGTATCACAGACTTCAAGGATAGAAGCCACGAGCCGAACCAATGGTGGCGCTTCATTACTCCTATATTTCTGCACGCAGGAATTATTCACATCGGCTTCAACATGCTTCTACAGTGGACACTAGGTCGAGACATGGAAAAGGAAATTGGTCCCCTCCGGTTCGCACTCGTATATTTCTCCGCCGGTATCTTCGGTTTTGTGCTCGGTGGCAACTACGCACCCGATGGTATCACTTCTGTTGGTGCTTCCGGATCCCTCTTCGGTGTCTTAGCTCTCACCATGCTCGATCTCTTATACAACTGGTCCACCCGCCGCAGTCCGGTCAAAGACCTACTCTTCCTCCTCCTCGATATGGCCATCGCGTTCGTCATCGGTCTACTCCCCGGTCTAGACAACTTCTCCCATATCGGAGGCTTCCTCATGGGAATCGTTCTGGGTATTTGCATCATCCATTCACCCGAGTCGCTGCGCGCAAGAACAGGCCAAAGCGAACCGCCGTATGCAACAGTGGATACTCAGCCCCTCGCCCACGAGCCGGTTGCTACAGAATCCAAAAGCAAGATTACCGCTTTCGCCAAACAACCAGTTGGCTTCTTCAAAGGTCGCAAGCCACTCTGGTGGGCGTGGTGGCTTGTACGTGCTGGCGGTCTGGTAGCAGTCTTTATAGGCTTTATCCTGCTGCTGAGAAACTTTTACGAATGGAGGAATACTTGTAGTTGGTGCAAGCATTTGTCTTGCTTGGTACGTGTATCCTTGTATGTTACCCTTGAAGAGTACAGATTGCTAACTTTACCCTAGCCCATCACTACAAAGGGTGTGTCGTGGTGTGATATGGGTAGTCTGAACCTTACAACGACCGAGACTCCTAGCAAGAGGAGTTTAAATCCGGCAAGCCTGGCTCACTTTATGGGCGAGGCGACTGTTGGACGGATACTGTAGAGGGGAGAGTATCGATAGATGAAGTGAATGAGTTGGTTCTTGAGCACAAAGATTTCATCAACGGTCTGGCATACATGGGACGCAAAGCATAGATACCACATACCAATATTGAAGGATTGCAATACTTTCCTACCAGTAACTTTTTCCACGCTGTTGTGATAATTCTCCATAAAGCCAGTGAATGTGTCATGCACTTGCTATCATTGCCCACCAAAGTCCACCCAGAAGTATACACCGCCCACGAGAATTAATCCCTCTTGTCATGAACAACCGAGCCCTCGTTTACCACTGTGACTTCCTGGGTATACCACCGATCTGTACGGCCGAGTGTACGGGATTCTTCCAGTCCGGAGGCGTAGTGACGGTATACTGCAGATAACTAGCAACAGGCGGCTTGTACATCTCCATATGCCCAGTCTCCGCATTCCTCCGCAAGGTGGGTCTGGTGTTGAGATGATCAGGGCGGATCTTCTCTTGTACACCAAGGAAGCCACCGGACATCCTGTCGAGGAAGACGCCAAAGTTATCAGTATGGTTGATGGTACATTTAGAGCCATGGGATTCGCAGTGAGCCATGAGAGCGGTGGCAGACTTGAAGTACTTGAGGCATTTGGGGCACTTCACGCGTGTTATACGGTGGTCGACGAGAATGTGGTTGTTGAGATCTTGGCGGATGTCAAAGTTTTGCCTATTACTACGTTAACGATGAAGCAGTAAGAAAGCCGGAGAAGAGAACTTACTCGCAGACGAATGGACAATAGTACTTGTTGACGATTGAGTCGTAGAACCTCTCTGGGTTCCAGTCGGAACTCATCGGATCCCAGAAGCGATCACGAAAGAAATTGGGACCATGTGCATGCTCCATAGCCTCATCGTGTGCAGAGACAGAGAATTCACTGGGAGGAGCTTTGGGTTTGGCGTTCGGAAACAATATAGAGCCTGTTGATTTGCCCTTGCGAAGGCCCCAAACCTTGGTCTCATGATTGGACGAAGAAACACTGGAGCCCTGAACCTCAGAACCATCATGAACGAAAGAGCCATGCTGACTCTGGATAGCGTCGCGTCCGAAAGGTGATGGGGAGATCGTTGGGAAATTGGACGCAGCAGGAGATCTGATGACCGTTGAGCCATCAGAGTCGACATCGACGTCTCCATTGAGAGACATGCCGCCTATCATCGATGCAACCTCCATGTCTACGCCCGGCATGAACCCGCTCTGAGTAGGCAGAGGAGGGTAGTGACCGCTGAAGACCGGAGTGTGTGGCTCTTCTAGGGAAGGATCGGGCTTGATCGCCTCGAATTTGACGTCCTCAATGTCTGCGCTGTCATCGATGGGGTCATCGCTGAGCAGAACACCTCCGACCTCTTCTACGTCGATAGCTGCCTCGTACTTGGACATCTTTTGCTGCAATCGGTTCCATGCTGGACCATCCTCTAGATATTTCTCAACGAGATGCTTATGGACGACGTGGCCTTGGAACTGGGAGGCTTGAATGACCTCACAGTGACCAAACTCGAGGTGCTCGATGAAGAGGCATGCACGGTAGAAGGACTTCTGACAGCCGATGCAGGTAAGCTCCTGATCAACCTTGTGGTTACGCTCAATGTGACGCTTTAAGCCAGACGTGCTCTTGAACTCGTCGCCACAGACGCGGCATGCTTGTCCATGCTCCTCAGGCCGTGTGATCTTGTGCATGGCGTAGTCTTCAAAAGTTTCAAAATCCTCGTCGCACTTGTGACAGTATTCGTGATCGTCAAAGTTCTTCTTGTGGTTCTTCATGATCTTCTCTGTGTCAAAAGACATGTCGCAGTCTGCATACGTGCACTTGACCCGCCTGATGGGTTCGAGTGTGGCTGGCATCTCCGCTCTTTCCGTACGGATAGTTCTTGTGGAATGAGAGAGCTTCACAGCAGATGATTTAGGCTCGTCTGCTAGTCGGATGATTAATACTCAAAGAATCGAGTACTGCAGCGTGACGCGTGTACTTACCTGATTATGCAGTGATACGAGCGATTTTGTGTGAACTGTCGAAGCCTCACCTACTTTGGCGGTTCTCAAGAATTATTATAAACTTGCTACACCGACTTCGGCAGTAGACGGAAACCTCCCGTAGGTACAGTAGTTGTGGAACTTGGGGTATCCTGGAAGAGAAGCACAGAGAGTGTGGTGTTGACCGATTTTGTGACAAAGACTGAGAGAAAGCTTTGTGTTATCTGGGCGTTTGTGGTGAAGATGGTGGTGTAGAAAGGACAGAAGCTTGTAGTCTAGCGGATTTGAGAGACTGAGGGACAGCTAGTGGTGGGTGTGGTGTGGGGCTGAACTAAGCAAGCATGAGGAATGACAGGTGAAGGAGGGTTCGAGATAGGTAGGCAAGAACGTTGGGTGTGTACTCTCACCCGGGAAGTTGCCATCCTCGCTAAAAACAAACAAAATTTCAAGACAGTAACCTCGATTTGTTTACGCAATGCGATTTTCAACACCAACGACCTCAGACTTCAAAAGCATGAACTGGAGATACCAACCGTCTTCATCTCGATCGATTCGCTGGCTACTCATGCCGTCCGCCATGTATTCTAGGTAAGCTTAATACACTGCCTATGCATGGCACCGAAGCTCATTGAATGATTGTTACTAGTAATGGCATTATGACATAGTTGAAAGAGAGAGAGTAAACTTGATATTGGTCACGAGTTTAATTGCTAATACGATCCACTTAGAATCGCGAATATGGTAGCCTAGATACCGGTCAGTAATACATTCGGGAAAATTCATATGAACATACCATTTGCCCCTCAGTGTAATCTTGGCCCACTCGCCCTTGTCGTCAGTCTCCTTCTCTACCTTTGTACTGAACGAGATAGCACTCATGATGCCATCACCAAACTTCTCGTGCATAACCGCCTTGTATGCCTGTCCATAGTTCTGCACAATCTCATAGAGACGGTAGATGGTGGGGTCCTTTGGTGGCATATCGAGCGTGCTGCCTCGGTTGGGAAAGCCTGACAACTGCGATTCGAGCAGGCCGGCGTCAATCTCCAGGATTTCCGACAGCTTCTTGATATCTTCGGCGGAGGCCATGGCCTGGCCGTAGAAGAGAGCGGCAATTGCAACTTCATCACGTCCGACGTGCTTTGCGATCGCTTCGAAGGATAGGTTCTTCTTCTTTTTTGCTTCGAAGAGCGTTGGAGAGGAAGGTGGAAGGCGAGGGATGAGCTCTTCCTACGAGATTGTCAGCATCTTCCTATACTTCTCCATTCTCTCCTTACGTTCAAAGTTGCAATCGGGTGTTGCGCCATGGCGATAGGCGTTGAGTGGAAGCACCGGGTAGCGGCAAGAGGTACAGCTGGTCGTATGGATCCCAATGTACGAGAGGCCAATCTGGCAGAAGTTGCAAGCCGAGAAGAGAGGGCCATCGTCAAAGATATGTCGAATTGGATAAGAGGTTATGTCAGTGGTGTTGTGTAACGGCGTGGGGAGATAAGATGAGGAGCTCTCCAGCTGCCGAACAGCTTAAGCAGACAGCCGATGATACAAGGGTACGTCATACATATGCGCTGCCGCATTCCCATTGCGACCCACAAGTTGTGTGAACCATCGCACAAGCGCTATGTACAGTAAGGAGGACTTCTAGTACCGCTCTCTTCGCGATGCGACATGGTGGGTAGACTGCTACAACCACGCGTCGCGTAGTATCGTGGAGGGCGTCAAGAAGAGGGGGAAGCTCCATAGTGGGGTGTTATGAGGGGTTAGATCCTGGATCCTGGCATCTGGCCAACAGAGGGGAATCAGGGTGCGTGCACTCCATTGGTGTCTGTTTCACATGCTCAGCTCGTATGCTTCCCTGCATTGGCATATGCATGCCCCGTTTGCCGCTGATGATGACGCGGGGTCATCGCGACCTCGAACTCCAGCTCCGGAGCTTTACTTGACAACATTCCATAGACTTCACACCTTCTGCGCGACTGGCAAACAACCGAAAGCTTCAGTCCGGCACAATGTCTCGCCGAGATGATGATCTGGCATATGGCGACTACCATGGGCAGGGAGGCGAGGAGGGCGATCGCGGATTTGTAGGTGACATGGGTCGGCGTTTTGGCTTTGGCAGAAAAGAGGTCAGTACATTCTTCTGAAACGCCATGCTGTCATTGTACGCTTCATAGGTATCAAGCTGTTGAGGAAGTGGAATTGCCCCACTATCGATAATCATAGCGCTGAGCTGGCCTCGTCATTCACCATCCTCGCCTATCTTGCGTTTCTATTTCTATTTCTTCACCGCCTAGCTTGCTGCAGGGACGAGACGCGTATCTGGTAGCTTGACTTGGGTCCTCTGATTCCTAACTTTGACACCACAGAATAACCAACACTCATCCTCATCCTCAAACCAGGGCAGCGGCGGCATGTCGTTCTTCAAGAAGATCCACGACCCGCTTCACGGCTTCGTCTCTGACCTCAAGGATGCCATATCCGGAGACGATAACGCGCAGAAGCCTCCGCCAGGTACATACGAACAACAGGGAGGGCAGCCACAGCCCGGGCAAGAGTACCACGAGCAACACCGCTTCTCAAGCTTCGCGCCTGAACGTCATGGCAATGACATCAAGTGGTATGTCGATGGATGCAGGTAAGTCTCAAGTGTCCTCGTGCGCTATAAAACGATCAATTGATATCGGGTAGCTACATGTATGCTGTTTCCATAGCTCTGGAGCGCGCCAGGGAGTCGATATGGATACTTGACTGGTGGCTCTCCCCCGAGCTGTATCTCCGTCGACCGCCAGCGAAGAACCAACAGTACCGGGTCGATAGGATGCTGCAAGCGGCAGCGGAACGCGGTGTCAAGGTCAACATTATTGTATACAAAGAAGTGACCCAAGCTCTGACTCGTAAGTTTTTAAATCCAACGTTACCCGACTATCTTCATTCTCTCCTACCGAGTTCGACGGACAGGTTCACCAAAGGCCTCACGCGAGTCGGCCTAGATGTCATATTCAAAAGTCTTGAAGAGTGGGAAAAGACAGATCCGCTGATTGCCCCTCCTATTACAGTTTCTTCAGCTCATACCAAGCACCACTTGGAAGATCTCCATCCTAACATTGGCGTTTTCCGACACCCCGATCACCTGCCAGATGCAGCAGTACTACAGTCGTCTTTCTTTGCAGCCATGAAAAACATGTCTTTCACCCCAGCAAAACTCGCCCAACTTCCTGGAGACGGTCTCAAGGCCATTTATGGTGCTCACGAGGGCACAGTTATGTACTGGGCGCATCACGAGAAGCTCTGCCTGATCGATGGCCACATCGCGTTCATGGGCGGACTGGATCTCTGCTATGGTCGTTGGGACACCAACCAACACGCAATCGCTGACGCGCATCCTGGCAACATCGACCGCATTGTGTTCCCAGGCCAGGATTTTAATAACGCCCGCATGCTCGGTGAGTCGCTTTTTCTTCGTGTCCCTCGAAATTGGAAGACGACAGATAGGCAGTCACTTGCAAGCTACGTGCGTAAGGGAAGCTGCTAACACCTGACAGACTTCCAGGATGTGACCAATTGGGAGAACAACAAACTCGATAGGACACAAAGCTCTCGTATGGGATGGTCTGACGTGGCTTTGTGTATCTCTGGCCCGGTCGTACAGGATCTTCGTACTCACTTTGCGCAACGCTGGAACTTCATCTATGACGAGAAGTACAGCAAAAAGGCTACTAGATACGCCAGACTACCAGAGACTAGCAGTGGAGCTCAACAGGCTCCCATGCAACAGCGCGGATTTGAAGGCGAAGAGGAAGGCGAACGTGGCTTTGGTCGTGAGGAGGAGGGCGAGCGAGGGCTGTTCGGACACGGTGCTGGTGGACACCTTCGCCAGAAGATGCAGAGCAGGTTCGAACAGTACGGCCAAGAACATGGATCGCAATATGGCCAGCAACAGTCCCACGCGGAACATAGCTCCCAGCAAGGTGGTGTGGATTGCCAAATTACTCGTAGCTCTGCCAAATGGAGCCACAACTTGGTCACTACCGAGGTAAGTGACCCTGTCCACTGGAAAGAGACCGACTGATGAATTTGTTAGCATTCTATCCAAAATGCCTACTGTGAGGTCATCCGAAACAGCAAGCACTTCATCTACATCGAAAACCAGTTCTTCATCACTGCTACTGGCGATCAACAGAAGCCGATCAAAAACAAGATCGGAGCTGCTATGGTCGAACGCATCATTCGCGCTGCACGTAATGGCGAGAAGTACAAGATGATTGTCATGATTCCCGCAGTGCCAGCATTTGCTGGTGACTTGAAGCTTGATGAAGCCCTGGGTACTCGCGCTATCATGGAGTGTAAGTCACATGAATTCTTTCTGCATGTCTTCTGCTGACAGTAGTACAGTCCAGTACGACTCAATCAACCGCGGTGGTCACTCGATCTACGAGGAAATTGCTAAAGCTGGATTCAACCCTATGGACTACATCCGATTCTACAACCTTCGCAGCTACGACCGCATCAACTCTAGTCAGATCATGAAAGAGGCAGAGCAGCGCAGCGGCGTCTCGTATAATCAAGCATCAGAGGGTTACGACGCAGCACATGACAACGCTCGTGGCTACGAGGCTTATCGTCCACCGCCCACGCAGGAGTACGGCGTTTACGAGATGGATGGTTCCGGTCGTCCTCCATCTCACGGCCGACCCGATGCTGGCCCGCAGAGTCAGGGCAGACCAGGTGATTACGATCGCTACCAGCAGGAAGCAGCCAAGATTGGTGGTCGTCAAGGACTCGGCGACGGACGCTGGGACACTGTCAGCGAGTGTTATATGCTTGGTGGCGAAGACATCCGTAGCGTGCCTTGGGAGGGTAGTGCTGCCGATGAAATGGACGCCTTCGTGTCTGAGGAATTGTACATCCACAGCAAGCTTTTGATCGCCGATGACCAGATCGTTATTTGCGGCTCTGCAAACCTCAACGACCGTTCCCAGCTCGGCGACCACGACTCGGAGATTGCGGTTATCATTCAGGACCCTAGGCCGGTCGACTCTTACATGGACGGACGGCCATACCGTGCATCAGAGTTCGCTGCTAGTCTACGAAGAGAACTCTTTAGGAAGCACCTCGGTCTACTGAAGCCTCAGGACATGGAGCGTCCGACAGCCAACTACCAGCCTATCGGTGTTCCCAATGAGTACGACTGGGGCTCGAACGAGGACCGACAAGTCGTTGATCCATTGTCTGATGACTTCCAGAACTTGTGGAACTGGAGAGCGCACACCAACACACAAGCTTTCGGTAAAATATTCCACCCTGTGCCGAGCGACGAAGTCAAGAACTGGAAGCAGTACGACGAATACTATTCCCGGTTTTTCGGACAGGACGAGAAGGCAAAGGAGAACAAGAAGCCTTCCATGTACAAATGGGGCCACGTGGTTGCAGAGAACTTTGGGCAGGGCGAGCAAGGCGTACGCGAGGTCAAGGAGGTGCTCAGCACCATCAAGGGAAATTTGGTGGAGATGCCCCTTCTTTTCTTGAAGGAAGAAGATATTGCGCAGGAAGGTGTGGGACTGAACGCCGTCACTGAGGAGCTTTACACCTAGGTGCCTCGCAAGTAGACGTAGTACCAAAAGAAAAAGCGGATGCTCAATAACGGACTAAGACAATGGCGATATCTATTACCAGTGCATGCGTGAATAACGGTAACAAAGAGGGGAAGAGTGAATTGATGGTGGATCTTGGACCCTGACTAGCTTGATAGCGGCGGGTGCTCGATTAGCGGCGATCGCCCCTGTTCGCATGTGATGTGCCCCAGATTTCCCAGGTTGCGCGAGATCGTTGTGCAAACATCGTGTGTACTTCGTTTTGCGGCGCCATGCCCCGTCTAATGACAGCTCGCAATGCTGTCATACTGGTTAATGTCATACTCCTCACTGCGCTGTTCGTCCATCTCAAGTCTGAGCTCTGGGACAAGAATGCCGCTGCAGCTGGATCGGCCACTCTGACACACCTTCCCGACGAACTCTACGACGAGCAACAGCCGGGCGAGTCATCGCACGACCCGGAAGAGAAGCCGTTAAAGGCCAATACCGGTATCAAAGCGCGTCGGACTGCGGTGGTCGTCGCGAGCCAGAGTTCTGAAAATGCGACGTGGCTAGAGGAGTACTTCCCAGAGTGGGAGAAGAACATCTATCGCGTAGACGACGCGAACGCGCCGCTTACGGTACCCAAGAACAAGGGCAGAGAGAGTATGGTCTATCTGACGTACGTATTGGGTCGCGCCTTCCGTCCTGAATACTTCGCAAGCTAACAGATTCCTGCTCAGCTACATTATCGATCACTACGCGTCGCTTCCCGACAACGTCCTCTTCATCCACCCAAACCGCTACCAATGGCACAACGACGATCCCGACTACGACGGCCTCCCGATGCTCCGCCACTTCCAGTTGCCTTACCTTGAGAAAGAAGGCTACGTGAATATACGTTGCGCATGGTCCTTGGGCTGCCCAAGCGAGATTAAGCCTCTTGCCGAAGAAGGCGAACACAGAGAGGCCGTGCATGCTGGCGGACAATATAAGAAGGCCTTTGAGCAGCTGTTTCCCGGAGACAAGGTGCCAGCTGTCGTGGGCGTGAGCTGCTGTGCGCAATTCGCCGCGACAAGAGAGAAGATTAGGGAGAGAACTAAGGAGCAGTACGAGAAGTATCGCGACTGGATCATGGAGACAGATCTCGGCGATGCTATTAGCGGCAGAGTTTTTGAGTACTCATGGCATAGTAAGTCTATACCCCACCACCCCACGTGATGAGGCTCTGCGTGTCTTTACTTTTTTTGAAGTGGCGTACATCTCATGCTAACACCATTGATAGTCATCTTCGGTAAGCCTGCCGTACACTGCCCAAGCGCTGAAGACTGCTACTGCAAGGTATTTGGCATTTGCAACTTGACATGTCCAAACCAAGGAAGCTGTGAAGGACGATATACTCTGCCACCCTACTCGAGCCTACCAAAGGGATGGCCCTATGTGGGTTGGGAGGGCAAAGAACGCCAGCGCGCTGCTTCTGAGCAGTGATTGACATACCTGTGGGCTTATCTTCAAGCTACTGCGTCTTCTTGGATCGCATGTACGAACATACACATCCACTGGCCGAAGGACTCAGCCGCGACGCTTCACTTTTTCTGTTCCATCCACTGGCATAGTTGGCTATCTCAGCCTGATGCTACGGGACACGACCAGCTCTGGTAATCAGTTGTGTGTGTCTGCACACGTCACTACGTGCCACGAAGTTTGCGCTTGACAAGTTGGTCAGATCACTGTAAGAGTTGGTCATACAGTTTCACAAAGCACAACAGGCGCAAACGAGTAGCACAGCCATACAGCGCCGCTCCAACACCATCGAGACAGCAATGCACATTCATTGGTTGGTATGGAGGCTAAGTGTTGACTAGAATGCTCCTTCAGCATCTAGTCGAATGGTTCCGTCGCTCTAGGCTTCCGCAACCAAACTTCCACTGTTTTCCAAACCAAACATAAAGACGGCAACTCGCTAATAGACCTGATCACACGGAAGTCCGCATGTGCTATCTACGCGACGGCGCACTCCACGATTAACCATTCGCTAAGCTTCCTGTTGTTTTGGCCCCTTATGCACGAAAAGCAATAGGGTGTACTCGATAGACTGCAATTTACTCTGCAGATACCCGCTTCCGCGAGCTTGTACCAGCCTCTTCTTTGACTAGGGCCAAGGGCGCTGAAGTTACGCTCATGCAAGTCCAAGGCCCGACAAGATACGTATCCTGGTAGAGCATGCAGCTTCACGGCGCCAGGCATCAAAAGAGGCCATCATGACCGGTTCTGGAATCAGGCTGGTCCTCGGTTATTCAGCCAAAACTGTGCCGGTCGTATAGCGAGGCTGAGGATTTACGATAACACAGAAGGGCATAGCATAACTGGGGCCAAACCAAGCGGTAGAGTCGGAAAACCTTGTGAAGCCTGTCATTCTATCAATTGGCCATGTAGCACCGAATTCTGGACCATCAGTTGTCAAGTGCGGGGATCTTGGAAGGCTGAGACAGCAAGAAAGAGAAGATTTGGTGGGGTACCTGACGATACAGAGCCGCAACACGCTAACCGCAATCGGTCCCAAGGTCAGCATCTATGAGGCTCAAATACACTTGGCGCATGCATCCCCCTCGCCGTTGTCACACGAAGGGTTGTCGTATTTCAGAACCTTTGCGATTGCGTAGATCGCATTTTCCTGATCGGTATGGGAATGTCGCACCTTGTGACCGCAATTCGACATAACCCCGCAAGATAGCATTGGGCATTCTTCGTTTCAAACTCAGCCTGATGCTATACGAACATGGTAGAGGACGCTAAATGGTCCCGACCCTTGCATCATTTCAGACCTAGTCGTTGGTGGTAGACATCCACCTGCACACACGCTAAGGATGAGGCTCTGCTAATGCTCAGTATTCAAAGGCGTCCATGCTTCCTGCACATTCATCGAGTATTGTCCAGCTGATAAACGCCACCTGTCGTTAGCTCAAATTATCTCCTCTAATCGTACATCCCAAGGCCCTTTTGCTTTTTCTTAGCCCAATTACTCGCATGGAAAGTTGCTCACGTGCCTTCTTCGCCCTGTCCCCGAGCACCTTTCTAGTATCATATCGCTTTTGATGACTACTTCTCTCGATCAACTTCCTTTTGACGTACTCTTTTGCGTTACCCTCAATTTGGATCTTGAAGACATTTTTCACCTTGGTCAAACATGTCGACAATTGAGGGCTTTACTAGACGAAAGGACAGTTTGCAGACGCGCTGTCGAAGTAAGCCGATTTGAAATGCTCGACATGCTTACATACCATGCTGACGCTGCTTATAGATCAACCACCCATACACGGAAGAAGCACTTTCAGCCCGAAACGAGAAAAATACCTACGAGCAAGCCTTCCAGGCTATTTATGAGAGGAGAGATGCCTTGTCAACTGCATACCCTTATTCCGCTCGCGTCTTAGAACAGCAGGGCAGCAGCTTTGTGTATCGTCAAGGGACCATATGTATATTCGATGCTGGGATGGTCTATGTCTCGGATCTCCGCACTAAGCTGAAACCGGTCCATCTTGATCTCTCTGCTATTGTGCGACCTGTTCTAGAGTCAAAGTTCAGAGCATTTGGTAATTTTGGGTTGCGTTTACTTCACTATGCTGATGGAATACTCGCTGTGCACGCCACGCCGAAGTATAGCTCAGACCACAGTCACATAATCGCGATCCACACAGCGGCAAATCTTCCGATTGACCAAAGAGTGATAGAATCGATGCAAGTGGCCAGATGTTCTAAGCTTTTTGCCAGACACAACGCCCGTTATCTATACTACGGCACTCATACTGGAGTAGGAGACGATGGCCACTCTAAATGGGAAATCGACGGTATCTCACTTTGTGAGGACGCTGAGCTAGCGGAACGCGAAAGACCAGTGCTGCTCGACAAGTTCCATGGATCTGACATCGGCTCTACGATCGCGTTCGAAATACATAACGACTACTTCTACGCCGTTTCCAACCAGGGAACCTTTGAAGTCGAAGAGATCGATTATACTTCCTTTTACCACGTGGTCCGGTTTCCACTCAAGTCACCATTGCCAAAAGATATTTCTAAGGATGAGCGCCTGTATCGGCGCCAACACAAACAGGGACCAATCCACGACTCGTGGACCGATCTTACATTGCAGCTTGATGAGCGTACGAATGAGACAGTAATCGTGGAATCACGACGAGAGTGGGCTCAAGCATCTTCTCGTCAATCACGCACGTTCTACGTCACTAAACTGGATTTCAGAGAAGAGGATGATATGGAAGAGTCGTCCGATGAGCCGCTACTGCCTGAGGATGACCTCTACGTGCCCCTCATCGACTCTTCAAACAATGCCCATTGGAAACCCACACCAGACCTCTATAGCTGGAGCCAACACCCTGAGTTTTCTCCTACCGATCCTTCGCCCCGGTCTTTCATCCTTGCGAGAACAAAATTTAGGGCGTACAATTATGCATGCACTTCCTTCGTCGATCTCGTAGAAGACGAGCGTTGCTGCAACGATCCCTCCCAGCCGCCCTGCCTTAGGCTCAGAATAGGATCAAGACGCGAATTGGGCCTTGACTACTCGGCCACAAGCTGTAAGGGAAAGGCCCCAATCGACGAGATGAAGCCCAACTTCCTGGATACCCAAACACGGTACCGCCATTCACCTATCCGCATGTGGCCCCCTTCAGCATCGCGCTGCCCCTGCTCAAAACGTCTGCATAATATACTCAACCGACCACTACCATCTGCATCTCCATCACATACAAGGAGCATCACCGGTGTGCTCGACGAACAACGCCTGATCTTCATGATCAAGCCGGGACGGTCATATGGTCCCAGCGATGACAACACATTGGGCACCATCGTCGTAGTCGACTTCTCCCGCCCTCTTACATCTACAGCCCATGCACCCTCAGCATCGCAGCCACCATCGTTGTCACGATGCGACAGCAAGATGGACGACGATGTTGGCGTTCATGTTGACGAGTTGGCATGGTATTGGTCCTCCGATTCCAAAGGGCGCTGCCGAGGCAGGACGTGTCAGTGAACGGTTGGGAGCCGTGCCTATGTGCAATCGAAACCGATGGAGAGAAGAACATTTGGGGCGAATGTTATTGAGCCTCATACAAGGCAGATGGAAAGTGGTGCGCATACCATTTATCACTTTCATGATTCTGCCTCATTGCGCAGCAATGCGATGTTGTCACGATCCATGTACATGTGCATGATGCAAGCCCTCCTGCAGCTCGCATGGGGCGGCTGGTGAGAACTATATGGACCCCGCACAAGGCTGTGTGTTGTAGATAAGACAGGGCGTGGTCCTTCAAGGCACGCCATCGTCCTCTGTCTCTATAAAAGTCTGTTTATGCATCTTTTCTCGTAGAAATACTCATAATCTTTCTCCATGCCTTGTTCAGTTGTCTTGCGTCTATGGTAGTGTGGTGAATGGATTGCGTACCAAGTTGATACGCACCGGTTGATGTAGTCATCGAACACGAATATGCACTCTCCTAGGATATAGCGAAATCCCATGCAGTCCTTGGACATGTCTGCGGGATGCGTTAATGTCGGTGATGTACCTTGGTAGAGAGTCGAAGTCCGATACTTAGTCCAAGCGTTCACCATTGGAGCCGTATCATGATGTATTGAGGCGGGTCCTTCCCGACATGCACATCCGTGCAAGCAACAGTGCGTCTCGGTACAGGTACGAAGCAAGGTGTAGATAACGCATACAATATCGGACAAGTGTCTTCATTGATCTATGTGCCGCATCTGCATGCATATCCCATCTAAAAAAATTCCCAATGCACTCGCTATTAGAATCCTCCGAACATTCTAGACTCGGGGACTCGACACGTGAATAGACAAAACGGTGCCAGTGTGATGTTGGTTTCGCCATATAACTCCAAGCTATGAAATGTAGTGTAGGAAAAGTGGAAGGTGGTTAGAGCAGAAAGTCGGTCCGAAAGTGGGGAAGTATGTACAGTCGAAATAAAGTTGCCACGGTAGGAATATCGGGCGGTATGATGTAGGGCAGCGGAGACGCTTTTCTTCACCGCAAACTCAAGAGAAAGGTCTGGCGACGTTCCGGTGAGAATGGTGGAGTGATGACAGCGTGAGATTTGAAGACTTTGATGTCCGGGACCCACTCCGTTTTGAAGATGCAGATGGAGTGACGGCTCACGGCCGACTTTAACCGGCAAGTTGCTGTCGCAGTATGTCGATGCTTGTACGCGAAGTAGTGAAAGCGCTCCCTTCGTCACGAGAAATTCGTTGCCAACTTGTGGTCAAGTTATAGCTCCATGCCGTCAAGATCTCGCATAACACAAGCCATCTGTGCCCGTTTCGCAGCCTCGGCAAGCAGCGCAGCCTGGTTGAGATAGTTTGTAGTCTCAGCTGCAGTCTGGCCGGCACCGTTTCTATTCGGTTGGTACTCGAAGCTAGGATGTCGTTGTGCTTGGAGGCGAGGCTGCTGCTGTGCTTGTTGCGACTGCTGGTTCAGGGAGCCAAAGTACTGGTGGTTCTGGGGGCTTGTAGACGGCGAGACAGGCGGCGCAGACTGGGTCGAAGACCGTGAGGCGATGCTGGAAGTAGACGTGCTGGCGTAGCCGGCGGCGGGCGTGTTCGAAGACTGGAGTGCAGAGAAGGCTGGCCGACTAGGCGCGCCATACTGTTGTTGCGAGTAGTTGGACATGTTGGCGAGTAGTTGGCGTGTAATTGGCGTGTAATCGGCGAGCGAGTGGTAGGTAGTCGTAGAGAGGCGAGTCGTCGAGAGTAGAGGTGTACGGAGGTTGCAACAGTGGGCGAGGCGAGGGGATGGGTAAAGTAAATAGTAGTCCCGTGGTAGGTGGATATTACCCTGTACTGACGATCTTCTGCGCGAACCTGGAACAATTTGTGCGAGCTGGTCCAGACGTGGTGCAGTAGAGGCTGAAGTCGGGAGAGGGAGAGAAAAAGCAGGATATAGGCAAAAGCAAGGAGGAATGACCTGCGCGATAGGGAAGGACACAATCCATCGGTACCACTTGGACCGCGGCTCGGATTTGTTAGCTCGTGAATTTCGTCACAGGCCAATCTGATCTGCCGACGCTTGCCATCGCATCGAGACGCCAGCTTTCTTTAGTTTTACGCGGATTACCACTTCCAGGCAAAGAGTTGCTCGCCCTACTCGCAACATGCCCGTAAGTCCTCGTTGAACCTTCCCCAGACTCGCCTACTGACATGGGCAGCTCGTTTTAATCTCAGGTTCCACCTTCCCCTCCATGTCCCCCGCCATTTTTCGCTAACCCGCCCAAGGCTTCCCTTCCGCGGGCAAGACCACCAGAGCCGTCCAGTTGAAGGAATATTTCGAGTCCAAGATCGCCAGCTCGCCCCCTGATGCGCGCACTTCGCGTCTAAAGGTCCATCTCATCAACGATCAGACGCTGGGCGTGTCGCGCTCCGTCTACCATACCGCCAAAGCCGAGAAGGATGCACGTGCGGAAGAATATTCCGCCGTCAAAAGAGTCCTGTCGCGCGATGACATCGTTATCGCCGATGGCTTAAACTACATCAAGGGCTTCCGCTACCAGTTGTACTGCGAAGCCAAGGCTCTCCAGACCCCAAGCTGCGTTGTCAGTATACCATGCTTGTAGCCCAAGCACACACAGCTGACAGTCTTAGAGCTGCACATAGGGACGCCCGCCGAACGATGTCGCGAGAACAACAAGAAGCTCCTAGCTGACAAGGACTGCGACGGTGGATATGACGACGACGATTTTGAGAACCTCATCTTCCGCTACGAAGAGCCCAATGGCATGACGCGATGGGACAGCCCGCTGTTCATCGTGGTCGAGGAAGACGAGAAGCCGCCATGCGACCAGATATGGGATGCCATGGTAGGCAGTGACGGCAAGATGAAGACGGTCAAGCCCAACCTTGCCACAGTGCTGGTACGTGCCCCAGACGTATTGACGACCTTGTCTAACGTCTAGTAGAAACCGGCCACAGAGCAGAACTACCTCTACGAGCTCGACAAGACCACATCCGATATCCTCGCCCAGATAATGGTATACCAGAAGGATCACCCTGGCGAAGGGGGTGGAGAGATAGCCGTTGCCGATATCGAGAAGCCCATTGAGCTCCCTGCTACACCAATGACCTTGCCACAACTCCAGCGTATTCGCCGTCAATTCATCACCATGAACCGTCAGCACAGCCTTTCCAAGGCACGCCTGAAGGAGGTCTTTGTCGACTACTTGAACGCCGAGTTCCTGCGCTAGGGCGGCGACATCGTGGATATAAGGTAGGAGTGTCTCGTCTAAGCGGCTTTTCTACGGACACATCCTCATGCATCGCTGCAAAGGAACGTTGAAGGATGAACGGAATAAACTGAGTACCGACAGCTCAGTGAATACCAAAGAAGCTTGCCCTATGCTTGAGTCTTCTTGCAACAAGGACTTTCACGCTATCTCTCCGAATCTTCCCGATACTCCATACCCCTCACACGCCATAACTACGTTTGTAACGATGATTGGCATCCCAGTCCTTGCGCGCTTGCGACGACATGGTGTGACCTAGTCTGATCACCCCGCATTCCGACGTTTGCACGCTACCCAGAGCAGACCCCAGGAGACAGTTCGGGATCATGCAAACTTGCGGATTTGCAAAAGAGATGAAAACAAGGGCTGTTCGTAACTTTGATTGGGCGCAATAGCTCGATTAGCTTCAACTTCCAATAACAATTTCCATCGTAGGAAAGAGATCGCGATGTATGACGTGTAACTATCACACAAAATCTTCGATCCGGTAGCAGCCAAGCAAGCACTCGACGATCATGACGCTGCGCATTGTGATGTCTCTGAAAATTGTCACTTCTTCTAATAGGCCAAGATCATACAGCGTTATGACAGCTCCGGCTCCATGGGCGCTCCATTACGTGGCTCGAGTCCTTCACTCTACTCAGCTCTACCCTCCATACATCCCTAGCGCTACGCCACACCGGCTGTTTGCATCTCCCCATGATTTCGTTCACCCGTGGCTCGATCTCGAAATCCTTGAACGTCTCCACTCCCAGATAAAGGGCCACCCCGCATAATCTCCACGTGCGAACCATGTGGGTCTCTTATTGCCGTGCTAGTGCGCTAGCTGGGATGCGGGGTGTACGTGGATATTTGTGGCTGGAATGTGGAAAGTTACTTCCATTCATCCGAAGTAGGTATGGACGGATTTTGCCGGGAAACTTCTTGAGAGCCTGAGAAGATGACCATAGTTTTGATGAAAAGTGCGGGAACAGCAGATTGTATATGGCAAAGTATTCAAATTAACAAAACTATATACGCTTATTTAGAAAGAAGACACATTGTTTTCCTGCCCCGTTACGTCGTCATCTCTTTCGCTCTTGCAAGAAGCGTGGTATCTCAAAAGCAGCCAACTATATCACCCTAGATGATATCCTATACGCCAGACACCTATTCACTGTATATACACCCATCGTATCATCGTGGTCTCGTCGAGGCACCAAGTTACAACCCGCAATAAGTAGTATCCAGGCCCGTAAGATTTGCTGTGCTGTCATAGTCGCCTGGAATCATGATACCAGGGTAGAGTCTATCGCTGCCGGGCGTGGAACCATATTCACATGCACCGGTACTAAACTCTTCTCCACTGGTCAAGCTCTCATCACTGAAACTGAGGACGCTTTGAGGTGGTGGTGCCTCTGAGCTGTAGCTGCCCCAGTTCCAGACGTTTGGTGACCAAGTGACATTGCTGTCGGTACTGGCTGACTGAGGGGCAACGTCGACGAGGGCGTCTGCTGGTTGTCCACCGTAAATTGTGTCGTAAATGTTTGTCTGGCCATTGTCTAGTGAAGAAAGGAGGCGTTCCCAGTCGGACGACGAAACCTCGGTCTTGATACCTTGGTTGTTTTGTAGTGCATAGCTAGCTAGTGGGTCACTGGCGAACGAAAGATAGTCAATATTGCGTTGCGCCTGTTGCTGCTGCTGCTGCTGCTGTTGTTGTTGTTGTTGCTGTGGAGTTGGTTGACTTGGACGACGTTTGTTCGGCATCGAGAAGGATGCGCGATGTGACAATGGGCTCAATGTAGGTTCCGAACGGGCAACAGGAGGCTCGGATCGAATGGAAGATAAGCTTGTCGATGAAGGATTGGCATGTACGCCTACATTGGGCGAGAGAGCAGGCAGAGTTGCGCGGCGAGGCTCTTGATCTAGGCGAGCGGCCTTCATGGCGCTTGGTGAGAAGCGAGCGGCAAGAGCCTTGAGGGATTTCTGTGTCGCGCGGAAGGTATCCAGAGGCGCTCCCATGTTGCTCTCTGAGTTGTGTCGTGACAGTGGTGGGGCTGGCATTTGCTCAACACGGGGAACAGCCACGATGCCACAACCGACACGACGGAACTCGGCATAGCCTGCAGCATTTCCACGCTCAAGCATATCCATGACGGAGCATACGAGTCGGTTGCTGTCCTTGATCAACTTACCCTCGCGAGCAAGCGTCAGGGTCTGGAAAAGCAATCCAAAGCCAGCTTGCACAAGTACCTCGTTGCGATTAAGGCAGAAAGAGAAGCTCAGCTTGCGCTCGTCGAGAAGTTCGACAATTTGCACGATATGCTTGCAGGCATCGCCAACGGCTACTACGGCTGACGAGCCCTTGTCGCCAAGATTAGCAACAACGGCTGGGCGGTAAACCAACGCCCTGATGTGATGGTAGGCGAGAGACTAGTTGTGTCAGCATTCTCAAAATGCACATGGAATCAAGATTCACATACCAGAACAGGGGATCTGCTGCTTGTGACGTTGGTGCTTGGCTTGTCTTGCGCAAACGTCAGCTTGAGGTGCGGCGCAAGGTTGCTCTGCCAGTCTTCCAACTCGTCGCAGAGCGACGCAATAGTGCGGAAGGAGATGTCATGTGATGCAGATCCGGGGTAGAGCTCCGTTAGGACCTTAGACAAGATGCGTGACAGGCGGAAGAGAGCCAGTGCGCTGGAGAGCTTAGTGTACTCGCCGGGCAGGGTCGGCAGGAACCCCTTCTCGGTGACGTATTCATCGTCGGCATCTACCGGATACTCGCAGTGCACATCTTCCTCGAGGATTAGCTTCGGTAGCCCGAGGTGTGCAGCGGAGAGACTAGGAACGGTCAGTAACGCAACGGCAGGGTTCGGCGGGAGTAAGCTTACCAGTCGACCGTGTACAGCGACCAGAACAGCTTCTTTCGTGTTTCACTCGTCAGTGCATCGAGCGCGAAGCGCTTCTGTGACTGATGCAAGCCAAGACGTTGCGACAGGCCGACGGCCAGTCCCTTGTACTTGAGCACGCGGGAATAGTCGGCCCTCAGCAGACAGAAGATCTGGGCAAGGACGAGACTTTGCAGCGTTGCGACGTCATTCTCCATCAAGAAGCTCTCAATAGCGCTCTGCCATTGAGTCTCGAAGGACTCGACATCTTGTCCGTCGCGGGGCTTTAAAAAGTCAGTAAAAGGCTGGCATGTGTCGTAAGGCATACATACATCGCTAGACAGCGCGGCAATTCCGAAAACCAAGTTGAGTTGTGCAATCGACTTCTTGTCACTCATGGTATCGGGACTGGCCACATACTGTTCGTAGAGCGACAAGAAAGTGGGGCGATGGAGAATCGGAAACAGAGGTGCCCATTCTTGGAAGAAAATGTTGATCATCTGATCCGAGACCAGACGTGGAGGAGC